GTTAGCCGTGATAAAATAGACAGATGATTGTTTCACTTACCGAGGACGGTCTCTTCGCGAGCCAGATCACCATCTGGGACGTTCATGCCATCGAAGATGCCGACCTCGCGGGCTTCAATGCACTTTCCATGCAGCGGCTGCAACAGAACACCCATGCACGTCCAGATCTCCGTCAGATCGTACATCTGCTTCTGCGATAGACCGGAAAGATTCCCACGACCGAATCCCTCGGGCGGTTCGAATAGGACATTATTCATACCGAAAGGCTGTGTCATCGTCGACGCCGAGGTGAAATGGTTCTTCGCCTGGACACCACCCTTCAACCAGTCCATTTGGCCAGCGATATCATTCTCCCGCCCCTTGCCACTGCCAAAAATCCGACAGAAGGTCCAGAGTCGCCAGAACGCATCGTCGACTTCCTCGGCGCGGGTGTTATCCACGCCCGCCAGGCCACGGATGGTATCGCGGCGCAGGAACGGAGCGCATCGCGCAAGGACCAACGCCTTCAGCTTGGCAAGGGTGTAGATATCCTGCGCGTATCTCTGCAGATACAGGGTGGGCGTATATTCTGGAACCTGGGAGTCCGGATCTATAAGTGGCTGCCATTCCATTTCCCATGGCGGACTCATCTCGCGCATTTCCCAGGCGGGCGGGGACATCTTAAACAGGGCATTTTTCAGCATGGGCAGCTCGCGACCTTTGAACGCGGTGTAGATCTTTTTGTTGACAAGGACGAAGTTGAAAAGGTCATCTAGAGAGTCGATGTTCTGCATAATTGACAGAATCAAATCCACCGGCATATCTTCGGGGAGGGTGATATTGACTGGGACATTGCGCTCGACCTGGGGAGGGAGTGCGGATGAAGGCGACGGGGGAGTAGCAGGAAGTTCATAAATATGTTCGGTGAGTTGGACGCTGCTCGCCTGGGCAGTCGAGACCAAAGCCCAGCTCTGGCGAATTTTAGAGGCTATGGGCTTCTCCTCTAGGTTCACACCCTCCATGGCAACTAGGCCGGGGCTACCCAATAACACTGCTTTTTCCGCGACGTGATCGAAGGGATTCTCGAGACGGTTAGTTTGTAGGCGAGGTAATTGAAGTAGCAGGCTGTCGCGCGTGGGGGCCAGATCGAAGGGATCGGCGGAATGCGATTCCAATGTCATGTGGAGGGAGTCCTCCGACCGTGAGCTGACGCTAACTGCATCGCGCGCCTGGCTTTGCTTGCGGAATGCCAGGAAAGATTTCTTGGATTTTGCCTTTTTGATGTTTTCCTTGGAAGTTGGAGTATTTTTTGCGTCGGGCTTCTCGTCCATCTCCTTCTCCTTATCCCCGCCCGATCGACGAGGCTTGTCTTTCGCCTCTCTCTTACTGAGTTTGTAACTCTTTTCTTTGGTTGGACTTGTGTCTCTTGATTTGAGGTTGACGCGACTGCTGTCCTTCAGTGTCGATTTCCCTTGTGGTGTTTGTGAATGAGGCTTCGTGGAAGGGGGGAGGGGCGCGGGCCGGGTAGCAATCAAGTCCCCGTTATGGCGGCTGATCTGCAACGGCCCATCGAGGATCAGCCTCTTGTGAGTCAAATCGTGGTCGGCCAGGCCCGCGAGGGTATCTTCGAGTTCCTCGGTGGCCTGCGATAATGTTGGGACATGGCGGGCTCGATGACCCATCACCAGATCCGACCGCTGTCGACGATGACGCTGCGGCTGACGCTGGCTGTGTCCGCACGTATCGCGTGAAAGTTCGGATTGTCGATGGTTATTCAACTGGTGTAACATGGAACGCTTCCACTCGTCATGGCTCACCGCGGCGGGGTGTTGCGACGAGACCAGCGAGTCTCTCTTGGAGTATTGCGTTGACCATTGTGACTTGAAGCGTGGTGACACTGCCGAAAGAGGGGAGTCGCCTGGGTGACTTGGGGCTGAACTGGGACCGAAGGATGGTTCCAGTGGCAAGGGCTTGTTCTTGAGGTCGTTCATTGATACATTTTTGGTGATGGGAATTGGGCAAGCGAGTTTTGACACGTGCAGCTGGCAGGGCGCCACTACCGAGGAAGGCCGCGAGGAACAGATGGAATGGGCATCGTCGAAGACGCCGGCGGCGACAGGGGAATAGATCGAGTATGCATCGGCCGTTTTGTAAGGGTATCGCTCATCATCTCCCCAGAATGTGCTGCCGACACTGGTCACCGAAGTGCGGCGGCTGTAGCATGATGAAGCACAATCCAAAGTCTCATCAGATCCAGAATACGGAGGGGCGATCTCCGATTGATTGGCAGACCCATATGTATCGGGATCGACGTCTGCAGAGCTTCGATATAACGTCTGCACGCGTTCTTCTAGTTCCCGCTCGAAAAATGAGGGCCCCATCGAGCGGTCCATATTGGAATCAGCGCTGACCGGGGAGACAATGGAGAAGTGCGAGGATAGCTCTGGCAAGAGGCGAACTAAGCGGGAAGCTGAACGCAATGGAGGGAGATAGTCCGACAATGGAGAAATTTCAGAATCGTCTTCGGAATCTTGGGATTCCAAGTCAATCATAGTGTCCAAAGATTTCTGCGGGGAGGCAGACCTAGTGTCCCCGTGGCCCCTGCTTGCAATATCTTCTTCTTTGAGAGCCAAGTGGTGTGATTGGCCCTGACCTTTGTTAGTGTCGGGTGCCATGTGTTGAGCAGGGGCCCCTGGGTCCGCTTCAGACGGGCCATGGGTGGTGTCCGCGATCTGCGCCGGCATTGTCTGTTGGTCTTGACCTGAAACGGTGCCCCGGACAGCTGTGACTCGGGCTTCCAGACCGAAGGGCTTCTTTGGAAGCTTCAGCGACGGAGGGCGAGGACGAAAAGCTAGCTTTTCTTGATTTGAAGGCTTGGTCTTCTGGCTTGGAAGATCACGAGGCCGGCCAGGTGACATTAACAGCCAATAACTCATATCTCTTTTCGTAGACCTTTATTCGAGGGGCATTGTTGACCGGTTTAGGCTGTTCTTGCTCTTTGTTAGCATATCACGATGGTGCCTCAAGCCCCCAGTCACCTGTCAATTGCGCTGTAACGTACCGTCAATTCCAGTCTCGGTGAAGGCAGTATTGTGGAGGCGAAGTGTATCGGTTTCTTTGTAGAGAATAGTGCATCCGGCTGTGGCTGCATAGAACAAAGACGAACCCACCAACTATTTTTTTGTTTTCTCTTGCAAGTATAGGAGTTCGCAAAGATGAAAGAGAAAAGGAACTCGGAACGGGCACTATTTTAGGTAGACCCAATATTTTATAGGATAGGCACAGACCGGTTGATATTGTCCTTTTAGGCCACCCGAAATCAGCAGGTGGTCAAGAATATCTGTACGGCGAGTATGGCGTTTCTCAAAGTGACTTCCCACCCAGATAATCAGACCATAATTGGTTAGTTCGCTGATTATCGGGTTAGTGTGCTGCAGCTAAACAGCGATCCCCCAAAAGATCCCAAATTCCCAAATTCCCAGTTCAGAAAGTCGTTCAGATACCTACGGAGTAAAAAGTGTTTAAAAGGTGAGGTTGGAGGAAGGTTCTTCAATTTTTATATGGCTATTTCTATAGTTAGACAGAGTACTCCGTAGTTGCATCGAAGTTCGTGTTGTCTCGTACTCGGAAAGGCGCAGTCAATGTTATTCTTAATCTCGTGTTGATTGACATAAATTGTTGCCGTCAGGGGAAATGAGTTGCGTGGAATACGAACAGCTAAATTCGGCCAATGATATGCAGCAATACATTCACGGAAAATATATGCAACAATTGCCACATTTCCCGTCCCATTGCCCCGTTACCTGATAACCCCAAATATGGCCGTGAAGAAATAGACCCCTACACTTGTATGCCCTCAAAACTATCCATGGATGCTCGTATATAATCTTGGTACTCCGTATTTCTTTTTTACGTACTATATGTATGTATGCAGTTAATTTCTATTAGCTCTTAGTGTTTACCAACACAATCGCAAGGGAGTTCCATCTCCTAGTGCGTGTCTCTCTTGCCTAGCTAAAGAGCTCTCGCATACCTACTCCGCATACCCCTCTGAATTTTTTTGCAGCATCATGCAAAATATCCCCTCTTTTGATGTCTTGATCAATCGAATGAATCAAATTGCAATGGCTGAGTTTGGCTAGAGTCCACTGTGGGTATTTGCGTGTCTCTACACTCTGCAACTAGAGCACTGGCCCAATCTGGGGAAAGAGGCTAACATCAAAGGAGCAACTAGTCAACTAGTCCAAGTAAAATAAATGTGTCCTCCCCTCACATTTCTCCTTCTTATCGTTAGCGATAGCGCGTGTAGGATTTCACGGCTGCTTTGCAAAGGAAACAGTGAAAGGTGGGGACCACAAAGGCCCGTCGTTCTCGGGATTTTCCATCGCCACTTGTGGATCGGACAGGGTTTGATGCTCGATTTGACAACAATTTGGCTCCACGCCCAAGCTTCCAAGGTCTTTCTGCCTGAGGCCAAGCTCCCCTTAGGGCTTGAAATCGGGACTATGAGTTTCGTCTCCCCTAGGCAGGTAGTAACACCTGAATTAATACATACATGCATACGGAATAACCACTACTTCCTTCTTATATTACCTGGCATCAGTTTACTCGATATGCAATCAAATGTATATGGATGATTTGCCTAGAACGGTAGCCAACAGGTGACGAGAGCTGGATGATCCACAGGGGTTACATTGCATGTCAATAATAATACCGGGTTGGCCCAATGACAGTCACCACATTATCCACAATAGATTATTTGGAACATATCGTGGGTGAATCCGGCCTTGATCGCTCGTCTTATATGCATCGGCTCACTTCTCTTTTGGGTAAATCCTCATGATTCTTCAAATCTCAATGAGACAACATCAATCAAACTAATAAGGAGCATCTCCGCACACTTCACATGCCCCTGAAGGAAGCTCGGATTTGGACGTATAAAACCGCCCAGCCCACGAGAATGTAGGTAGTTGAAGATACCAGCCCTACTCTATATCAATTCTACTGTGCCTACCCCTATCATGCTCGGCAAACTCCCATCAGTCGCAGCGTTGCTGGCACTCAGCCTGGGTGCGCAGGCGAGCCTAATCTTCAAAAACACCGGCACAACCTCCGGCTGGGACAAAATAAACAAAGAGCACCACGGCACCGTGAAGCAAGTGACGAATGTGGTTTACAAGGGAAACACCGCGCTCAAAATGACCCAAATCTACGATGAAGACTACTCCGGTCGGTACCACTCGGAAGTGGTAAAGAACGACGTGTACAAGCGCGGTGACACGGGCGCATACGGTTTCTCCTTCCGACTGCAAGAGGACTGGGAATTCCTCCCCGTGCAATCCTACAGCATCGCGCAATTCATCGCCGACTTCACAGATAGCGGCTGCGAGGACTGGATGCCGACGACCATGGTCTCGCTCAAGGGTAATAGACTCTACTCGCGTGTCAAGCAGGGCTCGGTCTGCAAGCAGGAGGTCAAGGGTTTCAATGATCTAGCCACTGTCACTGCGGGTAAATGGCACCGGATTGAGATCGAGGCGAAGTGGGAGTCGGATGGGACGGGGTATTACAAAATGTGGTATGATGGGGAGAAGGTGTTGGATGAGAAGGATATTAGTACTACCATTGACGACGATCGGGCTTTCCAGTTCCGGGTTGGCCTTTATGCGAATGGCTGGCATGATGATAAGCAGATGAAGGGGTCCCAGGAGACTAGGAATGTGTGGTATGATGAGATTGCTGCTGGGACTACGCTTGCCGATATTGCGGCTTAAGCCGGTATCGATGCAGGCGAGTGTTGACTTGCTTGGTTTCGAATTTTGTGTATTACGCTTATTGTAACTATTCGCGTTTTTTAAACTGCTCAGTGCCGGACGGTTTTAACAGAACATTAAACCGAAATAAACATACTAACTACCTATGTGTATTGTACCACTTGGTGCTCATCGGTGGTGAAGTTGAGGACCGGACCATCACGAGAGAGCTTGAGGATGATGGGCCAAAAAGGCTGCCCAATTCTATCTACATATCTCAGAGTAGTTCCAACCTGCAATAACAATTGCTTTGTACATCGATGTACAAATATCTCGTATTACAGTGTTGGCCCCTATTTTGCGCATACGGAGAAGCCCGTGTCGCGTGGGGTCCAATTTAGAAGTAACATCACCCTGCATGAATGTTGCCCTCAGCTATGGTATTGTTTAATAATTCATGTGTGTCTATGCTAATGGTTATACTACCTACTAAGTCCCGAATATGTACGGAGTACAATATACGAGGAAGAATCCGAGGAGGGCGTAGGGAAGCCAAGAAATCCTCGTAACCTCGCTTTAGCCCCGTTTGAACTATCGAAGATCTTGCCGAGTGCGTTGATGAGGATCTACAAGATTTACGGGATCCAAATAACAACCTGTGCTCTCTCTGGCATGATATTTGACCATGGGACTAATCCACAAAGGTTAATGATTTGCGGGTGGGGGTGTTGCTAATTATATCCAGAGCTAAGCATTTCAGGTGCGAGTACTCCGTAGAGAAGCCTAGAACAAATTAGAAGCGAAACACGAGAATATCTACGGAGTAATGCAGGTTGATACCAATAATAGAAATAATAGAAATATAGCGGAGGCCCTGGGCTGACTTTTAGTGCTGACTTGAATTTTGTCTTGCAGAAATGTTCCTGATTTTCTTTCTCCCCGTGTTTTCCAGAGCCTTTACCTACAACATAGGTAGTCTACCTACCTAGGTAGGTATACAGGATTACATTAATAAATTCCAATAAATTCTATATTCCTAAGGGTAGGTTATCCTAGGTCTCTGTTGAGGGTATTCTTTGTATCCATGACTTCTTGCTTCTTGCACATTCCTCTTTGTCAAGAATTGCAGTCGGGCAAATTGCTTTCAACCTCTATACCAATATTCATCTTCCTTTATCGTTGAGTATCTGGATCTCTCTGGAATGATCATTTACACACATTGTGATGCTCGACCAAGTAAAACCAAGCCTGATATTGGGGTTTAGCTGGATTGTTGGGTAGACTGGAACAGAAAATATTTCGGTTCAATTTGTATACACAAATCCCAACCTTCCGACGTCGCCTCTGGGTTGTGAAAGAACCTCTTTGTCCACACGATGACCAGATCAAAGCCACATTTCTAACATTTCCTTGAGTCCTCGACTCTCTTTGACGACTACGAGCAATGTGCGATTGGACTATGAATTACTCTCGAATCATGTTCTTAAACATTAACATTTCAACTTGTTAATATTGACTTGACACCAGAGAAATGAATGGTAGCGACAACCACTCTCCGTTCGACATATAGAATTGATGCACAGGGCTCACAATAACTCGACCTCCATATCTGGTTTCAATATTTCAGTTAATATGAGATGAGCTTATTACTAGAACAAACTTTGGTTCTTAGACTCTTTGTCCATTTGTGCTCTTAGAATCGCCCTCGCCTACCCTCTTAGGAGGAATTCATGTTACTTCTTGGCCAATAACTGCGACCCATCTATATTTATCTTCTTTGGTCTCTTTGATCAAAGGGAAATGCAGAGGATTGTCCCATACTAACGTTCCTAGGGGATGGAGAGGTGGAAAGATATAAACTAGCGGCGTCTCAACAGCTAAATTCTCACAAACCTCTCAAAATTTCGCGATAAACCCTTCTGAATTCATCCATCATGGTCGGCTTCGACGAACACATGCTGGACTCTTGGGGTCCAGCAGTTTGGGGAGTCATCTTCGACCGATTGCAAAGTGGAAACGTCAAAGGTGGCGCGCTCCAGGTTGCCTGGCCAAGCAACGTCGACAAGCAAACAGCAGCCCAGCAAATTCAATGGGCCATTAAGTTGCCTCTTCCCCAGCTCCCTCAGAAGGCACTTGAAATGATATTTGACAGAATGGTTGGTTTCTCAGTGGGAGTCCGATATATGGAGGAAAAGAAGATCCACGCCATGCATGGACTTGTAGTACACAATGGACCACTCAAATCGAGCGTGGAAAAGTGGTTCAAACGCCCTGGTACCGTTGAAAAATGGAGGGAACTGATTCGCTCTTACGAAAATTATGAAGATGCAATGGCCCATTTGTCGGATTGCACTACGTTTCCAAGAGAAACTGACAATCATCCATTCAAGACCCATCCTGCATACAATGCTGCAATGCAATGCGCTTCCTGCTTGGAGTTCCTTGTTCACTTCGGGATCGTCACGCCCAATGGCTATGACTTATCAGGAAGAAACTGGATTGAGGCGGGATTGAATGGTTTCAATATGGGTTTGCTCACCTACATTGTCAGCAATGCCGATCCTCAACATCTCACCAAACCCAGAGATATCAGAGAAACTCGCGAGAACCACATTCTTCTCTCCCTCGTCGGTGTCAGCGCATTTTCCCAATTTATTATTGCGCTGAACAGGCTACGCCAGGCAAAACTTGTACCGATCGAGGAACTTCGCACAATTTTCCACGAAGCAGCCATGCATGAGTTCTGCGCTGTCGCACCCGTCGCCGTGGCAGAAACTCTCTACCAACACGGAATCAACATCGGCAACGTCGAGCACCAGTACCACGAACTCGGCGGACAGCTAGAATCTTCCTGGCACATCGCAGCAGCTTTCAACCCCGCGGGAGCCGACTTCATGGCCTGGCTCGAGAAATTCTCCATGCTCAACGCAGAAGTCCGAAACTCGGAGAACATGAACCCACTGATGTACGCCGCATGCTTCGACGAGCCAGCCGCAATCGACTGGCTGTGTCAGAAATGCGATCCGATGCAGTCCAGATTAGCCGGCGGCCCACAAGGGTACGCCCTGATATGCGCGGCTCGAAGCTCGTACCCCCGCAGCGGCGAGATATTCTCCATTATCCTCTCACATCTACCCTACAAACTATTCGTCAACGAATACGGCAAAATCTTCGGCACAGAAATTGCCGAAGGGCTAGCATCGCACAAGCGCAAGCTCGCCTCCAGCCGAATCTACGAGCCGACGCAGAACGTGATGGAGCTTCTCGCCATACGCAAGATGCAAGCGCTCGTCTGCCGCTTGCCTAATTCCTGGCCCGGAAGCGAATGGCACCTGGCACTGGATGCGTTTATACGCGATAACGATCTGAATGTCCTCAAACACAGTATCGGTACAGGGACGCGGCTGCTTCGGAGCTCTTCGCGAGAGAGCTCGCGCACCCGTCGTGGCCCACACTATCCGAAAAGCCCTCAGTTACGCAGTATTTCTGAAGCTGAGGCACTGCTTATGTATGAGGGTCATAATACGGCACATCCCGCTGACGCGGGGGTTATTAGGAGGAATAGGCCGAAATATATTACCGCTCGCAGTGGTGGGAGACAGACTCTTGGCCCTATCAGGGATCCTAGTAATATGGTCACCAAGAGTGTGCACAGGAATGGATCGCGCCGAAGTTGAGAAGTTGTATCTCGGTATGGTACTTGTAGAGGGATCGGTGTTATTGTTGGATGAAGCATCGGAGTGGTGGTTCTTTTTATTCCGTTTATACTGGATGGCTTTTCGGTGGTTTATGTTCAGTTTATGTTCAGTTTCTGTGTTTGTTGATGACTTGATTCGATTAGTGTCTTTTTGCCTGTTTTCTATGTCTGTATTTTAGTAGTTTACGAATACCTTCTAGTTTCTTTTCACATTCTCTAAACAGGTAATTGTCTACTACGTATAATCTGTTATTCCAATTAATAGACGCCCAACTATCAAGCTAGTTGTTAAATAAAAAGATCGAACAAAAGCAATAATGAAATTTGACAAAACTACCAGTCAAGTGCATTTGGTGAAGTACCGTTCTGCGATGAATTCTGCGATCCACCGCCAACACAGTCTAGCTCTTTGCACACTTCTGGCAATTAGTAGCTAGCACGGCCTAGCAGGGAATAAAAGCACTCACGTTGATCTGCCTTCTGAAATAGAGTGCTCCCTTTTGGTTTGTGCATGGCTGGGAGGATCTGAACCCCTTCGATCCGTTCGAGCTTTGTGTGCTCCTGGAGTCGACTCAAGATTCGACGAGTGTCTGCTTGATTGAATGAGGCTATAGAAATAAAGTTCATATGCAAAAACCATACCTGTGCTATTTAACTCGGCCAGAGATCTAGTTAAAGAAACGAGATTAGCAACAGGTATTGTCGGACACTATACTATATAGGTCAAAATACTCACCCTTGCTTGGTCGAGATGTATTGATACTCAAGCTCAATCTCTCCAATCAACTTCTTCGTCGCGCTCTTTAGTACTTCGGACATTCTCTGAATTTCCGGTTCATTGACGGCGGAACTCGCGAAGGTGTCGAAGCGGATATTCGTCTTCGACTCAGAGGCGGGAAAGAAGGAAAGAGCAAGGCATAATTCCACATACTGAAATGAATAAATAAGCGTAGTAGGAAACGAAGAATACTCTTCCCGGGTGCTCTTCCGCGTAATAGACCTGACAAGCTTCATAACGGTAGAGGGCCCTGATAATTCAGATATTCTGCGATGTAGCTCACTAGTATAGACATCGAGGTGACGAGCTCGTACTATTGAAATGTCAGCTATTCCAACAACTTCCGAAATTAGTTACTTACCTCCGACCTTCCAATTGAAGTCTCCCGACAAAGTCTGACCAACAACCCAAGTGGATTTCGCTTCTAGACCAGCCATGCGGGCAAATCCACTCAAACTCGAAACCACCTCACTGTCAAATGCAGCCGGCTCACCAGAATTGAGGTTCACAAAAATCATGCCTTGATCAGTGGTATACGTATGGATCTCAAACAGACTATTCTGTGACTTATCAAACCCGGGAACATCCTCAAACTGAGGAGCCTTCACCAGCCGACCAGTGGTATCATAGCTCCAGCCATGATACCGACACCCAAGAATGGTCGAGGCACCAGTCTCCTTTCTGGTAATAGTGTAGGCACGATGGCGACATACATTATGGAAAGCGCGGATCTTGTCGTCCTTGCCCCGAATGAGAAAGACCGGGAAGCCGGCAACGTCGAAAGATTGATACGACCCGGGCTTTTGGAACTGGGAACAGTGGGCAAGGTAGAGCCATGTCTAGAGCTGCATGTTAGCGATTCTGTCAAACAATACTACCCACATTTCCATTACTTGGCTAAAGAGCGCGCGCCGTTCGAGCTCGAAGACTTTCCCGACCGCTCCACCATCCTTCTGGGATTTCGGATTCTTTGGAAACGGCCAAGTCTGAGTCGTTTGGAGAGGTAATTGGAATAGATTCTGTGACTTTATTGGCTTTTGGTTGAAATAGATGGGGCCATGTTCGGCGAAGTAGAAAGATAATTGTTACCAAGGCCACGAGGGTGGAGGCTGGAGAGGTCAAGAAATATGCATCGGTAGACTCCATGGAAACAAAGTGCTGCTGTTTTGAGCAATAGAGAATGGTTGGCATCTGCCACTGATATAATTGTAACTGGGAGACCTGGATGCCACCCCTCCACATTATACTCTCCACTTAGCGCATATGCCTCCCTATATTACCCGATTGGGTTGGAATTTCCTGGCTGTATCACTCAGCTGACATGCTCACTCCTGATTTTCAATCCCTTATGGCTGGGGTTGTTTTTATCATACTGTGAGTACTGTGCAAAGCATTAAAGATTATAGTTACATTCAAATTTTCCATATCTCATGACAAAAGAGCGATCGCTATATTCCTATGACTATACTACGCCGTCGTTTGAACCGTTTTGGGCGCAACATGCTCCTCAACTCCAGACTCTTTCACTGTCTTGACAGACCTGTCAAACTCGTGCTGCTCGCAGACCATATCAAACACCCGTCTCTGGTAGTCTGGAGACATGTCTGTTAGCATTATTGCATGAACACAAACTTTTTTTGAAAGCCACAACTCACAAGACACGCCATTTTCCTTGTTCGGGTTCAAAATTCCCTCGTGATAGACTCCCTTCGCTAAATTGCTTTGGGCCTTCTCGCAGAGCTCGAAGTCTTCCATAGCAACTTGACGCACAAATTTAAAGTATTCTTCGAACTTGTCTCCCGATTCAAGATGGAAGTAATCAAATTCCATCCGGGTGACATGCGGGTCAGCGGTCGGGCATACTCTGAAGGAGGACATACCACCACCATAGACGTTCAGTGTGCAGTTGGGAAAGAAGTAAAGGAATAGACCATCATCTGACTTGTTCGGGTCTGCGATATGCTGCGAGAAATTGTGCTTGTTGCGCACGGTGTAGAAGGTCGGCGGGTAGAATTTGGAGAAAGACGGGTGGGTGTATTGGCAGTGTAGACACTCTTGATATCCGTCGACCCTGATGAAAGTTAATAATAACACAATTCAGAAGGATAAGAGAGAATGTTACATGGTCTTCCAGTTGAACCGGCCTTCATAGCTGATGCTACGACGATGCGGTAGCTTAGTGAAGTCGACTTTGCCGAGCAGCTCTTCAAGCTCTGGGAAGAACTCATGGAAACTGGGAGCATCGTCGGAGATAGTTGAAAAAAAGGAGTCCAGTTGGAGTGAGATGGCTACGCAGTTCTTTACCCTGTCGGTAGTACAATTGTTAGAAGAAACTTCACGTTTCACCTGGACCACACGTACTGTTTTCGCGCAGACAACCTTCAGTTCGTCGGCGACGGGGTTTAGGGCCTCCCCTGAGGTGCGAACAGCAGAGATGGGCTGCTGGGCAACTTCGTACGGAACATGCTCACCCACAACCTGGAATCTGGTGACTGGGCCGAGCAAGTACCAGGACTGGAGCACATATTAATCTCCTTCAACTGCCAGGAGACTGTGTTACATACTTTGAGGAAGACCGCTCGCCTCTCCATCTGATACAGCGGCTGACTGCAATACCAAGAGGCAGGCAAAGTGCGAGTGAGCTCAGACATGATGTCGATGAAGTTGTGAATTGCAACAGCGATAGCGATAGAGACGCATTTTTATATCGCCGCAGACTTCCTTACACCGCAGCAGGGTGTCTCGCGGCTTCAATTGGTAGACATGCATTTTTTGTGGTAATAAGGTTGTCTGACCTTGAGTGCACTACGGTATATCGTTTCCCAAACGAGTTATCGAGTCCCGTCGATGTCACGCTTGATCACACGGCCGACGCACAGATCTCAGATGTTCTCGCCATGTAAAGGCCCCAAAGATAGACAGTATATCTCTAGGGTCTTGGGTCTCTTATGAGCTGAGTCGAGTCCAGGGACAATGCTGCCAATGGGCGATGAGGGTGGAAGTGGATATACCTAAGTAGGCATTTTTAGCCTGTCTATGCTCAAGCGAGAATGTATAATATTGAGAGAACTAAAAGACCGAAACCAAAGTGTCTATGAAAGTGTCTGACAGCGACAGTTGCTCCAATTATCTGCTATGGTCTCCCAATGGTGGCTTGCCTACATTTGTACATGGACATATGTACATAGATGTAGGTAAGAAGATACCATAGCCCACCTTAAAAAAAGAAACAGAAACGAAATTTAACACAAATCGATGTCGGAGATAGACAGAGATTCCTATTTATTCTGTTCACGTCTATGTTGAGGTTCACTATGAATTTGGCTGCCTGGAGGATCCGTGAGTGGCGACCAAAGGCGCAAGAGCAACATAGAGGAAAAGAAAGATGTATTCAAAGATCACCAACTCAAGGAAATCAAACATCTCAACAAAGATCGAAAGATTCAGAAGATCCAAAAGAAAGAGTGAAAGAAGCGTCACCAGAGATATAAGGGAAAATCAGCCGATCCGTATCTTATCGGGCAATTACGTCGTCTCCAACTTCCAACCTTCCAACCTTCCAACCTCCAACTTTGAAAGGTTGGAACTTTCAGCTTCATTCCCCTTCTGTCATGGCCTCGGTCAAATATACTCCTCCTCCTACACCCTCACCTCCTGCATCTTGTTACGCCATGAGTGACGACGAAGAAGACGAATACAATACCATCACTCAGGCTGCCTCGAGCAGAGGGGTTAAGCTACTATTTTCTAAAAGCAAAGTGAGACAATCTCCATCAAAGAGGATTACAATCTAACAATAAATCCAGGTCTATGTGCATCCAACTTCCTCTTCCAAAGACAATATCCCTGGTTTTATCGCCCTCATCCAGCAAAAACCCCTCCCCGCGTCACATGCACCCGCGTCCCACTCTAGAAACCCCGATACACCCTCATATCTCCTCGCATGGGTCCCAGAGTCCTCCCTTGGAGAAGCCTACGATACATATGTGAAAGTAGACCTTTCTGAAGGCGACTCTCCGCCGCGCCAGAAGTACCTCGTTCCGCCGCTTCCGACCACCACCACCTACAAAGACCCCATCGGGTTGTATTCCTTCGCAATTCCGCTATCGGAGATATACTCGCTATTGGTACGGCCACCGAGCCTGGGATGGTGGTTTGGGAGTTTAGTGATCAATACCCGAGCGGGCGATGGCTTCCCCGCGCTATTTTTCCACGACGATGAATGCCAGTCAACCATCCTACAAAAGAGGAAGAGGGTCAAGGAAAACTTCGATCCATTTGGCAATGAAGGGGGTTTGTTCTGGGGCGGCGATGAGGTACTGCGCTGGTTGCGGAGGTATGCGGAGATGCAGCGCTCTGCGGTGGACAGCAACGTCTACCTCATCAACCCGTCGGATGAGGACCAACTATCCTTCGGCCGACCGGTGAGCCATGGCGATAAAAGCCTATTGGCAAAGGCACAGCCCGAAGCCGCCGCCGCCGGATCCCGAGCTGAACCGCCCGATGCCAGCATGGATCCATTCATGAAGACTCTCAAGGAAACGCGGTGGAAAGTCCTGGAGCAGCTCAGCAAAATCACCACCTTCACCCGTCGGACTGCGAATGAGATCGCAGATAATCCTCGCGTACCGCCTCAAGTGCGCCGTTTAATGAAGAATCCAGAGATCCAGACGCTGCAAGATGAGTTCGATAGTGCTAGGGTCTACCTAGCTCGTTGGGCGATGAGTGTTGCCGAGCAGAGCGATAAAGAGCGAAACCAGCGTATATGGACCGCGCAGGATATGCTAGAAATGGAGAATAGCTCGGTTGGCGACTTTGAGATCTTGGAGCTGGAGACGGGGAACCTGGCTCTCCAGGAGCGACGCCGTGTTCTGAAACTGGAAGAATGGCAGGGCTTCTTCGACCCGACCTCAGGTAGGCTCCAAGTAACGACAGAGGAAGTGAAGGAGCGGATCTTCCATGGCGGCTTGGATCCCAATGATGGCGTCAGAAAGGAGGCATGGCTCTTCCTTCTCGGTGTGTATTCGTGGGATAGCAGCCGCGAGGAGCGCCAAGCGATGATGAACTCTAAGCGCGATGAGTACATCCGGCTGAAAGCAGGCTGGTGGGAGCGAATGGTTGAGGGAAACTCAACGATTGAGCAGTTTGATCATTGGAAAGAGCAGAAGAATCGGATAGGTGAGGTTACACACCGGATTTGGATATGGTGGCCACTAACGCATGGATACAGAGAAGGATGTTCACCGCACTGACCGTACAATCCCTTTGTTTGCGGGCGAAGACATCCCTCATCCGGATCCTGATTCTCCATTCGCCGAGACGGGTACCAATGTGCACCTGGAGCAGATGAAGGATATGCTCTTGACGTATAATGAATTTAACCCGGAACTTGGGTATGTTCAAGGGATGAGTGATCTCCTGGCGCCGATCTATGCTGTGATGCAAGATGACGCCGTAGCTTTCTGGGCGTTTGTCGGGTTCATGGATCGAATGGTATGTTTCCTACGCAAAAAGAGCTGTATTATCTTACTAACCTTTCTGCACAGGAATATAATTTCCTCCGAGACCAGTCTGGAATGCGTGGGCAGCTATTAGCGCTGGATAACCTCGTCCAGCTCATGGACCCGCAGCTCTACTTGCACCTGCAGTCCGCCGACAGTACCAACTTCTTCTTCTTCTTCCGCATGCTGCTGGTGTGGTACAAACGGGAGTTTGACTGGGGCGATGTGCTGCGTCTATGGGAGACTTTGTGGACCGATTACTTCTCCAGTAGCTTCCACCTGTTCATTGCGCTCGCCATACTCGAGAAGCACCGAGATGTAATCATGGATCATCTCAAGCACTTTGATGAAGTGCTGAAATACAGTATGTTGATATCTTGACGTATTGATATCAAATTACTAACATTGCAATCTCTAGTCAACGAGCTTTCAAACACAATGGATCTCGTACCCATCCTCACCCGCGCAGAATCGCTCTTCCACCGTTTCGAGCGTTCCGTGCAAGCGATAGACAAGAAAGACAGCTTCCCTGCTGCACCAACCGCCCACCAGCGTCGCCCAGGCGCAACGGGCCAAGATTCTCCTTCAGGCAGCAAGGGAAAATCACCCCAGCGTACTGTTGCATCAAGCAGCGGAGTCAACGCTGGCCCCTCTGCTCTTCAAAAGGCAATCGACGCCGACAAACCGAAGGTGATTTCTTCAGAGCTACGCCAGTTACTTCGTAAAGACGTCCCCTGGAAACGCCAGCAGACTTCATAATTGCATCAGGGGCTATGATGCTTGGGTTGGATGTCGCGCTTGATACGGATGTTATGCTCTCTGAACTAAGCCATTGCTTTCCTTCCATTGTTCTCGAATTCTTGGCTATTCACGATTTACGATTGCCTTATGTATATTCTTCCTTGATTTCTTTCTTCAACGACACGGTTTTGCGGAGTAAAGGGACATGGGATTAGGGTGTTTTGCCATATCGCGCCTTCTTGGAATGAATTATGTTTCCATCCACCATTTGAATGCGATCGATGATTCTTATTTACAAGCTCTAATTGCACTCATAGAGATATCTACAATAACGAAACGTCGTATAACTACATCCAGTAACAATCCTAGTATACATACACTAAGAATATCGGGAAGATCATTCAAATAGGTGCTAAAAGTCGAAACTGAGAACTGGCTTCTTTCTATAAAGGACATAATCACCGAGATCCTCATGTTGCAAACGAAGCTTCCTTGACTGTCTGGGCTCAAGTCATCACATTTCAATGCCGTCACATTACTGTGCACTTGTGACCGAGCAGCTGTAGTGACCTCAGTAACAGCAGGCACACTCAGAATTTCCTCAGTTCGATGGCGTAGTCTGGGCTGACTTAGTGGGGGGCTGGCTCACTAGGAGCAGGTGCACCCTCAACTTCATTGCACACATTAGACACAGGCGCGAGCATAGCCCAATGTGGCACATTGGACACGGGTAGAGTGTCAGTCACGGTGGAGGTTGATACAGGACTGAAATTTGACTCTCTTTGTCCTCGATCTCTGACTGTACATGTTAGCCCTTCTCCAAATTGAGGATCAGATGCGCATACGGGTTGGATCGGGCGACTAGGGCTTCTACTGCGAGCCCGCTTTTGCCCCCGTGCATGGCAAGCTAGTTCCAGTCTATCCCGGTATGGGTTGACTCGCTCAGCGGCATTTCCTGAGCTGTGCTCCTAGGAAAACGGGTACCTCGGTGATGTATAAATTGCTCTTGATGAGCACCATCTGTCGAAAGGTCGGAAGTGGGCAAGTGGTAGAGTGCAGAGTGAGAAAGAGGGAAGGATTCGTAGATGGGATTGGTACATATTTATACAATCAGCTAATGTACGTAGAAGATCTGAATGAAGGTGAGGTCCTTTGGTCTTTCAGTCATAGATCATCTTTTTATTTGGCAGTTGTGAGGACTTTCTTTGCCCTCTTTGTCTTCTATAAGGTATATTAGAAGCTTATGAAAATAAATTCACTTAATGTATTGTATTAACTTCCTCACTTCCCCTACAAATAGAGACTGTAGAGGACGGACACTCTTTTTGTCCATAAAATGTGAATGACAACTGAGAGATAGCAGGCTTCCAAACGAGGAAAACATCGACTCAAGTCCTTATATACTCGCACGTTTCCAAGGTTGCTATATTTAATGATCCTCTCCCTTCTCCCTTCCTTCCTTTTCCCTTTCTTCGTCCGACCTCACCAGTTTACGTTATTTCACGTCGTTGTCGAAGATTGCCTTGATATCTATAACTGACTATCAAAGATGCCATCTAACAACGTGAGTCTCCACGAATATCAAACAATATACCACGATTAACGAATGTAGAATAAGGCTACCTGGGGTGAAAGAAAATGACCCTATCAGCGCTTCGGCAGTCAGCTAAGCGGAGGCAGTTGCTGTCGAGGCAGCCCACATGGGCTCCCGACAACGCTGACCCAGATCCACCAAGGGTCGACCCAGCGAGCCCGCTGAATCGTCCCTGCCCATCTCTGGCTACCGCAGTAGTCTGGAAAGACGACGGGACCTGGCTTCCACCCCCCTCAGCTTTCCACGAGCCACAAGGGATTTGCCGACCCACTGAAGCCGACATTGCGGAGGCGACTGAGGCTCTCCTGACCCATCATTCATAACGCGGCAGTCGCCATTCGTACTGGCCCCAAACGCCATTTGCTGAATGCTCCGGTACCTACGCCGCACATCAATGCTGACGATCTCGATGGCCTGGCGCTGGAAAAATTTCCGGTCTGGGAACGGTTTGATGAGCTTGCCTACGTGGCAGCAAAAAATATGTCCAACAAGCAACTTCTCGAGCGCTTCCCGCTAGATTTCGATGGAAACGGCCTCCTGAGAGGCGAAGGCTGCACTCGCAATTGCTCGAGCTCGTGAATTGCGAGCCCGTGCTATGTCGTCGGACAATATTCAATCGATGCGATCATCGAGAACTCAGCAGCAAATAAATTTGAGCACAACTCTCTCCCATCTCTTCTGCATCTCGACAACATTCCTCAATATCGCCTTCCTGTTCCTCGTATCAGGAGTATAAGGCCCATAAGCACCATAAAGAATCTGTTGTGCATTGATGCCTGGTTCCTAAGGCATCAACCTCTCGCTCGTAGTCTAGATAGTTTGTATGGGAGCTCGCTCCACTCTCTTCCCAATACAACTCTCTCCTCTCTGCATCTTGAATCCTACATACTGTAGGCTTCACCAGAATCTACTGGCAAAGAAGAGAACTGCAAGAGCTACAAGGGGTAAATAATGCTTCCTATCCCGTATCTTCAGTCTGATTAACAACCTTGTCCTTTCACGCTTGTTCGCCCTGAATATCAATCTGGCCCAACTCCCCCTACAAATCCTGAATCGTCGGCGTAAGCTTCTGCAAAAACGCCCAGATCCCATCCCACCACCAGCACGATAACTTTTAAACACACCAGTACAAGCCCACCGCGACCCGGAGCTAGCCGTAACGAGTGAATTTGAATCCTTCGCGGACTTCACGCCATTTTCCACTCCATATCAGTCAATACTTTCACATCACTTTACCCTCTTTGTCTTCTACGAGGTATATTTGAAGCTTATGAGAGTAGCTTCATGGATTAATATATATTACTTAGGTAACTTCCTCACTTCCCCTACAAATGGAGACTATAGAGGACAGTGGAAAGTCCGTCTTGGTCTATGATATATGAATGGCATCTGAAAGATACCAGGCTTCCAGATATGGCAAACATAGGGCTCAAGTCCTTATATACTCGCTTTTTTACTATATTAAATGACTTCCCACTCCTCTCCTTTCTTTCCTTCTTCATCTTCACTTCTTCGCAATTCCTCAGTTATTTCACACTCTTTTCATCCTCTCGAATATCAACCATCCACTTCAGATATTCCGAACAACGTCTCCTAAGATGTCCTCAAACAATGTGAGTTCACCGGCATATATTATACAATGTGCGAATATGGGGTCATACCACCACTCGCAGCCTCGCTGAGGGACAACATTACCCCAATTACGGCCTCCGCAGTTATCGAAGCGGAGGCATGCTGCTCAGGCAGAAGAGAGGCTCGTGCAGTCGTTGCTCAGGCTCTGGCACTGCGTGCCCGCGCAGCTGCCCTCCACCAAGCTGCGGACAATGCTGAGGCCGCAGCGCGGCAACTGTAAGTCCGGTCTCCGATTTTGACCCTTCTACCATGAACTGACTATCATCTTACATAGGGAACATCTTCGATCTTCGCGCCTCTCCTCTTCATCTTCTCAGCTTCTTGGATCAGTGCATTCCGAGGTTGCGTTTCGACATCACTCCTCCATCTCTTCGTGATCTTTTCGTATTCATTTCTTCCTCAATTCTGTTGCCTCCTTCTTCAGTATGCCTCCCGTGACGACCACGACGCGTGCTCGAAACAACGATGGGTTGATGGCCGGTAGTCCCGCTACCGCTCGAAAGTTATTGAAGGCCCCACGGCACAGCGGTACGGTGTGGTGTATTCATTGCTTCCATATAGAACCCGAGGATGATAAAATGTGGGGACTAGACGGTAGTGGTCAGAGACGACACAACTACTTAATAGGGGATGTTGGACCAAGAGGGGTGAGTTTTGTTCTTGCCTGTGAATCATAAGGGTGAAGTCCTTCCCTTCGGAATCCGCGAAAGGGCTTATTGGACGAGCCAACTAATTATGGGATTTATGAATGGCCAGAACTTGGATGAGAACACTGAGGAGCCTAATGAGGAGATGAATATTACATGCATGGTGGCGAGGGCTGGGCGAGAATGTTCTTTGAATATAGGGGGGTTGTATGGTGCCAGTAGCAGGGGATAGATCTTGTTTCCGTGGTATAACTATTCTACAGCACCTGGATTAAAAGTAATGTTTCCATCAGGTCTGTCCGTGTTTTGATGAAATCATGACAGTATATTGCCATATAGGAAGGGTCACTTTTATATACAGCGGACGATTATTTGAGAGGTACTACTCACGCGAGCAACTGCAAAGCACTGAACTGTTTGCCATATTTCCTTCTAAGATGCCTACAATGGAATGCGATACTACGTATGTACTCAACCTTTCATATGCTCGCGCGTCTGGTATATTTATTGACCCTTCTCCTCCTCTACTTTCTTTCCTTTCTCTCTTCACTCTCTCACCTTGCATCTTTTTCTTTTGTCTTTTTCTTCCGTAACTTTTCCTTTCATATCTCCAGCTCTGCGAATCCTTATTCCAGATGTGTTCCATTGTGAGTCTACTGGATAATATCCAGTGTACTATTATTAACGAATCTAGGATGATGCTACCACTTGCGAACCTGCGAATAATTGAGAGTACCGGGTAATAGATAGTGGAATGTCTCGGGGTGCTGTCTGGATCACAGTGCCCTATCCAACCGAATTAGCGGTAAGGGGGTTAGTTGATGGCACTTTCCAAGTGGTACGAAGGTCATGTACCTCTACTGCTATGCCAACGTGTATGCGCTTCTGCCACCGTACCGGCAGAGTGGTATTTTCTCAAGGCAGGAGGATGGCACGGCGGCCTCAATACGACCCAGCATACTCACGATGGGCCGAAGACATGGCAGAACTAGATCAGTTTGGACTTCCCATCTACGCACCCAGTGGCAAAACAAATCTGATTGCGCAATATATATTGGCCAACGGATCTGGACACAAAGTGGCTCGTTTGCTTGCTCGAGTAAATGGCATACTTCTCTCGGACATATACACGCCATGCCAGAACCCTAAGCTGAGGGAAACGATCGGCTACACCGAATATATATACCCCATGGCATTCGAGTGCGGGATATCATTAAGTGGCTTCCACCCCCTTAGCCACGCTATGCCTCACACTTTTCATCATAAGGACTTCGGGTAGCGTGTGGGGTCAAGTCTTGACATTCCCAAAGCTGAAGCAGAATGATGCCACAACTGTGGTACCTCAAACTGCGGAGGAAATTTTTTTTTGGTGTCTCAACCCATCCGCTTGTGAAGTTGTGCAAGTTCGCTGCTATTGGTATCCATCCCGACGTAAGGTTATACGCCCAAGCAGCTTGTTCAACAGTTTCCATGCAAGGCCTTCTGGCGGCCATCCACGAATTGCAAGTGCTTGAGTCCTCCGAATGGAGCCGGAATCCAAAATAAATGGATGGTGTTTCTCTGTGCGAATTGCCTCTGTGCGAAATGCCGGATCCACTGATCAGCACTCCCGCAGTCATCGAGACGGAGAGATGCTGCCGCATGCGCGAGCCGCTACGCACGTATATATCACCTGAGAGGCTGCTTAAGAGGCCTAACTAAGCTACTGCGTTGTAGCTGTAAGTCTAGTCTCGAACTTTAAGCCTATGCTAAACTAACTACCATCTTGTATAGGGAACAAGAACTGGATGATCTGAACTTGTGCCAAATAATGTTTTTCCACTCAGGATATGAACCATTTTCCAACTCCTCTTGCACGAGGAGCTCAACCGTTCTATTTCATACTCTCTTGCTTCATGGCCCCTCTGATTTCCTTTCCTCCTCTTCGCCTGTCTCTCACTTGCATCTTTGTCACCTCACTTCGATGCCCACAAACAATACGCAGATTCTCTCAAACTCGTTTACTATTTGATAACCCCTCCCCCTTTTGTCTTTCTCATTGGTTCTTCTTTTCTCTTCGCCTTGTTTACCCTGTCTTTCTACCTTAATCCTACCTTTCGGAATTCTGACACATTCATTCCATTTCGATACCCATAGTTCTCTCACAGATACATGAAAGTGCTCAACATACGACATGCGCTCTTGTCAACTCACGAGGAGACTATTTTCATCAGAAAGGTTGAGACCAGGCAGGTTGGGCTTTGCAGTACTCGCCAGTCATCGCCCTAATCACCCATGATGACCGGTACTGGTCCACAGTCGTAGGGCAGAAGTACTGGGGAGTGGTGGACCATCCGGACTAGTGAAGAAACCAAGTTGGGCATTTTTATATTCCAATAATATATTTTCACTCATGAAATGAATCATTTTTCAATATCCTCCTTTCGCACTAGTGGTCCTAGTCATCAGCTCATTGACATGCCAGGAAGGTCAGCGAGGTATGTCACTGGAGATGCCTCCCCTCCAATACACTATTTTTGTCGGCTTTCGACGCCTTGTAGAAAATTAATTAACATGAACAATTAATGAGTAACCTGCAGGTTGTGCCTAGGTCTAGTTTGAGTTAGGCAGGAAGCTGGTAGTACTTCTTTTTTGGTGCATCTGAATACCCTCAGAATCTACTTAGGTGCGTCTGTTGACAGTATTCTGGTTATCATGTGAACCCGAGGCCTTTAATGTACAAGGCAGATTCACATTTCAACCTCGTATTTGGGGCGACGCCAGTGGTGAGATTTTACCTCAAAATACTATAAGTTAATATATAGTCCCTTGGCAGACAAACCCCCTGCACACCAAGCCCACAGCATCTCGTACCTGCAATGGAGGTGGCAGTGCTTCCAGGCTGAGCCTCAAGCCTCACAACCTTTTTCCTCTCATATAATATTCCTCTCTCTGCTAGGTAACGACGAACTAACTTGCCAATATGAGCTGTCAAGCATTGCTTTCAGAACAGCCCCAAGGAACAAATCATCGACCCAGTGGGACGCTGCCTCAAGCGCCAGAGGGCCCCGGTGTGACACTATCGAGTGAAAATGAGGGCTTGTCGCGCAACCACATCGCGCCATGGTCCCACCGTTTACTTTGTTCATCGTTCGCGTTATGGATCGCGGGGTCGTACGCTGCTTTATCCTTGTTTAGCTGGATTGCTATTGTCTACCTCACTTTTCGGCCAATTACGAGTCGTAAACTCCGATATAACACAAACAGAGACTCCGGTCGCGCTGCCTCAACAGGCCTCACTCTTGATATGGAAAATCAACTATTCAAAGAAAATGAGGATTGGATACAGACAGCGAGAGTGCTAATGTCGTTTGTCGGTGTCTTTTCGATTCCCGCCGCCTCTGCGACATGTTCCAGTGCCGCTGCTGTTTATTCGCAGAGACGAACCAGGTCTACGAGTACCAATCTGTCTATTAGACAGGTCATGATGCTGGCTGATCGGAACTGGATAAACCCATTCACATATGCACGAGCCCTAACGCCTACTGATTGGAAACGGTATGGAAGTGGATTCCTAGCTATAGCCATATGTGTCCATGTCTTGGGATTCATCATATCTCCCCTCCAGCAGATCTTCCTGTCCTCGAAGACAATCAAAACGCCCCAATTGGGGGAAGGGTCGAAGAACTCTTCGACATTCCATACCACCTTGCATACGACCCTGGGTATACCAACAACACGGTTGTGCTAGCCACTCGCAACGCTCTTGGGCGGACCAGCGTCATGCAGCCTCAAACACAGCTATGGCCCCCTGGGAAGGAATTCTGTACTGAAGGATATGTCGACAATTGTCCCGAAAACATGACGACTTTTGCAAATATCTCGGCGTTTCCAGACCCCTTTCTCGCTCAATTGCCGAATGGGTATAATACTGGGTTAATTCGCCAGTATCTACCGCGCATCAACTCAACAACCACTGTTTCTCCCGCTCCTTTCCCAAAGAACTGTGGCGATACACCAGGGTCTCTATACTTTCACCACAAGAACGTTTTCCATTCTAGCGGTTCCGACGATTACTCTTGGGAAGTAACAGCGTGCATGCCGGCAGATATGCGGCAATCTCCCTGGATCTCAACACGAGATCGGCAGGACTTTTCCGAGGACCTGTATGTTGAAATCTCGTATGACGGAGTGAGCTCTAGCGAGGAGTCCCCTTCTGAATATGCTGTCAAGATAACAGTCAACACGACAGCCGGATATTTTGAGCTTCCCAACTACAATAATGGAGGACAAGCTGGACCGCTTTTAAGAAAAATACCGAATTGCACTGACAGCGACGACTGCAATGTTGATTATTAGTAAGTCTGTTCCTTACCTACCTAGGTATGTGCCTAAGTATCTTATTAATATCGTTGGTCGATACGTCCAGTCCTGGCATAATTAGGAACCCCGAGGCTGTCTATTTAGACTCCCACAAAGGCCCTCTGCAGACACTCACACTCGCTTTATTCGGCCCAGACTGCTTCTTTGAGTCATGGCCCCGGCTGGTATTCAAGCGTGTCCAGGGCAGTGGTTCAGCGAACCCGGACGTTTGTCTTAGCATGGCACCACTCGGCGGGCTTTTTCTCAACAACGAAGGGTCTCTGGATATACGAGATCCAGAAGAGTACCCCACCACGGTCCAGTTCCCCTGCGGCTTTAATGGAGCACAAACAGCCGAAGAAGCGATCTACTCCTGGCTGAAGACATTCCACCAAGTTAGCAGCCGCCGCCTCGAGAACGCATTCAACGCCGCCGCCTTTCTGGCGAACCAAGCCTGGATGGAATTCGGCAGTGAAAAAAGTGGATATGGTGGCCTGACGGTAAGTTGGGACATGGGGAAGGATACTTCGATCCCGACGTTCTCAGTTGGCGGTATCGTGACGGTCTCGGTTTTGCTGGGTCTTTATCTGTTTATTTTAATGGGGCTTGGGTATTATTCTGCTCGAACTCCTCGATGGACGGAACAGTTAGATTCGTTTGCGATGATGAGGATTGGGGCTTCGGTTGCGGATGACGTCCCTTTACTTGCGGGTGTTGATTCGAACTATGTTGCCATTCTGGATAAGATACCTGGCGTAATGGGGGATTCTGCGCCAGAGCATGAACGGATTGGAAAGCTTGCACTTGGAGGATCTGACCCATTAACGGGCAAGCGGCTATATGCCTCTTATAAGTGGAGTAGTGTATAGGTACGGTGTCGTGCTACTTTGTTTTACTACCCTGAGCAAAGGGCCGAATTAGTTTCGAATTTTGACTTTGATCGTGAGAAGGCAAGTCTGCCTTCAGGAAGATATCCATACGAAATGGAGATAGCTTTTATGTTGTATGATGAAATTACCCACCAACCTTACCGTCTGGTCAAACCTGGGATTCGATATACCAGCACACATCAACCTCGGAAATCTTTAACTTACTTCGAAAGATATTATAGAAAGAATAATGCAATATGTATCAAACTATCTGTAAATGCAAAGATCACTCTATCAACCAGATAACTGTAGGGTATTGTTGAGCTCTAACACCACACCAAATCCCGAAACAAACACAAAAACCAAGTGAGAACAGATTCGCCACGCTGATGCAAGTAGAAGAGAAAATAAAAACCCGAGATATGAAAGGAAGACAAAATATGTACTCCCAAATGTCCATATGTCCAAGAGCCCAGGTAGAGCCCGGGATGACGAGAAGAAAAATAACTGCAGACCCATCCATGACAGGCATAGCGGGGAAATAAAAACGGATAAAATATAGAAGTAGGGAAGAACAAAAATTATATGCGAAAGATCACTTTTGTCGAAGTTCATGGCCTGCGAGACCCAAGACCTTTCAGCACGACTCGCCTGCTGGTGCCGATAGATCCGATATCGCCAATACTGCGGACTTTCGGCAAGGGGTGTCCAACCACGCTGCCGTCGCCAATCTCAGATCGGTCATCAGCATCATGGCCCGGCGGCATACTCAGTGCGAACTGGGGTGGGTTCAGGGAGCTGGAGCGGCGTGTCTTTTGGAGAACATCTGCAACCCAGGCTTCGCCCTCTGGGCTCATGGATTCGTACCGAGCACGCGGTTTGGGACCAGCTAAGCCCAGCGGCGTGGAACGGGAGTCGCTGGCAATTGGGGCAGTAGCGGTGTTGCCGGGGGAGTGGGCGTCCCCGATTGAATAGCCGGAAGACACCGAAAGACGTCTGCCGGCCGAAGAAGGGAGAGGGGCGGCCGTTGGTGGGGGTGAGGTGAAGGAGGAAATATGGCCCGTTGTCACTGCCCTAGTGCCCATTGCGTCGGATGCGGTTGAGCCTCGTCGTTTCTTGTGAACAGTAAGTGATGAAGGTGGCCGAGCACCGAGCACGGATGGTGGTCGGGAGGGGGTAGCCCGGCCGGAGGCAAGATATGGGGTAGCGGGGGACAACATAGTACCCGGAGAAGCGTAAGACGGCGATGAACGTGTTTTTATCCCCTGCACCTCCACACGGGGCGTCTCAGAAACCTTACGGCGACCGTGATGAATGACGTATTCGCGAAGGTATTCGCCAAGGTCAGCCCATCCACCGCCGACACGAACCATCACTCGCTGCCCTTCTTCTCCGACAGTGCGGACGAACAGTTTTGTCGGTGCGGACTGGCCCCCGTGATGGAGGTGATACAGTTTGACACAGCTGTCCTCTGTCTTGTAGGCATGGGAATGCCGTCTCCGGGCAGCTGGCATCAACGTCAGAGAATTTGCGGGAATATTGTTCCGAGCTGAACCAGTGGGGGATTCGGATCGGTACCGCATTCGTCTGTCTAAGGATGACGAGGATGAGGATGTGTCCGCTTCGTGGTTGGAGTCGACCATATGGATATGACCAGGCAACGAGTTGAGAATGGAGTTAACCTTTTCGTCGAGCTGGTCTCGCGGTTGCTTGCTCTGTTTGGTTGGCGAGGAAGCGCGGAAACCAAAATCGGTAGGTTCAGATCCATGCTCTTCTACATAGGACAGCTCTTGTCTCTTCACACCCAGACTTTCGAGACTTGGATGGGCAGTCAGTCGCTGCCGCCATCGGAGGGACTTGGGCTGAAGAAGGTGTTCCATGGCTCTTCGGGCGGAATTCATCCCGAATGTCTTTTTGTTCCGTTCCGCAATTCTTGCCATCTCATGTTGAGAATTCAAGTCGGTTGCGGACTTCCCTCGTGACAGTTGATGACGGTGAGTAGGGAGACGTGGAACTGGTGCAACGGATGCAGCAGAAGTATCCTGGGATTTGATTTTGCTTCGTGTCTAAGAGAGTCAATTAGCGATGAGCGTATAAGAGTGCGGACAATAGTTTCACATACCTTTGGGGGTTCGGGGAAGTCGCCAGATGTAACAGAGTGTGTGCTAGTCCTAGACGGTTTCACACTAGCCACACCTGGCGCCGATTCGCTTCCAAGGCCCAACTCCAAGCGTTCATTGATAAAACGCTCGAGAGGCAGGCTGACCGTGCGACTCTGTTGGAAGGAGACTCGCGGGTCGGGCTTTTGGTTTTCCAAACGACGGAGGCGATCCTCTCTCAAGGTATAGTCCCCATGGAAAGGAGCATGTGTAGATTCTGAGCGAGACGATGGCCGAAAAGGTGTCACATTAGAGGAAGCTGTGCGCGGCTCGGGTGCCTCAGGACTGGATATGAGGGAGGAATGGTCTGAAAGCAAGGAACCTACAGAACCAGTAGATGTCCGACGACGATGCGTAATTTGGTGCACTTTGCCATCTTTGTCGAGATCAGGCTTGCCTGGGCGGAATTTAGAAAGTTTAATAGGGCTCTGTAACGGCTTGCGAACCGTCTGTTGACAGGATTCTGTTATCCCATCATTCGACGGCTGGTAAGACTTCGTGGCCGTAGGATTTGAGCCCGACTTAGGTGATGCTACAGCCATGGGTATTTGGGAAACCCAGCCAAAGGGTCTCGATTTCGGCACTCGGATCTCTGACCTGTTTGGCGTGAGCACCGGAGAGATAGTTGCTGCCACCGGAGTATCACACTGAGTCTGTCCACTCGGCCCGTTCGGCGAGTTGGGATCTTGGCCGACGGGGGAACCAATAGTTCTAGGCTCAGGACTGACTTCGGTTGGCTGGGAGTGTGGAGCAGATTGCTTTCCTTGCTCGTCGGAGTTTCTTGCATTTCCATCAACGACAGTGTCATCAGGCAAGTCTTTGTGACTAGCAGAGGTTGTTAACTCTTCCCCGGCAGGTACACCAGCAGGAACGACAACCTTAGCACGTTTGACTTCCATCTCAGGTGCAGCGGAGTGTTGAACGCAAGGATCTTCGGCCAGAGCACTATGCTCGGATAATGGACTTGCTCTTGTCGAAGCTTGGCCGGGAGGTGACACAGCTCCGTCAAGCTGCTGGAAGCCGAGCGGGGGAATATTTTCTTTGTTTTCCGAGGTGCGATCAATTGCGCGAGGCGTATGTACAGGAGCTGAAAAGGGCTTTCGACTGATCGCAGGATCGGGTGGGAAGTCGGACTGTGTTGGTGTGTCTAGATCCTCTGCCACAACCACAGGTGTGAGATCTTCTTGCTTCTCTGCGATTGGAGACTTTGATAAAGAAGATATCGAGAGTTGTGAGTTCGGTGAGGCATCCCCTTTCACGCAATCTGCAGGAAGTGGCGTCTCTTGAAGAGGCACCGTTGATTCTTCAACAGATTGTGAGCTAGTCGGCTTTGCATCACCGGGCGAGAGTTTAAGATCACACTGAAGTTCAGGCTCATTTTCGATGACATGCTCCTGAGTGGAACAGAGATCATCTGAAGGTTCTGATCCAGCTGAATCGGATGCTGGGTCCTGTCGTATTTCCTCCAATGACTCTGCGCGCTGGAGCTCGGCTGCGCACATCTCAGCCATTTGAGCCTCGGCTTGTGACCGCAACAACGCGCTGTGAACCTTGTATTTATCGGCCTCTACCACCCACGCAGCAAAGTCAGACTCGATGGCTTCTAAGTCATCAATCCATTGTTCGGGCAACGAATCCGGACGACCCTCCAATGCATCGAGAACTCGGTCCATCCGCCTCCCCACAGCCACAACCGCGGATTCCAGTTTAACATGATTGGCAGCTAGGGACGCGTCGGAGAATTCGCTCGGGCCGAAGGCAGAGGAATGCGGGGTTCGTAAGGCGTGGAGGGAGGAGTCAAGGGCAGAGCGGGTCAAGCTCAGCTCTCGCAGCAGACCAGGAATTTGGCGTAAGACAAAAATGCGAACTTCCCAAGTGGCAAGTAGGGCGTTCAGTCGCGATAGATGTGGGAGAGCTCGCAGAATTGTCGCGGTAATAACAGCTGTAAAGTCGCTCAGCTGTACATAGCTAAGCGGCGGAGGCACGGACGCGCAGCTTGTGGCGGACGAGGGCCGAGACCTGAGATGGAATGTGGGCATTCAAAACGTGTTCCTTTAATTCTTCCACGTTAAGATCGTCCATTCCATCACGGATTTCGTCGGCTCTCTTCTCGTATCGCTCGACCACGCTTGCTAACAAGCTCCCGTAGTAGCTTTCCTGGGTGTTGCTAGGGGGGAGCCAAGAGGCCCGACGGGGTGGGATTTCCCCCAGTGTGCGACTGATGTGGAGGAATGAAGCCCATCCCCACCTTCGCGTCGCGCTGGTTTGGCCAATCCCATGATTGAACCTCTTTGTGCCATAAGTTCAAGTTTTGGGCAGCTACCGCGGCGCGTATCCCTAGAGCGCGTTCCGACGGCGACACCTGGGAGATACTTCGTGAGAGGATATCATGAGCGGCTTGTTCGTTCGAGGGGACTGCGTCCGTTGATGTGAGAGCTTGGAGAGTTGATTCGGGAGAGAGGTTGCTGAGGAGAGGGTCGAGTTGCTGGTAGACGGAGCCAGGGATTCTGTCAACTGAAGTTGAACGCGAGTTATTTCGGGAGTGGGATTGGACGGGGACAGGCGGATGGAAGGGCGACTCGGGCTTATCTGACTGGGCGCCATGCCGAATAGATGCTCGGCCTAAGTCGTGTAAAGTCACAGGGAGCCTCGAATGGCTCGAGGATGGCACGTAAGTGACGGGCGTCGGAACGAGGGCGGGAAAGAGGACTGTCGAGCCCGCATGCTGAGACGCGCGTCTTAAGAAAGTGCAGAACTTGGCAAGCAATAAGCTGGAAATTGGAAATCGATGAGAAATAAAGAAATGGGAAAAATGATTGGAAGTTGAGGAGAGATCGAAGTAAAGTGAGAAGAAGCGAGAAGTGAGGGAGTGCGGAGAGAGTGGATAGTGGGCACAAATGAGTGACAAGAACAGAAAGACCTGCTTTCTGATCACAATGATATCAAAACAATAGTTCGGAAGATTTTCTGAAGTTGAATTTATTTCTGGAAGTGGAGATCTGATCAGGGGGAAAAAGGCCCTAAGGTCTTGAGTGGAGTTGCCGATATGAACCGCCGGGTGATCCGCCGTACTATGGGGGAGAATACTACACTTTCTTCATTTTTTATGTTATAACTTGGTCAATTCGAGCATATCGAAGGGCTTGAACAAGGGAAAAAATCTCTATGTTGAACCGAAGAAAAGATGTCAAAGTGTTTCCGGAAGGGGAAACAAGGCTATTTGAAAATAGCTTCAACTTTAGACGCAAGGGAGAATATTCGAATATTTGACCAATTATTCCTTATATACTCCGTAGCAGATATTGACCCAGCAAAACCAAAACAAATTACCTATTTGGTCGATTTCTGCTATCACTATGCGGTAACGATGGCGTTGTCGGAACATGAGGGCGCACCTCCTAGCCCAAATAGGTCCAGGAATATCCCCGAGACTCTCCAGAGTTGCAGAATTGCAGATCTGCAGAAGCATCTTCTACCAAGCCTATCATCATGCAAGGGTTCCGCTACAGCCCAGACCTTCTGGAAGGTCTCCCGAAGAGCTCACTAAGGAGCTCAAGAAATATGAAGATTGGTTCTGGCTCGATGCGCCCAAGTTGAAGACGATTTCAGATCACTTTGCTAAGGAGCTGGAAAAGGGTCTTACCATCGAGGGTGGGTCTGTTGTCAGTATCCATTGCCCCATGATTTGAGTATCGAGTAGATGTTGACTGGAATCTTGGCTTGAACTGAAGCCTATGAACGTCACATGGATTATGAAATACCCAACAGGCCAGGAGCGAGGACGGGTTCTCACCGTTGACCTGGGAGGAACCAACATCCGTGTGTGTGATGTCTGTCTTTCCGCGGGAAGAGAGACTTGGAGCAACGTCAGCGGAAATACAAGCTTCCGGAGGAAGTCAAGACGACCACAAAAGAGGCCCTGTGGGGTTTCATTGCGGACCAAATCAAATCGTTCCTCAGTGAAAACCACAGTGGCCTCGGTACTGAAAACCCACTACCGATGGCGTTTACATTCTCGTTCCCAGTGGAGCAAAAGTCTATCCGCAGTGGCATTCTGCAACACTGGACCAAAAATTTCAATGTTTCCGGAGTGGTAGGACACGACGTAGTACCTCAGCTGGAGGAAGAACTAGCAAAGAAGGTAAGTTCACGTTCGACACCAAGGGAATCGAAACTGATCAAACTAGAACGTCCCAGTGAGAATAGTCGCCCTCGTCAATGATACAGCGGGGACCCTTGTCGCATCACATTACCGGGATCCGCATGTAAAGATTGGTAGTATTTTCAGTACTGGCTGCAACGCAGCGTACATGGAAGAGTGCCGGTTGATCCCAAAGCTGCGTGGCTCAGGACTGCCTGAAGATGCAACTGTGATCATCAACACCGAGTACGGTGCGTTTGATAGCGAGCGTAAGGTACTACCGTTGACTCCATTTGACCGTCAGCTTGACGATGAGTCCGCCCACCCAGGCAGACAGATATATGAGAAGATGGTATCTGGGTTGTACATAGGAGAGATGCTGCGCCTGGTAATGCTGAGAATGCATGAGGAAGGTATGCTCTTCAAGGGCCAAGACGTCTCGCGTCTCCGGACCGTGAACTCATTGGAGACATCTTTTCTGTCTGCTGTTGAGACGGATATGTCCGAAAGCCTCACCGACGTGAAACACGTGTTCAAGGAGAGCCTCAATCTGGAAGTCGCGCTGGACGAGCTGAAAGCGTGTCGTTATCTTATCGGCCTGATCTCGATGCGCGCAGCGCGTCTCTACGCGTGTGGAATTGCGGCCATCTGCAAGAAAAAAGGGATCCGTCAGTGCCACGTTGGGGTTGATGGCACGGTGTTCAGTAAATATAGTATGTTGAAGGGACGGGCAATGCAGGGTCTTCGTGATATTTTTGATTGGGAGGGAGACAGATTGGATTGGATTTCTCTAAACACGGCCGAGGATGGGTCTGGAGTAGGAGCAGCTTTGGTTGCGAGTGTGGCTCTTGACCCGAGTGAATTAGAAGATTGTAATGCGGAGGAGTATATGTAAAATTGAATTGTCATCAAACTGTTCGAAAATTGTGAGAAAAAGAGTTGTAGACGTGAAATCGTCATCTCTGTGATAGCGATAAGCACTTCACTAGGGATCGGCCCTCCTCCCTCCATCATCCACTTGCACAATGCGGTTCCGAACACAATTAAGAGACAGCAAGACCTTCTCCAGTAAGCTTAATCGTTAGAACAAAGGATCTGAGCTAACTAAATCAGAGCTCACCGCGTCATTGTCCTCGCTGGGCAAGGTATGTTGGATGCGCCTGGAGTACGAGGTGATCCGCTTTACCATCATACCCGACCAAGGCACACAAGTGTGGGCATCAATACCAGTCGTAAGCACAATGATATCAAAGATATCAGTCGTATGATCTATATATTCACTGCTTTTCAGGGAACCATTTTCGATGACACAACCTACGAGCTAGAATCCAATTCCGACGCCATCAATATCGAAGTCAATATCAGCGTCCTGAACCGGGCCCTGCGCTCCGCCTGGGGCGCAACACATGCACAGCTCCGACTAACTAAAAAAGAGAAGACCCCTCTCTTGGCACTAACAGTCCTCGCATCAGAATGGACAGAGGGAAACATGGCCTTGGCCACCAATGATGACGCCGGCTTTGGCGACGAGCCCAATTCAGAAGAAGCACCAGCCGACACGACAGGTGATCGAGGCCCACGCGAACGCCAGACATGGATCACGCAAGAAATTCCCATCAAGATCCTCCACGAGTCAGCAGTCGAAGGCTTGCACGAACCGCACTGCCCAGACCCCGAAGTGCACATCATCCTACCCAACCTGGCGCAGTTAAAGAGCATCTCCGATCGCTTCACGAAACTCGCATCCACAGATAGCAAAAACCGACAGCCGGGCGTGATGGCACCCGATGCGCCGGGGATGCACTCTGTCTCTTTCGGTGGAGCGGGCGCTAACACAGCTGCCACGGCACTATCCACCAACTCGTCTCCCAAGCTTGAATTATCCGCTAATATGCATGGTTCGCTACGGCTAGCTATTGCTACAGACGAGCTGCGCATCGCGAGTGTCTGGTCTGACCTCGTGAACCCGCCGTTGGATCCTGCGCAGATGACTCAGGAGGAGATGAGCCAGCTGCCCAGTGAGCTTAATCGAAAGCGCGAGGCGAGCGAGGCGTTCGATTTTGGTTGGGCTAAGGTCCGGATTGATGGAAAGGACTGGAGTCGGGTGCTCAGTATTGGTAGACTCAGCCCCAAGGTTGTTGCCTGTGAGTTTCGATGCTCCTCGGAATTGCCGCTTGCTGGTGCAAGTGCTGACTCGATTTCTCATTCGTTGTGGTTAGGCTTCGTCAATGAAATGGCACTGGTTCTCTACGTTTATCTGCCACATCATCGCGATGAAGAGGAATCTTGTTTGACGGTGAGTTTGCATTACCCCAAGAATGCATTCCTCCAACGACCTAGCCTTCTAACAATCGCATTACAGTATTATATCAATTCATTTACCACATGATCATGTGGTGGAACTTGAGCTATCGTGGTCATCTTCCAAAGTTCAGGCGTTTGAAGGTCGGAATGAATTATTAGAAATCGTTATTAATTAAGACAGGTGCATGTGAGAAGCCATGTAAGAAGAAGCCTCCAGTTCCAGAAAGTTCCAGCAAGCAACAAAATGTCAGGCCACAATAGAACATCAAGGGGAGGAGAATGATATACATAATGCCAGGAGTACAAGCCCTTGACTCCATGGATGAGGTCGCGCCAAAGAACAGCAAAGGTCAAGCTATGTGCAAAGGCAAGGCTTCAGATGGCGTTCAGTGAGGGAGAATGCAGAGAGATGGCGTGTCTGCCGGGGCAAGAAACGAGACACATGCAGGATGCTGGGGCAATGACAAATCTAGTGACAGGGGGTCGTATTATTCAAGGGTAGGGGGATGTGGTTCATCAAAGAAATCATGTGGTAACAAATAAAAGGCATAACGATAAAACAAACATAATGGAACAAAAGAAAAGGACATTATAGCACTGGGTTAGTCGGAGACTGTAAGCACTATATCATCGGCCATTCAGATAAAGTCTGATGGTTACTGGGCCATCACGTCAACGTAACGGCCCTTCTTCTTGCCGCGAACCGTGTTGCCCTTGCGCGCCTGGGGCGCACCAATCAAATCATCGATTGAGCTGGCATGAGTCAAAGACGAAGAAGGTCGCGGCGGCGGGCCGCTGGAACTACCAGGTGGTGTCGGCATAGCCGCTCCCGTAGAAACAGACCGAGGCGCAATACCAGAGAAGCCTGGGCTGGAGGATAACAACGGCGGGGCTGCGGCTGAGGACGATGGAGGCCGGCTGCCAGAGACCGACATTGGGGGCATCGGAGATGCACCGTTTGGTGGCATGCTACCAGAGCTAGCAGTGCGGCTGGGAGGAGCTGATCCTCGAGGAGGAGGCGGGGTGGCTTGGACCGGCGCGCTACTACCAGGGTCTTTCTTGTTGACCCATTTCTTCAGATCCTTGTCGTAGTAAAAGGAGCTCTCTTCACCAAGTTTAGCTCGGATAGGACCACCACCGGAATTGTTTTCCTCTTTCTTAGCTCCGCCGAACCACCCACCAAACCAACCCTTCTTGGCAGGTTGCTGGGCGTCCTTCTTAGCTACAGCAGAAGTCAGATTAGCAAGTGAGATAAGCAATAGGTGTTATTGATACATACCATCTTCCTCGGCGGCTTTCGCGAACGCTTCATTTGCCTTGCGATCATTCTCCGCTTTTTGGATAGCCGCTGCCCGAGCAGCAAGATCGTCGTCGTCGTCCATTATTGACTTCTTCTTTGGCTGTTCTTCGGTAGATGGCAGATCCTCCTCCTGGGCTACATACCCCGTGTCTACAGCAGCTGCAACCGGCTCATAAGAAACAGGCTCGTAAGACGAGCTGGGAACTGGAGGTGCGTAGGGTGATTCAGAGTCCGGTACACCAGCTGGCATACCAGGAGGGCCTTGGTAATAGGGGGATTCGCTGGATGTAGCGGCCTGTCCTGGAGGCTGGTAAAAGAGACCGTTCACCATGGGCTGTGCAGCTGGAGGGGCTTCAGCGGGTGACATAGCCTCTTCTACCGGAGCAAGAGGAACATAAGACGAATGCGGTGGCGTTTGTTGATACCCACCCGCGTTTGGCGACCCATACATTGGAGCTCCATAGGACATGTGTTGATCAATCGAGGGCGAGAGTTCTTGTGAGCTTCGACGTTGTCCAACGGGCGGGAAGTAGGAAGCAGATCTCTGAGAATCCATCGAAGACCGGCCCTTGAACTGCTCAGGTGAGCCATTGGGCGCATGTTGGCTGGATGGGTGATACTTGGACGCGCCGCTGATAGGAATAGGCTGCGCTCCTGTCGCTGCTCCAGGATAAGAACCGTAGACGTCAGATACAGACGGTGGGCGGCTAATCGTTGGTGTACCAGCCACGTTTGCGAAAGGTCCAAATTCCGCATTCTCGCCACCCTTACCGGACCCAGTTGATGCAGCATCACTATCATCACCTACCACGAAGCTATTGAAGCGAGCCCACATAGACCCCGAGACCTTCTCCATGCTTGGCCTCGAGATCCAAGAGCCACTGTCGCTGGTTGTCTGACGCAGACGTGCAGACAGCTCTTCAACTTCCGCAAAGAGGTGTTGGTGATAGTACGGCGAGGGACGAGTGGTTGCTTTCAATGCCGCTGCCACTGCGTCGCAATAGCCTTGCGCCTCCAGGTTGCGACCATTGTCTACGAGGCACCTGGCGTTCAGGATCTTAAAAGCCAACAGATGTGGCATATGGGCTGTTGGAGAGTTGCCGAGAACAGACGTAGCAAATTCATAAGCTTCAGTCAGCAGGATAGCATCTTGATCCACTAAGGAAGAAGGGCAACGCTGATGGTCAGCACCAAGGAGAGCGATCTTGGCGTTTGGATCATCGGGGCCACCAAAAACGGCAGCACGCGAGAAGATGTAACAGACGTGAGCAGCCTCTGTCCGTCCATAAGAAGTAAGCAGGTGACCAAGGGAAAACAGGGCTTGATGATCCTCGGAACTTCGGTTACTCAAAACCAGACCCAAGGTATCCTTCCACTTGTCTAAACCCTCGAGAGCATTCTTAGTAGAACCCTGGCCATCGGCCTTGCTAATAAGTTGCAGACCTGCTCGGGCAGACGGGGAACGAGTTCGTCAATGCTCTCTTCAATATTTCCAGCGAATATCTCGTAGAGGGCTGCAAGTGAGTCGGTGTTGGCGGATTTGGATCTGACCTCGCGGCGGACAAACTCCTGCACCACCTGTTTTGAAATTGACCTGTCCATGGTGGATGAGATGATCATCGCATGTCCCCAAAGACGACGATCGACAGCGCTCCAGACGGCCTTCTCCCGATCACCACAGATCAAGTATAGGCGAAGCTCCTCCAACCACTGCGCATCAACAGCATCGGGCTGGGCAGGCATTTCCGACGGGGCAAATCCTCCTGAGGCAGCTAAGCCGCTGGTGTATGATCCCTCTGCATCCGGGTTCGGTAGGTTGGGGAAGATGATCTGGCGGAGAGACTTTTGGATTTCAGAGGAACTTTCCAGGTTACCGTCATTCTCCACCAGAAGCTTGACAACCTTCCAGAGGAGGGTTTTTTCCTCCCGGCGTTTGTGTGCATCAGACTGGACTTGTTCGTAACTTGGCAGGTTTGAATTTTCGAATGCCGCAATCTTGCTAGAAAGCCAAGCAAGCAAGTCCTTCTTCTTTGACTTTGCTTTGAGGGGCCCAGGATGCTGGATAATGCTATCAGGGGAGGGCAGCCATTCGCTCAGCTGGGAAATTTTCGGTTCACCAAGGGTGGGTTGAATCATTGGCGCCACTTGTCCAGCGGAATAGCGAGGAACGTGCCTAGGGAAACAAGACACCACGGCTCCGCCGAAACCGAACTTGAAGATCGGAGCGCCCTTCCATCGCCCTAGGGAATCATGCTCATGTCCATCATTGGGAGCAATAAATTCCAGGTGCTGCGTGGGAGCCCGGGCTTGAGAAACGACCTGCACAGGAGCATACGGATTGACCGTTTTAGTCGGCGAGCCCGAAACTTGCACCGAAGCCGGTCGTTGGAGCGTATCAATGTTTTGCCCGTAGGAGCGCGGGCTCGTCAAGTCCCGGGCAGGTGACTGGGTCTGAGACCTGCGAAGTGGACCCATCTGGATATCGTTAGGTGGTGGAGGCACGTACACATTCGTCGCGGGAGCTGGAGCAGATTCTGGAGCCGGCGCGAGACGCTGGGCAAATTCATTGATATATTCCTGAGGGGCATAGCGACTTTGAGGCGGAGATGGTTGCACAGGTGAGCCCGCACTTTCTCGCTGCGATACGCTGACAGGACCATTGACATACTGCGAAGCGGTAGGTGTGATTTGTCCAAAGCCAGCTCCTTGCCCGCGCGGGGGAGAAAGATTGATCGCGGGCTCGAGAGATGGGGGCTTGTGTGATTGATCAGGCTGGTAAGAAACCTTTTCATGGTGTGCAAGCGGACTCGACGTCCGTGGCTGGAAAGGCAAATTTTGGCCAGGGACATTAAGTGGCTGCGAGGCATAACGATTGCGAGCGGAAGAGGTAGGAGGGGGCGCAGGGGGAATATCTCGGCAACGAAGGCGGCTTCGAGGGTGCTTGCAAGCCAGGAGGTTGAGGAGAATATCTTGCAACAGCAGGAGGTCCCGCCGGGGCACTCGATGCAAGGCTAGCATACGGATCCAGCTGGTCAGGCGGTTGAAGTGTGGATTGAATTGGGAGCGTGATAGGCTGTGCAGCTGGTGGTGCGGGAGCATATTGAGCCTGGGGAGGAGGAATAGACGACCCGGTCATCGTCGGCGCCGCCTGCGGATTAGGGGTGTACCGACCTGAGCTGGCAGGCCTAGACCTTGGTGGCGCCAGAGGAAGTTCCTCGTAGAAATTCTTCGCTGCAGGGGGGGGCAACCACGGCTGAGGGGGGAGCCGCTGGAGGGGGGAAGCCAGGAGCAGAAGCACCTGGAGGAGGAGGAGGTGGGGGCATACTAGTGACTGTTGGAGGAACAGGCTTTTGGGTAACGACCGGCTTTCGAGGTCGGGAGATATCATCTGGAAGGTCGTAAGGAGATTTGTAGCCCTGTTTTGACCGTTCAGCAAAGCTCTCTCCCGGGTTGCCGCAGGGTTCTGCGGTGGTTGCGAGAAGTATGATGATATCGCTCCGGTGGATGGCGGCGCAGTGCCTGGAAGAGGAACACCCTGCAATAGATCACCAGTGGACGGTTGGTGGGGTGTGTACATGTTAGGAACAGGGATTGGCTGAGAAAAGGCCTGAGGGGTCTGGAACGGACTGTTCAAGCCAGCTGAGAAACCATTGTTGGTAGATTGAACAGGTGTTTGATCAATGTGCCCCTGTGCAGGGACAGATTGGGCGGCTTCAGTCTCTAGCAGTATATCGTCATCGTCCAACGCCGCCTCCCAACGAGCCGCCAGATCATCATCCGGTGAATCGGCTAGCTCAGCTTCCCACCGTGCCGCCAGCTCTTCCTCCGATGGGTCGGCTGTTGTTTGGGGCTCCAACGACGCAGCCTTCAGTGCATCATCAAACTGCGCTGCAGCCGAAGCGTCACTAACCGGGGAGTCTAGAGCAAATCCAGCCGACTCCAACACCTGAGACGTGCTCTTTCGTTCGAGATGAACGACGGGTTGCTCCTCAGCATCTTCCTTAGAGATGGAGCCGAAGAAATCCTCATCGTCGTTCTTAGCCTCTGGCTTCGAAGCCGAGCTAAAGAAACCATCCGCGTCGTCATCATCGTTGGAAAATACGTTGTCGATTGATTTTCCCTGTTCCAGTGGTTGCTGAGGCGAAGCTGGTGTAGACTCATCTAACAATGGGACCCCTTCCTCAAACCTAGACTCGGCTTCTGGCGGCGCAAAGATAGGCTTCGTCTGGCTGTTCAATTGGTTAAAGAAGCCGTCATCGGATTCGACTTCACCGCTCGGCTCGTTTTTCCAGAAAGGTTGATCCTGAGTGGTTGTATCCACGTCCCCTGCGGCCAGGTCTAGATGGGCGTCGTTGGCCGGTGCAAAGGCCTCCGCGGCAGGAGGTGGTGAACCGGTATTCTCAGATTCAACTTTTGTAGAGCGAGATACGACATCCAGTTGCTCATTTTCGGTTGGAGCGATGACCTTTCCAGTGGAGTTGAAGACATCAGCACCCGTAAATGCTGCTTCCTCTGGCGATGGACGTATAGCTTCTTCAGCAAACTTTGGCTCATCGCTGTCCTGAATTTGAGTAGAGGTTGAGGCAACGTCTGGGATAGTATGGAAATTTTTGCTAGGAGGGGTAGCCTCTTCGGTGGGGGGGCAGCGTATTGCTAAGGTCCTTCTCAAAGGTGGCCCAGGGATCCTCAGAATCGGCATTCCCTCGTCTGCTTGTGAGAACAGTTCTTCGGTAGTGGTGGACTGAGTGGTATATTCATGTTTAAAAGCGTCCAAGGTAGATTCGGGCACCGTTGGTTGCTCCTCTCTTGAAGGTGTAGTCTCCGTCACAAATTTCGACTCCGGGGTGCTTCCTTGTTCCGCAGTATCTGAGGTTTCGGTTTGAACAGATGGTCGCGCATCTATAGTGGTGGGACCAGATTGGACTGAAGGTGTTTCGGCCTGAACTGGCTCTGCGGGCTGGGTTTCTGGCAGGGCGGGATTTAGGACGGCATCTGCGCTCTGAATAGATGGCGCAACAGTTGTATGAGCCGTTTCAATTGTCTGATCTGGGACTTGACAGGTCTCTTCAGCGGAATCAGTGTCTAGACACGCGGCCTGGTCCACCACCGGTGGTGCATTGTTCACTACCTCGTCCAAGCTCGTGTGTTGAGGCGGAATCGCGTCTACCTCGTCGGACATATCCCACGCAGAGAAATCCTCGCTCTGTGGAGATATAACTTCATCTAGGGACCCGTCCTTTCGCTCATCCGCCGCATTCGGATCCGACATCGCACTCTGGGTCGAGCTCATCGTAACAGGAGAGTTGTTCTTCTCCGGCCGTAACGCCGGATTCCATGACTCCGAATCATTTTCGGTCGCTTGGTGCGCCATATGTGCAAAGTTGTTCTCGATTGCCAACGTGACTGGGGAGAGGGGGGCTGCAGTCCGGAGGGACCAACCTGACACGTCTCCAATGACGCCTCAGGAGATCAACAATCGTGAAAGAAAAACGGGGACGAAGAAGTCAACTTAAAAGTCCATTAGACGGCGTAGATATAGAACAGAGCAAAAAACTCAAAGAAATAAATCGATCATGAATGCATCAGCTGATGGCGAAGAATAACCAAGCAGTCGGATTGTCCTAGAATAATGCGACAGCAAAGGGCCATCTCCGCCTATCATTCCCCCGGGTCAAGAGGCGCTGAGTCATCCGGATGCTATCCCGAATAGGAAACATGCAAACCCGTGATTCGGAGTAACTGATAGTCCGGCCGTTTTATGTCCAACCTTAAGAGTGCAACATTACGTCAGCTAGTTGTCGCCCACGGATTATGCACTCACTCATGTGATTGCGTGGCCCAACAGGCAGTCATCGACTATCCTTGAACGAGATTCAAAGCGGTTCTCCCTTTTTGTCTATTTCACAAATCTGTTTAATCGTGGCATTGACTGCATATTACACAAAGAAGCGTTTCGTTCCCTTTTTCGACCCTGGCAACATCCCTCCACTCTTTCATCATCATGCTGCATATGCGTTTGGACCAGTACTACCACACATGACAACATATACTTGAGATGAACCTTCCTTGGATGCGCAAGGCCCAAAAGCTCCACCTTGCATACCACCAGCAATCCATTTGACTTGAACCATATCAGCTTTCCCATAATGCGTTCCTCATCCGAGTACCTACACCCCCTGGACCACCCCGATGCACCAGGCACCTTGTCGGACTCGGACGATGACTTGGATCTAGAAGAGCTAGACCCCAGCACGGCATCGCCTCAGCAGTCTCGTGAGTCTCGGGACTATACCGGCCGGAAAAGAAGCTATGGGCCGGCTATCGCGTTGCGCAACTTGCGTGTCGGAGCGGCAAGTCGGTGGAGACGCAGTGCGTCTGGACGCGCAGACTTGGAGGATGATACCGATGCGCTTCTAGAGAACCGGGAGGAACAAGGCTTGCGGGACTCGCATGCAAGCTCCAGAAACCTGGAAGACGACGATGCGCCTCTCCTGGATCGCAGAGCGTCGACTCGCGATTTCAACGATGAGCCTCCCAAGAAAGGCAACCGCTTGCGCTTCCCAGGATTCAAGACTCCCGCATTTCTACAGAGCACATCAATTCGATTTGGATCGAATGACAACGACCCTGAGAACCAACCTCCCCGTGAAGTACTTGTCGGGCAGTACCAGGCTACTAAGTATCCGGCCAATGTGGTCTCGAATGCAAAATACACACCCTGGAGCTTTCTACCAAGAACCCTCTACAACGAATTTTCCTTCTTTTTCAACATATACTTCCTCCTTGTGGCTTTATCACAGGTCATCCCGGTGCTACGGATTGGATATATGTCGTCCTACATTGCCCCTTTAGCCTTTGTGGTTTCGATATCATTGGGTAAAGAGGCACTTGATGATATTGGTCGTCGGCGGCGAGATGCCGAAGCCAATGCAGAAGAATACTGCACTATAGCATTAGGAAGGTCCAACGCGATGGAGGTCACAAAAAAATCGCGAGACCTGAAGGTTGGTGATGTGCTCAAAGTCCGCAAGAACCAACGCCTTCCTGCCGATGTGGTGATTCTGAAGAGCATCTCAAATGACTCCGGCACTCCTCGTCATTCACTAACGGAAGAACCTGTCCCTGGGGCGTCTTCCGACTTGCTCGAACCAGGTCAAGGATCGTCCGAACCCACGAACAACACCACATCCAAGAATGGTGAAGATATTGAAAATCCACCAGCAGGCGACACTTTCATTCGGACTGATCAATTGGATGGCGAAACTGACTGGAAGCTTCGCCTGCCTTCCATAATGTCTCAATCGCTCCCTCTGGGCGATTTAGGTCGACTACAAATCACTGCTAGCGCACCTGATAAGAGGGTCAACGAATTCATGGGGACTATTGGGCTGGGACCACCCACTGGATTCTACGATGCTCATGTTGACAAATCCTCTGGGCCTCCAAACAATGAAGGAACGCCTGGGCCTGTGGAAAATCAATCAGCTCCCTTGACAATCGACAATACTGCCTGGGCCAACACTGTTCTTGCGTCTAATACTATCACCTATGCCGTCATCATCTATACAGGATCTCAAACCCGGGCTTCGCTTTCAACTTCCGCCTCCCGTTCCAAGATCGGCCTGTTAGAACTCGAAATCAACAACCTAACCAAAATTCTCTGCGCGCTCACATTTACTCTCTCGATCGTCCTTGTCGGTTTGGAAAGATTCCAACCAACAAACGATAAGAAATGGTACGTTGCGATCATGATCTATCTCATTCTCTTCTCCACGATTATTCCCATGAGTCTTCGGGTGAATCTGGACATGGCCAAGTCGGTATACGGGCGGTTTATCGAACGGGACAAAGACATTCCAGGAACGGTCGTCCGCACCAGTACAATTCCAGAGGATTTGGGAAGGATTGAATATCTGCTTTCAGATAAGACAGGAACGTTGACCCAAAATGAGATGGAGCTCAAAAAAATACACGTTGGCACTGTATCATACGCCAACGAGGCAATGGACGAAGTCGCCTCATTTATTCGTCAAGCTTTCGCGTTTTCGGGCAATACCTTGACCACCCCTTCCACTGTCTTCGGAACGCAGGCCGGCCATGCCACAGCGCCGCGGACAAGAAGAGAGATTGGTTCCCGCGTCCGGGATATCATCTTAGCGCTTGCTCTCTGTCATAATGTCACACCGACCACGGAGGAGGAAGACGGCCGCAAGGTGACGAACTATCAAGCGTCTTCGCCTGATGAAATTGCCATTATTCGATACACCGAAGAAGTCGGATTAAAGCTAGCATATCGAGACAGACAAAGTATTGTCTTGGAATCCACCGACTCCAAGCAGGTTGTGGTCCGGGCTCGTATTCTCGACATCTTCCCATTCACTTCCGACTCCAAGCGAATGGGGATTATCGTCCAGTTCCAGCAGAATGAAAGCGTGCTTGAATCCGGCAAAGATGACAGTGAAATTTGGTTCTATCAGAAGGGTGCAGACACTGTCATGAGAACTATTGTTGCAGCGAATGACTGGCTTGACGAGGAGACGACGAACATGGCCCGCGAAGGTTTGCGAACTCTCGTCGTTGGGCGCAAACGAATCTCCGTGCAGCAATACCAGGAATTCTCTACCAAATACAAACAAGCGTCCCTGTCTTTCCAAGGGCGAGATGCGGGCATGGCGAAGGTTGTGAGCGAATATCTTGAACAAGATTTAGAGCTTTCCGGTGTGACCGGTGTGGAAGACCGGCTGCAGCGCGACGTCAAATCCTCTCTCGAGCTGTTACGCAATGCTGGTGTTAAGATCTGGATGCTGACGGGTGATAAAGTGGAGACAGCGCGTTGTGTCGCTATTTCTGCCAAATTGGTCTCCCGGGGCCAGTACATTCACACAGTCACCAAAGTCACAGACAAGTCGGCTGCGCAAGAAGCTCTTGACTTCCTGCGCAACAAAACTGACTGCTGCTTGCTGATTGATGGCGAGTCCTTGAACCTCATGCTCGGCCAATTCAAAACAGCTTTCATCTCTGTCGCGGTGCTACTGCCCGCCGTGGTCGCATGCCGATGCTCCCCCACCCAGAAAGCTGAGATTGCAGACCTCATTCGCCAACACACGAAGAAGCGTGTCTGCTGCATCGGAGATGGCGGCAACGATGTGTCGATGATTCAAGCAGCCGATGTCGGAATTGGTATCGTGGGCAAGGAAGGCCGCCAAGCATCTTTGGCCGCTGATTTCAGCATCACGCAGTTCCATCATCTGACCAAGCTTCTAGTCTGGCACGGCCGCAACTCGTACAAACGGTCTGCTAAGCTAGCACAGTTCATCATGCACCGTGGGTTGATCATCAGTGTTTGCCAGACTATGTACAGCATCGCGAGCCACTTCGATCCCAAGGGCTTGTTCATCAACTGGCTCATGGTCGGCTACGCTACTGTCTATACAAACGCACCAGTCTTTTCTCTCGCCTTTGATCGGGATGTCGACGAGCGTCTCGCCAATCTCTACCCAGAGCTTTACAAAGAGCTCAAGACAGGGAAAAGTCTAAGCTATCGTTCGTTCTTTGGCTGGGTTCTCATCTCTGTCTACCAGGGTGCAGTGATTCAGGGTCTCTCTCAGATATTGTTGGATACTATCACAGGGCCGCGCCTAATTAGTCTTTCCTTCACGGCCCTCGTCCTTAACGAGCTGGGCATGGTCGCCACTGCAATCACAACCTGGCACCCGGTCATGATCTTCTGTCTGATTGGTACGCTGCTTGTATATGCGGGCAGCGTCCCCTTCCTTGGCGAGTACTTCGACCTTAGTTACGTGATTACCCTTGACTGGCTGTGGCGTGTTTTCGCTGTGTTAGCTGTGTCTCTGGTTCCGGTCTGGGCTGGCAAGATGATCAAACAGTCGTGGCACCCGCCAAGTTACCGAAAGGTCCGTGGATAGAGTTGGTGCTTATCATCAGTTCAGTGTATCTACTTTATTCTCTCGCTTGGAGTTCTCATCTGTCTCTTCCATGCCCTAGCTTCCGCCGATTTAGTTATCATGTGGCTCTGTATATTAGTCTCAAGGATCTTGACTTGCTGAGGGCATCTAGAATCGGGCTACTTCTATGCTATTAGATTGGTCAATCACTTCAATTCCACCCTTGGAAGTTTGACCACCAGGACAGTCAAGTTCATGTAGTGGTAGTTGGATGCCAAGGCGGACCCCCGGGGCCCTCCAATGACGTTGAGCGGAATCGATAAGCAAACACGTGACTCTCCCACTCAGGAAGGCGGTCAATACCTATCGAATCTTTTTTTTTCTTCGGGGTCAAACATCTGCTGCATAGAACTCTAGGATCAACCACTTTTTCGGTTGCCAATTCCTCGCCCATCATGTCTGACGAAATTGTCTGGCAGGTCATCAACCAGCAATTCTGCTCGTACAAACTCAAGTGAGTATCAATCTTCACTCGCTGGCTATTCCGTCCGCAGAACCTTTGGTCTCCTTTATGCATGGACAGAAAAAACAGAAAAACAAGAACATTTTCACTAACAGTTCCAACCTTCTCTCAAGAACGACAAAAGACCAAAATTTCTGTCGCAATGAATACAACGTCAGCGGTCTGTGCAACCGCCAGTCCTGCCCACTCGCCAACTCGCGGTATGCGACGGTGCGAAGCGATCCCGAAACGGGCGTCATGTACCTGTACATGAAGACCGTCGAGCGAGCCCACATGCCGAGCAAATGGTGGGAGCGTGTGCGCTTATCTTCCAACTACGCCAAGGCCCTCGAGCAAGTCGATGAGCGCCTTATCTACTGGCCCAAGTTCTTGACCCACAAGTGCAAGCAGCGTCTCACCCGCCTGACGCAGGTCAACATCCGCATGAAGAACATTGCCAAGGAGGACGAGCGTCTCGGAGAGAAGGTTGTGCCCAAGCTGGCACCGAAGATCCGCCGTCGTGAGGAGACTCGTGAACGTAAGGCCGAGTCTGCCGCTAAGGTCGAGAGAGCCATTGAGCGTGAGCTTATTGAGCGTCTGCGCAGCGGTGCTTACGGTGACCGGCCACTCAATGTCGAGGAGGGTATCTGGAAGAAGGTTCTCCGTGGACTTGAGCGTGCTGGTGATGGTGAGCGTGATGTGGACATGGATGACGGCGAGGAAATTGAGGAGGAGGAAGAGGGTGTTGGTGAGGTTGAGTACGTCAGCGATCTCGATGAGGAGGAGGACCTCGAGGATATGGAGGACTGGCTGGGTGTCGACTCGGCTGATTCCAGTGATTACGATGACGATGAGAGTGACGATGATGACAGCGAGGACGACGAGGAGGCTAGCGAGGATGAGAAGAAGCCCAAGCCCAGTGCCAAGCGGAAGCATGTTGCTCCCCAGACGAAGCCTCGCAAGAAGGGTCCTCGCATCGAGATCGAATACGAGACCGAGGGTGCTGGAAAGGACCAGGTCATGGCATGATTTTGTCGATGTTAAAGGATTTGGGAAAAGTTTACCTGATCTTGCATGGCGTTTGGGCTGTCAGTTATTTTGTTTCATATTCTTATTCTCTGCTAGTGATCGGGCATCATACCCTGCTATATTGCATCCACTACAAGTCACGATCCTAGATCTTCCAATGTCTATTTTATTTCCAATTGTACCGCGCAATATCCCATTTATTCCCGAGATACCTATACATAATTTATTTGAGACAAGACCTGACTTCTGCTGTTTTATCAAGGTGAAACACGTGATCACGTGGCCCAATGAATGTCCCGCTGCCTTTCAGTTTCATTTGAACGACTTCACCTCACCCCAGGAGCCGGTTCTTCTGTTAATATCCCCATTAATAATTTATTGCAACCATCCTCATACCTTACTCGACTATTCCACCCTGAATCTCTTGCATTGGGTCCCACAAGTAAAGCTCCAGCTCGCGCCAACCCCGCCCCGCATCGGAGCTGTCATTCTGCAGACCGCGCATTCCTCAACCACACCAGTCGCTGCTGCAAGATGAGCTCGTACCTCTCATCCTTGACCACCTCTTCGGCCATCTCTGGCCTGGGCTCACGGCTCACCAACCTTCGCCGTGCCATTACCCTAGGCGACGAGGGAGACGACCCCGACAACGAAGATTGCTCCCACATCTCCAACGCCCTTCGAGCCTATTACACCGAAAAAGGCCGTCCATTCCCACCATGGCTCCCACAAGACCCCAAGGGTCCGGCTCCGGCACAATCCCGCCCGATTGCGACTTCCCAGCTACCCTCCGGCGGCTACAGCCAGGGGCCGCCCGCCAACCCCTCTGGCCGGAGCGGCGGTCTAGGTGACCTATGGGGTGACTCCCCCACATCCCAATCCTCCGCACCGCAGACAGCCAGTCTTCGTCGCGGACGTGGCGGCGCAGCACCACCGCTTACCTCGGCCAATAGCGCGCCGCCGGCTGCCACATTTTCTCAGTCCCGTTCGCCTGCTGGATCAGGCTCCTCCAGTCCATCTGGAGCGCGACCATTGCCCAGCCAGCGAGCTGGGTCGCATCAGTCTTCCCAGAGTCGTCCAAATCTCGATCGTGCGGGGTCGGGTGGTGGTTCAGCCCAGGAGCGACTGCGGGCCAGGTTACAGGGAGGGAGGTCTCCTAGTCCCAATGTTGACCCTAGTGTTCGGAAGCCTGTTGGAATGTCTGGAAGACGGTAAGATTATGGAGACATACATTGCATGATGGAGGCATGGCGTCGGGGCGTTATTTCATGTCCAATGTTTACCGAGTACATAGATCTCAAGGACAAAGTTCATTCAATGATCGTGTGGTTCCAAGGTTCTGCGTAAATCTGTACCGAATATATTTTAACGGGATTGTACTATGTTCCGAGAATTCACAGGTGTGCTAATTTGATTTCCCCCCCCACGCGCGGGGATATATTAGGTTGAATCCTTCAAGACTCTTATGGACGTGACTCGATCATACCACCGATAGGGCAGAGATCACCCCATCCCCTAACCAGCCAATATATGCGATGGCACCCATAATTGGACCTCCGCAACAGCCGGGATTGCTTAGCGGCAGCCACCAACGCTAAGCACCAGGTGCACCTGACGAATGACCATCTCGGGAAAATCCCGCCTTTTACCCCAACGCGACCATCCCGTGTTTGGCTGAGGAACGTGGTGCTCCGAATGAAACGCAACTCGGAAGTTAGTTTCCCTTTCTCTCTTCAGGGACAGGTCATTGGTCAAGTGAGAACAGTCGATTTGAAGCCTTTGGCCAAAAGTCATGATATGCCCCCATTTCCCCGAAATGCCGCCGATGCATGTCTTCTCCATGGGGACCCCAACCCAGTCGGATAGCGGCGTCTTTCAGCTCCCCTCCGCGATGTGGCTTTTATCATACGGTATTCACTTTGTGTTGTCGATTGGATGATAAATTCGGCTTCGAATGTCGGAATTTTTCCCTGCAATATTCACTCCGTCTATTAATACGGCTATACCGTGATATATGCCGACACAACGGGAAGCCGGGAAACTTCCAGAAGTACAAGACCACATTTGGAAGCGTTGTCGATCTGAAAGGTCTGAGTGTCATTCTATGGCTTGACTGTTGCGTGCCCTGAAATGGTCAACATAAGCTTTGATGACACACGATTCGTCCACAGCCCCGATGGCTTGAATTCCCTATCTCTCCACATTCCAATCCCTGCTGTATGACTGCTGCACAACCGATGTGCACTGCATATTCCAGGTTTAGTCTTGTTTTTGCCTCCCGGTGAGACCGCGTTTTCCTTCTTCCCCTTCTCCTCAACCTGATCTCCCCGGACTGGTCCTAATTCTCCACTTCTCTCCGCACATGGGAAAGCACGGAGTGTATACTCCAAACCGAGCCTACACGACTCGGGCAATCCAAGCAGCAGAGCACATACCCGGGCTTTTTTTTTACTTTGCTTTTTGCCAAACCCCACACGGAGCCTTTGTCATGCGTAATATCAACCGTCGTCATCCGGACTGCCTCAAATAGTCTTTTCTCCCTTGACTCTACCAGCTAGTGCTATTGTTCTTCTATATTCTCACTCCATTCTCTATAAATCGCGGTCACTGCCAGGGCAGAGCCTGTAGTGGCGGTTCCACCCCACTGTTATACTTCACATCATTTAGTAGACCCAACAAACCATCTTCTGGGAAGGAGGTCTCATTCATCACGCATCATGGCCGACCTCAAAGATGTCGAAGCGCCCCAAAACACGCACAGCGAAGACAAGGATGCCGTCGCCTTCGAGATGGACGACGTGGCGGACCAAAAGCTCCAAAATGGGATGAACGAAGCCGCTATGGACGCGGAACTGCTGCAGCTCGAAGAGCAGGTGCACAGTCTCCCCAAATCCCGCTTCGAAATAACCTTGTCCAATCCTGGTACCTTCACCTACATCCTCGTTGCTTTCGCGTCCATGGGAGGTATGCTGTCTGGACTTGACCAGTCGCTTATCAGTGGTGCAAATCTCTACCTCCCCGTTGATCTGGGCCTGTCTTCAGCAGACAACAGTCTAGTCAACGCAGGCATGCCGCTAGGAGCCGTTGCCGGCGCTCTTCTTCTTTCTCCAGCGAACGAGTATCTCGGTCGTCGTATGGCCATCATCGTCTCCTGTATTCTGTACACCATCGGCGCCGGCTTGGAGGCTGGTGCCATCAACTTCGGAATGATCTTCGCTGGCCGATTCATTCTTGGCGCTGGTGTCGGTTTAGAGGGTGGTACCGTCCCAGTCTATGTTGCAGAATGTGGTATGTATCCCATCACGCTCAGTCTACGTATATACTCAATGCTGAAACGTTTAATAGTCCCCCGCAAACTCCGCGGCAACCTCGTTTCCCTGTACCAACTAAACATTGCCTTGGGCGAAGTCCTCGGCTATGCCGTTGCCGCCATGTTCGTCAGCGTCGAAGGAAACTGGCGTTACATTCTAGGGTCTTCACTGGTCTTTTCGACCATCCTCTTCGTGGGCATGCTCTTCCTACCAGAGAGTCCCCGATTCCTAATGCACAAGGGACGCGAGATTGAAGCGTACGAAGTATGGAAGAAGATCCGCGGGTTCGACGACCTCGAAGCCAAAGATGAATTCCTGGGCATGCGACAAGCCGTCACAGCCGAAAGCCAAGAGCAAGCCCAGTCAAAGAAGTACCCCTGGATGGACTTCTTCACTGTACCTCGTGCACGCCGCGCGATGGTCTACGCGAACATCATGATCTTCCTTGGACAGTTCACGGGCGTCAACGCAGTAATGTACTACATGTCAACGCTGATGCAGGCAATCGGCTTCGGCAACAAGGACGCCGTCTTCATGTCTCTTGTCGGCGGTGGAGCGCTGCTGATCGGTGCCATCCCGGCCGTGCTATACATGGAGCGATTTGGTCGTCGATACTGGGCGAACGTGATGTTACCAGGTTTTTTTATTGGACTTGTGCTTGTCGGTGTTGGCTACACTATCGATGCTGATAAATACCCCGCCGCGGCGCAGGGCGTTTACCTCACAGGTATTGTGCTGTACATGGGTTTCTTCGGCTCGTACGCTTGCTTGACGTGGGTCGTGCCTTCCGAGGTCTTCCCTACGTACCTGCGTTCGTATGGAATGACGACCGCCGACGCTAACTTGTTCCTGTGCTCGTTTATCGTTACGTACAATTTCACGCGCATGATGGAGGCTATGCAGCGGATTGGTCTGACGCTTGGTTTCTATGGTGGCATTGCTATCGTCGGCTGGATTTACCAGATTATCTTCATGCCGGAAACTAAGAACAAATCCCTGGAGGAGATCGATGAGCTTTTCTCGCTTCCTACTGCTGTTATTGTTAAGCGGAACTTGAAGCAGACTACTCAGGTTATTCGGGACTTGTCGCGTTTCCGTCTTAAGAAGGTGTTTTCTCCTGAGCCGTACAATTAGATTGGTTGTGCGTCTTGTTTGCTAAGTTGGATATGTATGGCTCATGCTTCGTTAAAGACAATTTGATGTGGCGACAACTTATATTCTGATATGCTACTACATACCCCAATCTATATCTTCAAGGGTATTCTTATTTCTATTCAAGTCAGCAGGAACTTAAAGACCTTTCCTTCGACTACTTCCTGACTATAGGCTGGGTTCTGGAGTTCGCTTTTGCCATTGCTATCTCGCCGATATCAACGGATCCCGCATCGCCTAAAAGATGAAACCGTATCTCGTGTGATGTCTCCTGCTCTTCTTCGCCTGCTCGCGGGGTTTCCTTTTCTCGCGTCTTCCTATGGCTCCCTGTTTTCACTTCTGCTCTTCTTGTCCTGGTTCCTCTTGACATTTTGCTTTATTGTTCCTTCTGCCCTTCCCCTCTGCCTTTCCTCTGAGACCCTTCTGGCGTCTTATCGTGAATCCAATTGTCTTTGCTGCCGACCCGACAGTTTTCTAACGCCTGTTATCATGGTTCCCAGCTGGGTTCTTCTCTTATTGGACAATTGTTCAGTCGAGGCCCCCAAACAGGGAAGAGCTTGCCAAGATATCACAATATCCGCCGCTCTTATAAGCCTTTGATGCACTGGCACCGCCTTTGAGCTGGCCCAGCGATATACTACGGTTTGCCGCCTCACTTTGTACAGATCAGCGGCTCCATCAAGTCGCCCCTTGCCATCCATCCCACAAGTCCGGTAATTCGCTTGTTATATGAGGTGTGGTCTATCATCTGACCACCTCACGTTTGATGAAATTTGTCGCCGAGAACGAATTGATGATTGTCCTCCTCTTTTCTACGCGGAGGATCCACGCTGCCCCCACCGAGACTTTATTAGAAAGGTCCGGAAAAATATGCCGCGGCTGTGGGGGATCTGCTTCGGGAAGAAGGTTTCAAGGAAAATACGCAAAGCCGCTCGTGCTGGTTTGTTTTCCTTGTCCGATTGGGAACTACGACTCGTGCCACATGTAGGCAATTGCCCTCAAGGCTCGTGATGTCTATCTGGGCCTCATTCTTCATCCCAAGTGGGACGATAGCTCAGTTGGGAGAGCGTGCGATTGAAGTTCGCAAGGTCGCTGGTTCGATCCCGGCTCGTCCCATTATTTTTTGATGTTTTTTGGTTCTCATTTCCGGTATAAACCTTTCCAAATCAAATAATAACCGTCCATGATGATGTGTGTGCGTCGAACATGCATAGCTTTTCCTGGGTGATCTAGCGAGGCTGGGAAAATTGCTAGTACATGACAATTGTATGAATGTATCATATCGTACGCTTCAAGATAATGAATGACAATGATCGCAGATAGTAATCAATTCTATATATAAATAAATAAGCAACTGACTTCCGGCCGGTCTATTCCGCTTGATTTAAGATCGGGGACGGTTCCCCCTTGCTTGAATGCTGTCGATTCGGGTCTGCACTTTCTTTGCAGGCACGCAGGGACTAGTGAATGACTGTCCGGGCTATCGAGTGCAGATCATCAGAGTATCCATAATGTTGCTGAACGTTGCTGAGTCTAGATGCTTTGCATGATGAGATCGGACGATCAAACCTGCCCTTACGTTAGTGATAATAGTCACAATTCGGTGAAGACTTTTGGAGATCATGATAATGCAGCTTTTGCTTGCAATACTATTAGGGATTTGCGTACTCTTGTTGCATATAGTAATATTTATCGCTCTATAGAAGCTATCTGCTATATGCATACGTAACGTGAGAGTAGCTTTTCGTGTCTGGTCTTCCTTTCTGCCTGAATTAATGCTAATTTTCCACTCGAATTCACTACTCGAATCATTCACTGCTTTGATACTCGAATTGCTACTTGATTAATGCCTGACCTGTTTATACTTGGGTCACCGATATCTTTATAAACGATTGACTCCTACAACGATATATATATATATATGTGTGTGTATGCACCACTCCTGCATGAATTCTCTGTTTCCTATCCATTTATATTACAGCTTTATATAGAATAGCAGTTATTTAGTAAAGGAATGATAAAAAAAAACAAAACAAAAAACACATGTATAATAAGAAAGAGCTAATTCAAAGTTCCAACATACCCACTGGAAGTAATACGGCAGTCTATGTATAGGAAAAAGGAAGTATATAAAAAAACATCAAAAAATAATGGGACGAGCCGGGATCGAACCAGCGACCTTGCGAACTTCAATCGCACGCTCTCCCAACTGAGCTATCGTCCCATCTGGGATGAAGAGTGAGGCCCAGATAGACATCATGAAACCTGATCTAATTCTCTGGTAGGAAAAGGAGTATGGTAGTCAAAGTCTACAGTGCGTCAGTAGAAATTTGCCAGCCTTCAAATGAGTCTCCATATAATTAATCAATTCATAGAGCTTTTGATCTGCATTGTGATTTTTTGATCAGTACGGTTCATTTATTGAAAAGGACATGCCAGAGTTGTATGTAGGTGAATCTAGTATAGTCCACAAGTCAGTCATTCGACTTCCTCGCAGCCCTGACATTTCCAGAATGCCAAAAAAAAAAAACCCCTTTTCCCCAAATTTTTTAGGGGGCAATTATTTTGGGTTTGTTTGTAGTTCTCTGTTAAAACAGGAATTCAACCGATGAAAGAAACAAGGGGCTTTGTTTTGCATTGTCAAGAAGGTCGTAAGGTTGGTGTGAAAGCGAGAAAGCGAAGTGCCTGGTTAAGGCCAGTTGGCGGATCTGTTTGCCAGTTGGTGTATTTCCTCAGCAGTTGATGGAGTCTCTCGCCAGTTGATGGTAAGCTCGAAGAAGAAACCTACTCAGCGCGACTAAAACAAGAATTATAAATTCATGCTAAGGGAAACAACCGAATAGCCTAGTATTGACTATTATCGAGCTATTCAATGGCCAAAATAATGTCCGTTTTGATTGAACCCTACAGTCATGTTCTGAATCACCGGAAGTGTGCATTGACAGACTTGACTTGGACTTATACCAAACCTGGCAAAAACGAAATCAAAAAGATCAAACCCGGGTGATCTTGAACTGATGATGAGAGTGATGAGATTTATCCTATTTTAACGTCGACCCTAATTGGGCTTCCCTGCCCTTGCGATGTAAGATTAGCGCTGCAGATACACTAGTTTGACATCACTTCCGCATTCCTCTGCATACAGGTGCGCATGACGTTGCATCGCATAAATATATTTCAATTCGGACGCTGTAAACCATTTATATAGATCCAGAATAGTCGGCTACTTGGGCCTTCTATATCCAGGGATATAGGGCTTAATCTGAGCCCCAAGTTGGTTTGAGATGATATTACAGACTCAGTTAATTTAACGACTTTGGTTTATCGAGGGTCCGTATTTTTTGTAAAAAGATTGTGGGGCCGGTTATAAGATACATATTATCTCTTAACCAAGTTCCTAATGACGTGCTAGTAGGGATCGTGCAGAGAGATATACGGAGACGTCGAGCTGCATGGTGGAATGTGATATCAAATTGAGAGTTGAGAAAGCTAAGTTCTAGACTATGAAATCTGCAAATCAACATGGCAAAAAGAACGAGCTAAATCGTTCCCTCGAGGATGGTGCAGCCCATATCAGACACGTTTCGGCGTGCTCGCCAAGAGCCACCGTTTGCTGCCTCGGAAGGGAAATGAGGGGGACAGCGGTTACAGCTCCACCACCAGTTTCATGGCACTAACTCCTGCCTTGGACTTTTCCAGCGCAGTTTGGATATGCTCTAAGCCTTTACCGACGACAAGTGCGGGTGGGAGGCACTGAAGCCTTCCGGACTGCAACGCAGGCGTAACATATTCCTCCCAGACAGGCGTTGCAACATCGTTGACAGCAAAGATCATACCAGCATTGACATTCGCAGGGAGATCGATACTAGGAGGAGGATGCACGCAAGCAAGGTGGCCTCCACCCAGCTGATCAAGGATGGTGATATCGTGAGCGTAAGTCTCGGAGGTAGCTATAGCATCAAAGATGCCAACGAACTCGCCACCATTCTTTCGAACTGCGTCGCTAACCTTATCGGCAAGTGAAGTATCATTGCGATCGAATACTTGAGATGCACCGCACCGCTTGCTGAATTCGAAGTTGTGTGCTCCGACAATGGCGATGACGTGAAGTCCAGCCGCTGTGGCGAGCTGGGTTGTCATTGAGCCAACGGCGGATGAGCCCCCATAGATAACGAGCATCTTGCCGGAGGATGGCACGTCCCCCAGCGAAGGGTATGGAAAGCCCAGTGCCGGTGTAGCCACACCGGGCATGGCGACACCTGGCTCCTTGACGGAAAGCACGCAGACAGCCGCCTCCAATGCGAATGGCACGACAACACCATCCGTGAAAGATATTTCATCGGGGAGTATGGCCGCTTTGGTTGCAGGGATTACTGTGTACAGAGCGAATGCGCCATCCCGAGGGCGCCCACTGGTCAGGTTGATAGCATGCCTGTTAAAGAGAAATAAAAATTAGCAGGGTGATTTGATCTCGATATGCTGTCAAAAGACATACCCGATTACACGATTCCCTCTCTTGAAGCGTTCAACACCCTTTCCCACTTCATACACCTCACCGGCTACATCGCAGCCGAAGATGGCGGGCCATTCCTGCACGAAGACCCCGGAGTCTTGCATGTGACAGTCAAGAGGGTTGATAGCAACCGCCGCATTTTTAATGACGAGTTCTCCTGGACCAGCTGTGGGCAGTGGAGCATCTCCCACCTGTAGGGGGGAGCCGGCTTTGATGAGCCATGCAGCTGAGTTCTTTGGGATGGACATTCCGACAGAAGAATGAGGGAAGGTAGAGCTATCTTAGAAGAAAGGATGTCTTCAAGAAGTTTTGTTTGAGTAGAAATCATCTTTTGGCAGAACCTGTCGAACTATAAGTACTTTCGCATATCTGAGGAAGCCAAGGAACAATGGTAATCGCAGGCCCAAATAAGCAAGTTGATTTCAAATTAGCAGTATTATTTCAAAGCAAATAGGTAGTAGAATGTTACAAATTCAGGATCTATACAAATGTTCGAGAGAACGGCATATGCCGTTCCCATTGGGAATCATATATGCCGTTCCTTAAATCTGGGGCCTTAAAGCCGAATTAGTCAGGTGGTAAATTACCACTAGAGCCCGTTTTGGAAAGAATTCAGGGTTGGGTTTTGGTATTTACGCAGGACAGACTTGGATGGAGACAGCTGTTTACATGTAGTGATAATTCACTGCTATGCGTGCAAGACTTACCGATTCGCCGATTTTTGACAGATCACTCAACACGACCAATACCTCCAGGGCTCATAATGATTCTGTTAATAGAAGCCGAGGCCAAACTCTGAATACGTAAACGGCAGCCTTTAGCCCCCGCGTTATCTACACATCGTTCACCAGCTGACAATCTTCCAGCGTCCACCCAATCTCCAGTCTGGAAAGGGGCTCCCATTCAAAATGCGACTCGGTCCAGGAGATCTGCTCGAGTATAACGCAGAGTATAAAGTGCTGATCTGCCGAGATTGCCACTATGCCATTCAGAAGAACGCGTTGGGGAGCCATTTGCTCCGCCACAAAATTTACCGAGAAGAAAGGCTTCGTTTACTGTCCACCATACATCAACTGGATATCGTTGAACCAGGTGATCTTCGAATCCCCAGCCCAAACACAAGGCCGGTTGATGCCCTACCCATAGTGGCTGGGTATTCCTGTACCATGACTGGCTGCGGGCATCTCTGTGCAAGCTCTAAACGCATGAGACGCCACTGGAGTGATGCCCACAGTGTTAGTGGGCCGAATGATTTTGCCTCTCACGCCCGCTCTGTGAAGCTTCAAACGTTCTTTCGCGGTACGAAACTCAAGTACTTCGAGGTTTGTGTGGCAACTACAACCGCAGAGTCACCGGATTTTGATGAAGGTGCTAGACATGACAGTAAGGACTCTGGTGTGACCGAAATGTCGTCATTAGCACAGCCAACGTCCCTTCCCGACTCTTCTCCTGTGGTGGACTTAGAGACATTGGCCTACTTCCATCATTTCATGATTACAACGTGTTTCACACTCCCTAAAATCGAAGATTCTCTACCAGCGTCACAATACTGGGGGAAGTACGTCGTTTCATTGGCTATGCGACAACGGTGGCTGATGTGCGGATTGCTGGCCATTTCTGTGTACCATTCAGTCACGCTTGAAGATGGGAGAACAGCACAGCAAAAGCACTGTGAGCGGGCGACAAAGCTCCGTTCCGAATTCTTTATTGGGTTCAACGAGACAATGAACAATAATTTCAACACTTTGTCCACCGAGGATTTGCAGAAAACGAAGAAGATAGCAGTTAAGATACGAAGGATCATTAGCTGTGCGCGATGGACCTTGACTGGCTCCACTACGAATCAAGAGACTGTCCTTGGTCCTACCACATCCCTATCTCGGCTACAATCTTTACTATGCGACGTTCGAGATTTTTCTGAACTGGGAAGCTCTTCAGCCATCCAGCAGAATAAGGCCGATGACCGTCAAACAAACTTGGATATTAATAGCGCACGAGGCACGGCCACAGCACCGACTGTGCTACTCAACCGTCTCCAGATACTGCCTTATCACATGACTGAGATATTCGGGAAACCAGATCATGAGCAAGACGCCCCGGCTATTCTACTCAGCATTGCAGCATTGCTCGAATGCTGTAGTAGCGTCTTCGAGTCCAATGATTCATCAGCGGATGATTTACCTTGGGCATGGCAAGGTATAAGCGCATGGTTGAACAAAACCACAGACCACTTCGATTATATGGTTTCACTTCTAAATCCAGCTGCGCTTATTGTACTGGCCCACTGGGCGGCCATTCTGGTTAAATGGACTGAAGATTATGAGTGTTGGTTCATACATGGTTTTTCAAGGGCAATTCTTCTGTTTATTCACGAACATCTTTCTACTGATGATGCAGTTCGAGGATTGGTTGAAGGCCTGCTGGGGTGACTGGGCCCATGCGGCTCTACTATACTAGCTTTAGAGTTATCTGTGTGGATAACTTGCACGGGTCGCTAATACCTAGTGTAAACAGGGAACCCGTATGATCCAATCAATAGAGCGTTTGAGCGAAAATCAGTAACCTTACAATTTAATGCACAGATCGACCATCAGGCAAGCTCTCGGGATTCTAGCCGGAGACGAATTGACCAATATAGGAAGGAATTATAGTAACCTCAGTAGAATCAGGTGTGTAGTGAAAGCTTTTGGCCAGGCAGGAGGGCATATATGTCTCAAATTTTGAGAGAACAGATTCACTTCAGTCCACTAAACCGCAGATAGAAATGGATGTAGACTAGACTATTACTCGTCCGTTAAATTGCGTACAAGAGATATACTCAGTCTCATCACCCAAAGCCCCACACAGACTAACGCAACGAGTCCTATAGACAACCATCCCAGTGCCATTGCCACGCCTCCCACATGACCTGAGACAGCGCCATAAGTGAGGATTTCGGCCATTGTCGCCGTAGCACTGCTGTTAACGTGCTGCCACAGTATGGAGATAAAACCAAACCCAGAGCTGGCACCCAGAGCGAGTAAACAAGCCAATGTTACAGCTTCAGAAGGGAATGGCTTCACATGGAGCTCTGAGCCGTCTTCGTCAACTTCCTCATGCCATCCAGGGAATGTCGATAGGAGTAGGAAGCAAATGAACATCAATGCCACCACGATATATCTATACATTGGAGCCATCAGTATGTCCGGGTATCTAAATGACCACCTGGGTACCTGGGCAGAGGAAAAGGCTTACATCAGCCCATTGAATACAATCTTCTCTTTGAACTCATTTGCCATCATGATCAAATTGAGCGGGTCGGGTATGATTTCCGTGGTTGTATTCCCATTATTGACAGGCTTTTGTGCCTGAATCAAATTTGCCAACACCTGTACGTTGCTAGAGCAGATTCGTCCTGTATGGCTCTGCGTCACACAGATCCCCATGTACCCTGCTCGCACTTCAAGTGTCGTTCCTGGCCAGTTTGCGAGACATTGTGAACGGCATGCGCAATAGTTGAGCTCACTTGTCCGGGTCTTGTAGGCAATGGAGACTCTGTCGCTGTGTATTCTAGCGATAATAAGTATACACTGCTTAAGCTGTTGGAAGAAGAACAGCCCGCAAGCAGTATGGCTGGGAGAATATACATTAGTCCGTCAATCCAGCAGACGAATAGATTTCATTTCCTCACATAGCAAAATAATTGCAATTGCCGACAGGAGCATCAACCATTGATGATAAGCGAACCGAAAACCAAGGAACTGGGAATTCTCTAGACCCGTCAGCGCATATGAGCTATTCCAATACTCACGATCGTACTTATTTGCTTAAATATGGACCCGAGTGACATGACTTTTGGCAAAGATGTAGGTAGGCTGCTGAGGCTGAGGTGAGGGGCATCGAAGGATTAAGAAAAGATATCGAATCTAAGCCTTTTAAATTCGAGCTGAACAACACGACTGTACTAACCCTATCTAGACTAGTGAGCTTCCAAATGTGTTCTTATTAACTGGACCATTAATTATGGATTTGGGCACCTTTGGCGAAACATCTATAGCTACATTGATAATCCAGGATAAATGTGACATTCAAGGCTGTTAACTAAATCTTCGATCTATTTCTTCCCCCCCCCCACCACCTCTTTTTTGGCTGTTTTCACGTTCAAATATATCGATGAAGGGACTGCTAGCTATACAACCTACAAGCGCAAAATGAAATGATGTGCTTGAAATATATCAAGTATGTCGTGCAATGGAATAGACAGGCTTCCGCCCCCAGGCCCCAAAAAGGGTGACAATTAGCACAACTAGAATCATAACCATCGCAACTCCCACGGTCAGGCCGGTCTTGATGCCAGTAGCTAGTGGGCGTATCCAGATGAGTGCCAGAGGCACCACAATAAATGTCGCGGTCAAGATCAGATATATCAAGGTCATTCTAACCCAGAGAGGCGCGTGACGCACCCCGTCCATGATAAAGTCTGGTAATGCGTTCCGAAACTTCGGTTTGGATCTGAACCAGAATGGAACTCCCACAACGACTATAACAACGAGAACAATAGGGATGGTGACAGCATACTGGATATCGGTATCAAGCCCGCACGTCCAGAGGACAGCGAGTGGTATCCCCGAAGCCATTCCGTTCAACAAAACAAAGCTGGTTATGAAGCCGAACACGGCCCAGAATCTCTCTGCTGCTGAACTGATTCTTTTTGTAGCCCATTTATAAGTCCTGGCAGTACTGGTACCCAGTCGAGTTGCTATTGACCGAAAGACCAGGAGCATCGGAAGCGCTCCAGCTTGCAAAGGTTGGCCATTTCTTGCTGCGTATCTCCTGGCATCATGTCTCACGGCTGCCTTGAGATCAACCAACCAATGGCTGCGCATAGTCATACGCATCAAATATGCAAATGATGTCACGAAAACAGCCACAATAAAAAAGTTGCTGAGAGGAACTGGATCTGCAAATGGTTCAACTTGCATGCCAAAAACAGAGGCCGCGAAAGACATCGGGACAAAGATGAATGCGAGTTCGGTGAGTCTTGCCACAGCATGAGCTTCGTCAATCGAGCGTCGACTGTCTAGCAGACCCATATTGGAAGTTAAAGATGCCGACGTTCTTTGAAGTCGATCCATAACGTGATCAATATTCTTCCAAAGTTCGTACATATCTTGCGTCACTTCTAACCTCATGGCTGCAACCTCCATGGGAGAGCTTAGAGGATGGAGTCCAATGAGAAAGTCAATGAAAGGCTTCATAGAAGATCTCAGCTCTGGAAGCTCTCGTTGAGCGCGGTTGATAATCTGCCGCCATAGCCCCAGTCTATCCTCCATCTTCGTATCATCCAAAATTTCGATATCTATTTCGTCAAGGACCTGTCGCAGCTGGTTGAGGAGGGTCATAGTATCTTGCTTGACGATTCCGAACAACGGCTTTACCAGACTTAGTGGTTCCCGGTGCATCCTGAGAGCATCACATATCTCTAATTTGGTTGACTTGGTCTCTTTGAGTTTTTCCTCCAAATCTGTCACCGACTGTGTTGTTTGAAATACGCGGTCTAGGTCGACTGAGATTGCTTGGCGAGAAGCAATCTGATCGATGATAACTGTATTCAGTACTTCACGATTCTTCTCATGTTTGTCGCCTTTTCGCTTTTTCTTGCCAATGAGCCAGTTCAACGACTTAGCAAGGGAGCGTTGATCCTTGACACGTTGTGGTTCCTCTTCAATCATGGAGTAGTAGTGCGACATGTCGTCATCAGCATCAGAATTATCATCAGCTTCGCTATTCTGCCCTTGAAAACCAATTGGTGCCCAGTATTGATGCGTCTCAGATATCTCCGGCAAAGGGTCAAAAAGTACAATTACTACACAGTCCGTCAGTATATCATGTTAGGTTTCTAGTGTACTGCATGTATGTATCACTTACCAATCTCAGTGTCTTGATCAATGAGCCTTTTTCTCCAAATTGACACTCTCTCCTCTAAACCACACACCCTTTTCGTTCTCACAGTCTTTGTGGGATCTGTCCACAAGCCCCACTCTAGCCGAAATATATTTGTGAGGATCTCCGTCGTAACAGACTTTCCCCGTGTAAAGTGTGTTGTGCTATTATCAAGCAAATCGCCAAGATCGCTGCTGGAGAAGTACGTCGGAAGTCGATAAACTGGTCGAATCCACCTGAATGACATGTAGGATTTTTCAAAAGATGCTGTGCTCCAGTTTCGAGCCGGTGGACTATCGTACTTTCCACCGGCATAGCCAGAATTCAGTAAATGCTCTTCGAAGAATTCTGGGTTGATGCTGAAGGTTTCACCCAGTTTGTCTATCGTGGGTTTAGAGAGGTCTTCCACAAATATAAGCCTTTGCTGCACATCTACTGAAACATGACACAAGGCTGCAATATTCGCTGAATCATCGATGTGTCCTGTCTCGGATATGAAGTTGCCGATATAGTCGTAGTATGTGATTGAAGTCCTCTCGTGACGAGAATTTTTACCGACATTTCCGTTTTTGATATGCTCTAGCACCTTTCCAGCATTTTGAATAATTTCCCCGTATGATGGTGGACCTGTGGCGTCTACTTCATGGGGAACAAGCTGTGCTGAATCAACCATTTGATCTCCTTGGCATGACATTTGGGTTGATGGCGGTCTGGAAGCAGGTAGCGGGAGTTCAGATGGGTCTATTGGACCGGATGACTCTGAGGTCGTCTCTTGGGTATGTTGAGAGCCATTGTAATCCCCCGCATTGCGCAAAAGGTCTTCTAATGAGTTCGTTGAATCTCTTGGGGCGAGATGGTTTTGAGGAGGGGGGGTCCGGTTGTGCAAGGGTAGGGTCATATGGTTGCCCTGTGGCCATTATATGGAAGATTGGGGATCGGCCAGATAATTTATATCAAAGTCTCAGTGAGAGGCATATGTCGCATATATCGATGTCGGTGGTAGCTCAGCTCTGAGCTGGCCCGTGCGTCACTAACGTACTAACGCATATCACCCCTCTTCTTCTTTCTCTCGCTTTTCCATTATCCTGCCTCCCTATCTTTCACTCGTAGCTGTTTGCAATTTACCCAATCGAACACCCCGTCTGTCCCACGTAAGGTAAGCGTACTCCACTTAGACGAGATTCTGATCGATTCAGATGATGCCACAAAGAGCTGAAAATTTCAATTGTTGTGTGACCAAGAGAGATGACTTTTACCGCTAAACGCTGCCGGTGTCTCGTGCTTGTTGTTTTCAACGCAGTATGTGCGTGTGTGTGTGTGTGTGTTTGTCCGAGGGAGAGAGATGGTCAATCCCCGTATGACAATGAGAGCGTTCGAAAGTGTGAGGTAACGATGGTAAGCGGCCAGCTTCTCGGTCGAGATGCGCACGTACTGGCATGTTGAATTGTACTGGGTGACACGTTGAAGTCGAAGTTGTGAGACGCGCCAAACAATACTGAACTTTGAGCGGTTGTGCACGTAACGTGATATTGCCGATGCGACAACGATGTATCTTCGCTCTGTGGAAGCAAGGCACGGTATCCTGCTACCCCTGCTTCTTTTTCGCTTTTCAATGTAAGTATGCTTAACAGATGGGGGCGATAAGGAAATAAAAGGCTCAAAACCTCTAGGAGGAGAAAGGAAAAGAAAATCCTGGATAGAGCTAAGCCGGAGAGAGAGAGAAAGGAGAGATCAGCCCTGGAAAAGCAGCGGCCCAGTCCGTCCGAGACAGAGGTCCCAACAAATTACTATTTATCCTATACAAGTCTAAGAATACAAACAAAGGGTCCGAGGGTTTGCAGTTCAAACAGGTGTCACATCAATCCCTCAAGGCTTCGAAATCCGCTTGGATTGACGAACATATACGATCAACCAACGACATTTCCTCCTCTACTGGCACACCTAAGGCTCCAGCTTGCCAACTCACCGTACACATCAAGCTACCCCCTTTGACACTGATGATGTTGAAAACAAGTGGCGCACTAGTAACATTTCCAGGCTGCGAGAATACCATCTTGACGACCTTGCACTTTTGATCTGCACCGTCACTCATATTATCGAAGGCAAGCAAATTGCTCAGTTCGTACGAGGAGTCCCGCTGCTGTCCGATTTTACCCAACGTCCAATTCCTGATGCTGGGGACATATCTCAGCAGACCGATTGCTTGGTCCTGCAGCCTCGCTCCACATGCAGCAAGATTTTTCGTCATCGAACTCGCGGCTGACCACATATCCTCAGACAGAGCAGGCTCGGTCACATTCGGTACCCGTGGATGTACCTCGTAATGGCCAGATACGAAAAGACCCCCAGGTGAGACCAGGCGTCCCGATAGACGCTCTCATATCAACAGGCGTCCCCGAGACAAAATTGGTTACGTCAGGGTTGGGAATGGCCCTGCTTAGCGCCCGAACAATCATCTGATGCACCGTTGCTGTGAGTTTGGTGTCATGGCTTCTTGATGTTTGTACAGCCTTTTGGACCAGCGGAGCCTCAATCTCGAGGAGTCTTACTCTGCTCTGGAGGGCGGCCCCTGGGTCGAAAAACATGGGTGATCCAATCCAAGTACCGGCATCCAGCGTGCTGGCAGAGGCGCGGAGTCCAAGAATGTTGGCCACAAACTTTGGCAAGTAAACAGCTATCAATGGCTCGAGGAGATATTTCCAAGATATGGGAAGCCTTTCTGGTGTGTCAAAGGGTGCCGGAAGTGTTTGACTTGGCGGAGTCACCAAGAAAGACGCCTTCTCCTCCATGCTAGTAGTCTGGCGCCACGCATCTAGGAAGGTACGATGGAAGGCAACTCCGACCATACCGTCCCCAAGAGCATGGGAGAAGGCAAAAGCGATAAAGCATCGCGTCACTGTGGAGCCTTGCGGTGACGCCAAAGGGAGGACAACGATTCGCCAAGGTGGGATATCAGCAGGCCATGGCCGGTCAAGTATGGCTGGCAGGATCTTCTGAATCGTTGCCGTCTCATCATTGCTACTGGTTTGGTCATTGTGAATTATAGACACATGATCGTGGAGATCAATACTAGAAACCGCTTCGTATGCTGGCTTCTCGGTATGCTTGTCCTTGACGACCACGCTTAGATATGGGTACTTCCCGATGCAATGTCTCAAAGGTGCAAGATATGACTGGGCTGAATTAGCATCTATATCTTCATTCGCAATTTCATAAACTGCTGCTATGACGAGCGCGTTGTAGTAGCCAACGTCTTCGCGACTAATTGTACGGCGTTCATTGGGACCTAGATTCCGATTAGAGCCACACATATAACTCAAGAAGAGATTGCACTAACTTGCAAGTCTCATGAACTTGGTGGGATGCGCCATCTCTGTGCAACGCACTTCATACAACATCGAGAAACATGTGCTGTCAGGGGAATATGTCGGGTACGTCGGGATAACTATTTCCCGGATATCTATTTTGGAGACCTGGCAGCCTGGAATTTGGCCCCTAGCGGATAAAAGGCCTAAGAAACAAAACTGAAACATAGCGCAGCGAGATACGGGATTCCACGACCTGCGAGGCTGTATGAACCGACGAGTCTATCAATTCAAAATGATTTTAGACGCAAATTATAATTTCACGGCTAAGATTCTGGCGCCTAATCCATGCAATGAAGACCTTGGGGTTGATGAGATTGCTTTTGGCCTAGTATACTAAACATTTGTCCCGCTTGCTAGATACTCTTTGCTGAATGGATAATCCGAATACCCGACAGCTGACTCAAAAACGTAGAAGCTGTCTCTCTTGTACGCATTGAGCTCCAGACCCTTCTTAATCCTAAATATGAGATCCGGATTGGAAATGAAGTGCCGGCCAAAGATGACCATGATGTCCTTGTCCGGATACTTCTCGTCCACCAACTTGCGGGCCTCATGCGACGTGTACCCACCAGCAATAAGAAAAGGTCCGTTCCATAGATCGTATGCAAAATCCAGTGTATCATGGCCATCGTAATCCTGAGAGCCAGAAATCCGCGACTCGACAAGGTGAAGATACGCGATGTCCGCCCGTTTGGCTTTGCTGATCACATCCGTGAACTGCGGGATCGGATTCTGCATTTTTCATACCCTGGAATGTACTCCAGGGGCTCAGTCGAAGCCCGACATGTTCAGGACCGATGGCATGAACAACTGCTCTGATCACGTCGTCAAGAAGACGAGATCTATTCTCCACATTTCCACCGTAATCATCGTCACGCTTGTTACTAACGTCTTGGATAAATTGGTCGAGCAAATATCCATTCGCGCCATGGATCTCGACTCCGTCAAAGCCAGCCCGAATAGCGTTCTTCGAAGCGTTGACAAAATCTCGAATTGTCTGTTTGATCTCGTCGGCCGTCATGGCCCTGGGGATTACGGTACCTTCTTCCATGGGAATAGCACTAGGCGCTACGACATCGAACCCTTCTTTCCGGGCTACATCGATATCCGCGGCACGCCCCATGGCGAACAGTTGACAGAATATGAAACATCCCTTGCGATGAATTTCATCCGTGACAACTCTCCAGGCAGCGACTTGATCCTCACGCCAAAGCCCTGGTGCATGGGGGAACCCGCCGCAGGTTGCTGATATGAAGGTTCCCTCAGTGATAATCAAGGTACCTGGCACTGCGGCACGTTGGCTGTAGTATTCCCTCATGAGGGGTGTAGGAACTCGGTCTTCGGTTGCTCGGAAGCGAGTGAGTGGCGCCATTCCGATGCGATGTTTCACTTCCAAGTCGCCGATCTTGAGGGGCTTAAAAAGGCGTGATTGAGACATTGTCAAGAATCCGTGAATGGCTGTTAGAGCTGAGAATTTTCGACCTATAATTGAATCCCAGGGAAGACCAGCTATTTGTACTCTATTTCCAAGTAAAGCATGCTAGACTCGTCGGATGAATGTAATAGAAGCTATATACAAGTAGGTATAGAGATACTTCCCAAAAGGGAAAAAAGATACTTCCTATTAGGGAAGGGAAAACGGACTTGACCATTTACGGTTAAAGTCATTGAACATTGGACCAATTATCAATCGAATATGAGGCTAGTGGAGCACAATATCCGGTGAGTTTCCAGCTTTCATCGTAGAGGTAATCAGCGCCACCTGGCATAATTAGCCAATGACAAATAGAAGGTTGTCACAAGTTCAGTTAACTAGACATGATTTGAAATCAATATTTCAACACTTCGTGTGCAATGGAAGCCTTAAAGAAGTTATCCATAGAGCTAGTCTAGAGGGAATTTTCTTCCCAGAAGGCCTTAACCTGGGACAAAAATGCTTTGTCAGACCATATGAACTGTTTAAGAACTATAAGAAGCTCTGGCCATGATGTATATAGCCATCTGAATCTGTTGTGGTTTAAATGCAACAGTCGCACATAGCTCTGCCGTATAATCCCTGCGGGGGCGAAAGCACCCCCGATGTGCAAGAGCCAAGCCAATAGATCAGGCGAATCATCCCATACTTGACTATCGCTCGCTGCTTGTAAGTTGCAGAGTAATTGTAAGGAAAGGTGGGACTGGGGGTATGTAGAGTTAGCACATCCCGATGAGAGAATGAGAGAATGAGAGACAAACGCAATTAATGTGATATACTTACAGGGATGGTTGAAGTCCGCCACATTTTGCAGCGCAGCATAGTCGAGCATAGATATGCCGCTTGGTGGCAACATTGTAAGATAGGTGAGTATATTGGCAAGCTCACTAGCCTCGACTGGATAGACGCTTGATGGTTATCGATTTGTGCCATTGACATTACGTCCTCTTTGCCGAGGATAGCTGAATCTCGGATACATTGCAATGCAAATACGTCCTTGAGGATTTCAACGAAAGTCTGACCTAGCTCATTGGAGTGTCTTTGAAATCCAGGTGGAAGAATAAAGAAGTCCGGTTGGGAAGGATCTCTCTTCCACTGGAGCTCGGAAAAGGTTGTGTGGTCAACAACTCGGGTTGAGCCTGTCATGACCGAACCGTTTAAGTCCGACCTGTCGGCCAGTGTAAGACTTAGCTGTCGGGCAATACTCTAGGTTACGTACCAGAAGATCGCACGTTTGATATCGTCACTTAAATAGACGCCCTTCCTTTGGCATACGTCAAGAATGTGTCGTATTGCCCCCATGTGGAGCTGTACTTGACGTGGAATTCCAAGCCGGACCTTAATGGTAAAAGCTTTAGTCTTTAATTCCAACGATTCTTCCAAATATTGCCAAATTGAAGGAAACCTTGCACAAACCTCTATACCGGCTAGTAGCAGAATAGCTCCTATTGTAGACTCTGTAGCGGCCCTATCCGGAGAACTCATTCTTTGACGAATAGAACTTAGAGCCTCGTTTTGGTATTCAAGGTACTTTCTGCTGGTCATACTTTCTGTGGCTGTAAATGAAAATGTGAGCATGGCGGCGCTCAGAAGAGCGTTATCATCTAGTCCTTTTCGAAGGACAGAGCGGAAATTACGAAGCACGAGTTCGTCAGCAACACTGAAGACCGGTTCCGTCACTTGTTGAATCCTTTCTATATTCAATGAGCATTTGTTGGACATGAAATGATTTCCATAACCTTACCTCTGTTTAGCAATGCCTGTAATGCCGGCGACTCTGCAGCCAGCATTTGGAATGGATCGGAGCGTGTAGTGAGGGACGCTGGGTGTGTGATGAGAGCTTCCTCTTGTTTCTTTTCTCTCGCAGGTCGGCTCTGATTGTTGTCTGGGCATAGAACATGGAAATTATGACCCAAAGTTTGCTGAAGTCTTCTTCTGTTCCGAATGCCGTGCGCTACAGCATGCGATCGGGCTAGGCGCTTCGCTGTGCGGTCATTCGGGGTTTTTATTGGAATAAAAACAAATTTATCGCCTAAAAAGACAAGGTTAGTCATAAAATATGGAGTCATGATCGCTCCTTGGAGCTCTGCCCTACCCGAATTGAGCTCATTGTGTCTAGTCATAGAAATGGAAAAGTGTAAATGAATTAGACTGTCGTCCTTGTTTAAAATGTGGGCATATCCTTAATACAAGAAATAATCTTCTGCAATACGTATGTCCCTTTCGTAAGCGTACGATGAAGTGGTTAAATGAGTACGTTGTCCAGGGTCGACGGGGTCCTCCAGGGCTCCGGCCCGGAAGGCCGGATAGTTGGATTACAAATCGGAGCACTGCGGGCCCAGTGAGCTCTTCGGCCCTGGGTGAGATCGTGGCCCGCCCGGTTAACCAAAGAAACGTTGACAGCTTGCGAACTAGAAAGGGGAATCGTATATACACAGCTGAGCAACACATAGGATATATTTCAAGCATCACCCTTTCCCAGTAGGGATGCTGCAGCGACCAGTGCAGCAGCCTTCCAGTCCAACTCTGAGAAAGTCCCGACAACACAACGACAGACATGATATGATATGCATCGATCTCAATCACCATTCACCAAAACACATGTGTACATCACTCCACTACCAGGCTGTCATACCACCATCGACCCAAATATCTGCAGCAGTGATATAGGAGCTCTCATCTGAAGCAAGAAAGCTAGCCACAGCCGCAATCTCCTCTGGCTGACCGATACGGCCCATCATGATTTTCTGCATCACATCTGAGGTCCACTCTGGGTCTTCAAGCAAAGGTGCAGTTTGCAGAGTTTGGATGAGACCTGGTGAGATCGAATTGGCCCGGATACCATGCGCACGCCCTTCCATGGCCAACTGGCGTGTCATGGCAATAACACCACCTTTCGCGGCTGTGTGGGCAATACCAGGCACTGGATGGATTGCAATCCAGCCATTGGCAGAGCCAACGTTAACGATGGATGCACCGGACTCCTTCAGATGTGGCCACGCGACCTGGGTCAACTGGTAGACGAGGCTTAACTCCTGGTCAATTGTTTTGTACCAGTCGTCATGCTTGCAGTCGTCGAGCCAGCTCATGTGAGCCATTCCCGCATTATTGTATAACACATCGATACATCCATAGGTTTTCATGGCGAGGTTGACAAGTTGCTCGCAGTTTTCACGTTTTGTGAGATCGCATGGGGATATGGATATTATTTCACCACCTAGCTCTCGTACGGCTTCGATCGTTGCTGCGTCGGTCGTGGTGTTTATGTCGCAGCCAACGATTTTGGCGCCTTCCTGGGCAAATTTGAGGGCTGCTGCACGTCCCATAATGCCGCCTGTACCGGTGAGTAAGGCATATCTTGTTTAACAGACGCGGTGCCATATCGGTTACTTTGGGGTTGGTATATATCGCAAGAAAGATTTTGAAAATTATGAAGAGAGTATTCCTAAGAGGTAAAGGAGGTCAGGAGAGCAATATAGGGGGGATTGGCCGGCTAGTAAGGATATCGTAGGACCCATAGCACTGACCGTTAACATCTATTTGAATGTTTGCTTTTTCGAGGAACCTAACCAAGAAAGCGCTTGGATCTGTTCTTTATTGGTTTCCCTACATAAACTAAGCGCCGCGCTAGTTATCAAACCGGAAACCTAGTAGTTATATATTGTAGCTGCTCGATGCTCGATCGAAGGGGCCGATTACGCTTATAGATAGACGATTTAATAGCGTATCGTATTAGAACTATCTACGATCTCCTTCTAACCGATACTACTAGGCTTAGGCTTTGCCTAGTAAAATTAGCCCCTAAGCGACTGATAGAGGGTAATATAAATTAATATATACCCCTATCGTATCTAAATACTAGCTTAATTTCTAGATTATATATACTTCCTATCTAAATACTCTTAATTTCGAGATTTAGATATTAACTTTAAGTTAGCTTATTCTTAGCTATAACTTATATTACCTAATCGAACCATTTAGTGATATATATTATATATAGCCTCTTTCCGATAATATCTACCTATTATATAGAAATATAGGCTTTTATAATAGGCTATCTATATAGTGCCTTATTTATTAGGCTTTATATATTTACTAACTAGCTAGTATATTAGCTACTTTTTTATAGATAGAGAATTAACATTCTTCTTCTCTCTCCTTTTCGCCTTTACTATAGATTATAGATACGCTAGTATTCGTATATAAGAACGCCGAAAAACTAACTATATAACACCGGATATAGGTCCGGAGTATATATAGATAGATAAAATAAAGTATATTAAGTTAGCCTAGATAGAAGCTCCTACTATAGATACTATCGCTACCTCTTCTATTAATAGAGTTACTAGTACATTTTATACTTTTTAGGGTAACGTAGACAGTCTTAATTTATAAATTCCTTTATAGGCTTTACTATTATCCTATTATCTTAAAAGGCTAACTACGGCTAAAACGGTCGTTTACCGTTCGTTATAATAAAGAGATATATTCTTTATAACACTAGTTACTAGGCGTATATCACTAACTTACGCTCTACGTCTAGGACTAAACTCTATCTATTACAACTATGGGTTTAGGCAAAATAGACAATAATAACATTTCCACCCCCTCCCCCTAACGGGCTTGATAATGTAAGACGTTAATTTAAGGAGGCACTAGAGACCTAAAAAAAGAGGCTAGTAAGGATATCGTAGGACCTATAGCACTAACCGTTAATATCTATTTAAATATTTGCTTTTTTAAGGAACCTAACCAAGAAAGCGCTTAGATCTATTCTTTATTAGTTTCCCTATATAAACTAAGCGCTACGCTAATTATTAAACCGGAAACCTAGTAGTTATATATCATAGCTACTCGATACTCGATCGAAGGGGCCGATTACGCTTATAGATAGACGATTTAATAGCGTATTATATTAGAACTATCTACAATCTCCTTCTAACCGATACTACTAGGCTTAGGCTTTACCTAGTAAAATTAGTCCCTAGGCGACTAATAGAGGGTAATATAAATTAATATATACCCCTATTATACCTAAATACTAGCTTAATTTCTAGATTATATATACTTCCTACCTAAGCGCTCTTAATTTCGAGATTTAGATATTAACTTTAAATTAGCTTATTCTTAGCTATAACTTATATTACCTAATCGAACTATTTAGTGATATATATTATATATAGCCTCTTTCCGATAATATCTACCTATTATATAGAAGTATAGGCTCTTATAATAGGCTATCTATATAGTACTTTATTTATTAGGCTTTATATATTTACTAGCTAATATATTAGCTACTTTCTTATAGATAGAGAATTAATATTCTTCTTCTCTCTCCTTTTCGCCTTTACTATAGATTATAGACACGCTAGTATTTATATATAAGAACGCCAAAAAACTAACTATATAATACCGGATATAGGTCCGGAGTATATATAGGTAGATAAAATAAAGTATACTAAGTTAGCCTAGATAGAAGCTCCTACTATAGATACTATCGCTACCTCTTCTATTAATAGAGTTACTAGTATATTTTATACCTTTTAGGGTAATATAGACGGTCTTAATTTATAGATTCCCTTACGGGCTTTACTATCATCCTATTATCTTAAAAGGCTAACTGCGGCTAAAACGGTCGTTTACCGTTCGTTATAATAAAGAGATATATTCTTTATAACACTAGTTACTAGGCGTATATCACTAACTTACGCTCTGCGTCTAGGACTAAACTCTATCTATTATAACTATAGGTTTAGGCAAAACAGATAACAACAACATTTCCACCCCCCTCCCCCAACGGGCTTGATAATGTAAGACATTAATTTGAGGAGGCACTGGAGACCCAAAAAAAAGAGCCGATGCAAAGGAGTGGCGAGCTGCACAGCGACCTCGCGAAGAGGTGACTGCAGTCAACTTCAATAGAAACCCCCATCCCATATCGCCCCACTTGATGATATCCCAATGATTAGCAGGAGAAGAGTACAAAAAAAATGGGACGAGCCGGGATCGAACCAGCGACCTTGCGAACTTCAATCGCACGCTCTCCCAACTGAGCTATCGTCCCACTTGGGATGATGTCATGTTCATTGTAGCCATCCATGAGCCTAGCCTTCGGTTTCTGTTTGTGGCTGAGGAAGAGTTGGAATCTACTTGAAAGGTGAAGCGTGAAGCGCGAAGCTAAGCTTTCAGTGTGAAGAAAGCCAATGATTTAATATAATGGGAACTATGACTTTCTTATCTAATTTTCCAAGGTTTCTAAGTCCTCTTAAGCATCTAGAACGTTGTGTCACGCTTTTTACTAGGGTTTCCAAGCTTGCCGGATAAATTCATCGCATTCAACACGCCTAAGACCTCTTTGTATCCCTGCTATACATTCGCGTCATGGTGAGCATATTGATTATTTGTGCCTGTCTATACTGTTGAACTTGAACAGGCTAATGGATATATGGATCATCGCGATGCTAGTTATCTTCATTTGCGTTTAAAATATGGGGTTGAAATATATATACTTTCAGCATTATACCTCCACATGCATCAAAATAGAAGTAGCCAAAGCACACCAACCATTAACCATTGAAGCTCTAAATGATAGTGTCCGTACGATGTACAATGGTAATAGCGTGCACTGACTACAAATCGCAAGAAACTGCACCAAAATCATACCAGGACACAGCCACTTCTTTTTCTTAGGAAAAATTGCGGTCGTCGAATTTTTACTGGACATCAATATTATATCTTCCCCGCTATTTTACTTTCAATGTCCATTATAAAGGGTAGTACTAAGACATAAGGAGCTGGCACGTCGCCGCATTGGCTACGATATGGATACAGTCAAGAAGAAGTTTAACGTTCTTCGAAAAGAGGGTCCAATTTCAATATCTTTTTGGCTGGACTCCTCATAGACACCTACGCAGTTATAGATCTTACGTGGTTATTCATTGTATTCGCAGACACTGTTTGAAGCGCTGAATGGTGAAAACAAGGACTGTGCGCTTTACCTTGATAATACATATTCATAGCTGAATCATCATCCCAAGTGGGACGATAGCTCAGTTGGGAGAGCGTGCGATTGAAGTTCGCAAGGTCGCTGGTTCGATCCCGGCTCGTCCCATTAGTTTTTGCACTTTTCCCCCTTGTGACTTTACTTGGATGTGATTAGCGGGTAGGCCAATTTTTTTTTTCTAATTTTTTATGCTTGAATAAAGTGGTTGGTTACCTATTTTGAGTCCTATCTACATAAAGTCTTGATTCCGCGTGAAACCTGGAATTGGAGAAAGAAGAGGGATAGAATGGATGCCCAGGTGGTATAGTATAGATTAGTGAAAAGGACTTGAGACCCGTGGACGTAAAGAAGCCGTCTATGTCTTAAGTGGAAACAAAAGTGATATAAAGATGGAGAAGGTAAGGAGCAGGGTTAAGGTATATGATATGGTTCAGCTTAGATGTTAAATTGCTATTTCCATCCCCAAACTATTTTGTCCCTCTATAGTCTATAGTGGCGATAAACGCCTCAGATTAACCTTACATCAAGATTTGTACCGTCTCGTACTATAGCAACGGAGATTAACTCACTATTATTCTGACAAGTTATACCTCTCAACCCAGCACTGGTCTTAAACGACTGAAGCTTTCCTAGTGTAAGGTGGCGACAGTGGACATGGACGACTAAGGGTGTACCAAAAGTCGAACTCTCGCGCTAATACCTTCAATTTTCACTTAATTCTAACAGGAGAGGATTGGTAGAAAACCTTTTATTATGGTATATCCTTAACATGTTCAAAGCACGGTGTGGTGGTTGAAAACGGTGGGCTTAAAAAGTGGGTTGGCTCTGTGGGAAATAGCGCTTGTCAGACATTATAGATTCATGATGCTTACCTGGGCATCTTTCTTCATCCCAAATGGGACGATAGCTCAGTTGGGAGAGCGTGCGATTGAAGTTCGCAAGGTCGCTGGTTCGATCCCGGCTCGTCCCATTTTTTTTGACAGTTTTTGACTGTAAATCAGTCAATTGACTCTACGTATAGAAATACATCGCGAACAAGCCTGGATTTGATGGGGGAATGAATGCATGCGGAGCAAGAGGTAAAAACTTCGGTTTGGCCCGACAATTTTGGAAACACCAGAAGTGTTACTTACCTATGTACTGTACATATATGTACGTACATACAGGGGCCCACGTGCAGGAGAGAACTGTGGGACGTGGGACGTGGGGCTATGCGGGACTGCGGGGAGAGAAAGGACTTATCTGACGTCGAATGTCACCGCTTAAAGCTTGGAAGTAACAGAGTATCTGGTATCGATTGGATGGCGAAGATATTTCAGTATAGCGGGTAAGGCTATCAAAATCATCAATATGGTAGGTACACTTTATCGGCCAATGAGTATACGTATCACTGATCAATCCGTCCTCTAGGCAATCCAAGCAAACCGCGGTGCCTCCATCGAAGACATTCTTGCCATCGGCCCCGAGTTGGAGAGCATAGTGGCATGGCGTGAGAGATGTGGAACCAATGCAGATTCTCAAATTCGTCTTGTTAAACTGGCGCATATGCGATACCAGCACCCTGAACTGGATGAAATTACTGTGTTTCTTCAGGGTATGTATGTGTTTGGTGTTGGCTCTTCAGATACTTATATATGATTCTAGCTAATGTATACTTAGATTTTGGCATGAAAATCGCAAAGCAAACCGATGAGGAAGTCTGGTATCGAGGGTATGGAGTAGACCCATACGTCTACTATGCTAGGAAGGGGCCGAAGAAGTTCCTTGGTGGCGCATTTGAAGTTGAAACTTACCAGGATCTTGAGAGGTAATTCTACAGAAATACTTTTTCATGTGATGTCCCGTGGTAATCGTTTTAGGGCAACTGAACTACCGACAGCCGGAAAGATCGAAGAGCTCACAGATGCCCCCGGTGGAGGCTATATGGTGACACTACAAGACCCGGAAGGCTTCCCGATAAATTTATTCTTTGGACAGACACTAACCACCCCTGGACCATATCCCAAAATTCTCGAGATCAATTATGAGACCGAGAAGCCACGAGTTCGCCGGTTTCAGCGGTTTCAGCCAGGACCTGCTGCAGTGCACAAAGTCAGTCCATATATGGCCCTCACTCATATACTCACGATTCGAAGTGCTAAGCTCACTCTGAACAGCTTGGTCACTACGGCGTCTGCACCATAAACTTCGAAGCCCTCGTCGAGTTCTATACCAAGAATTTCAATATCGTCCCAACAGATTTCCTCTTTGTCGAAAAAGAAGGAAAGAAGAAGAATGTGGCTCTCTTTGCCCATATAGACCGAGGCGAAAAATATGTAGACCACCATACCTTCTTCATGAGCTCCAATCCAACAAGCCACGTCCACCACTGCTCATTCGAAGTCCATGACCTTGACACACAGCAGCTCGGCCACCAATGGCTTGCTAAGAAAGGATACAAGTCAGTGTGGGGTGTTGGTCGACATATTCTAGGATCACAGATCTTTGACTACTGGTGGGATACGACGGGAAATATGATTGAGCACTATGCGGATGGGGATTTGGTGAATGATCAGACACCCATCGGGTATGGACCGGCGGGCGATGAGTCTCTCGCTGTGTGGGGGCCTGAAGTTCCTTCTTGGTTTTTGCAATGATAGTTTCAGATGGGTGTTCATATACATCTTGGTTCTGGAGTATATTCTATGTAAGCAACAAGGAAGAATATATACTATTTAGCAATGACACCTCTCGGAACAGCTATTCATAGACCAACTTCTTTATTGAGACTGGGCTGGTGATTTGTAGCTGGTATATAAAATCCACCTGCGGGGAATGACAATGTTTGTCACAGTGGAGATATCCATGGATACATCGCATCAAACAAGGGTCATGGAAATCACTCATTGTAGACACAACAAAGAGCGTTCTCCAAACTCCCTCCCCACTGTCCCATCTCGCAATAGCATGTCCCTCAACCAACGTCTTGCAACATCTACATCCCGAGAGCCAAATTTGACTATGACGGAGCCTCGCACGGAAGTAGCAGACCATGTTTTCACAGATTCACCCGAGTGCAAATCAATTTGTTCATGAGGTTTCCCATTCGCTCGAATGCGTGGGAGACGGGAGAACTCCGCCAGAAAGAAGTCGCCAAGAGCACGAAACATGGGGCCTCGAATGATGAGTGTGCCAAAAACCCCGAGATCGTCCATTTCATCACTATAGCTTCGCTTCGTGGACGATGTTTCATCCAGAACCATACTATCTCGGATCAAGAGCTTCTTCTTGGTTCCTTTGTCTGGATCAGGAAGTGACCAAATCTCATTTCGACCCTTCCATCCGAAAAATTCCCAGGCCTCACCTCTCGCAGTTCGTCCTTCGGAAACCCAGTCTAGGACTAGTATACTGGACAGAGAATGGTGGACGTGGAATATTTGACATTGCTCATACGAACTGTCTTTGAATGGCTGTACCGGGTCCGGTAATAGTAGGAGCGCTGCTCCTTCTTCCACTGTGACAGTGAGATCTTGGTGTGAGCGTATTGACTTGGATGGTGTCTTGTACACCTTGGTGCTTCCTTGCGTAAGAAGGGCTAGTCGCGACTTCGGTCGAACTCTGATGTTCAAGTCTACACAGTCACCGGCGACCAGGCCGCCACCATAACTCATCATGAAGACAAGCACAGCATGGTCGGTTGGTCTGGATGGTGGCGACACGAGTTTGAGAGGGTATGTGCATGAAAGCGCGGAAATGGAAGAAGAGCCGCAAAAGGCGTGGACTTCAAGTTGGCCAGTACCTGGCTGGGGTTTTTGAGGCACCACCATGGTGACTGTTCCCATTGATGAACTCCCGTTTGAGGGACAAAGTTACGCTGAAGCTTCCATTTTACTAGCAACAAATTGTGGACTTTTGGAAATGGCCTGGGGATTCACTTGAATTGGCGACATGGACAGTGGAACCACCAAACCATCCATATGGGTGAAATTGGTTTCCCTCGGCGAAGAGGACCTGACACACTTTTACTTTCACCGATTTCACCGATTTGTGGAGTTTAGTCTTTCAGATCCAAGCAGATTCGACCATGAGATGTCGTCAACGTCATTGCCGCTTGCAGACAACGATGGCCGATAGGTCACTCCCCCCACAGCCTTTGTTGGCCGGTAAAACCGGCGACCCAACTATTCATTTACCCACTTTGAAAAGGTGAGTCTATGTTATATGCAGGGCCGATCCAGTTCATGCGTGAATTGAAACTAGATTCCATACCGCTTCATTTGCCGAGTTCTTGACCGATCGGCATTCCGATTTCTATAAACGGGCACTGGAAGTGTACCCGTTAACACCAGCTTGTATCGCCTTTACTAGGAAAGGTTGACTTCAAATTGCAAATCGCGATGCAGTTGATAGCTCGTGAGGTATGGCGGATGAATACTTGATGTTTTACCCCGATAGCTAATGTGAACCACCTAGTTGGATAAATTGGTCATTGCCCAGACCGGGCTTTTGGCCCAACGACGACTGGCGAGAGGGGTGAAATTGAACTACTCGGAAGCTACGGTACCTGATATCTTCATCCCCTGGACAGAGATATCGGTAGCTAATAATAGAGCAGGCATTGATCTCAAATGTGCTGCAAGAAGTATGTATCAGTCTCGGAGCCAGCACAATGCCTAGCTCTAATTATCTCTAGATGATGCGAGATGGCAAGCACACCGCGTCAGAACTCATGTCTATTGGGAAACATATCCTTGGGCGCCGACATGTCCTTCCGGGAGTGTTAGCAACTCTCACCGTGCTGCAGATTGAAGGGACCTTTACGACAGGAACGCATCTGGTTACTGTCGATCAGCCCATTAGCAGCGAGGACGGCAATATTGAACTGGCGATGTATGGTAGTTTCCTGCCCATTCCGTCGGAGAGCCTCTTCCCCTCATATCCAGAATCCGAGTACGAGCCTCTGAAGATGCCTGGAGCCATCTCACCCGGCGATGGAAAGATCGAGCTCAATCCCGGCAGAAAGCGTACTCAATTGAGAGTTACCAACAAGGGTGACCGGCCAATCCAGGTATTCATCCATTGTTCTACATGCATATCAATGAGATGTATTGATAAGATTTTGTTTTGCAGGTCGGCTCTCATTTCCACTTCATTGAATCAAACCCGGAGCTGGATTTCGACCGCATCAAGGCTTATGGCTATCACCTTGACATCCCCGCTGGAACGTCGACTCGCTTCGAGCCTGGCGTCACCAAGACTGTGAATTTAACGCAAATCAGTGGTCTCAAAACCATCAAGGGTGGAAGCAGTATTGCGACTGGAACTATCGACCTGTCCCATACCAACGCAGTACTGCAACGCATCAAGGAGGAAGGCTTCCGACACACACCCGAGGAGGTGCTCATTGATATACAGAAGATAGAACCCTTCAAAATGGATCGACTTTCTTATGCCTTGATATACGGTCCGACTGTCGGTGACTCGGTCCGTCTCGGCTCGACAGACCTCTGGGTGACGATTGAAAAGGACTACACAGCTCACGGAGACGAATGCACGTTTGGAGGAGGTAAGACTTTACGCGACGGAATTGGACAAGCTGCTGGACGAGCAGACGACGAGTGTGCGGACCTGGTTTTGGTCAATGCATTAGTCATTGACTGGAGTGGAATTTTCAAAGCTGATATCGGAGTGAAAGACGGGGTCATTGTGGGGATCGGAAAGGCCGGTAATCCTGATGTGATGGATGGGGTGAACCCAGCTCTGGTGATTGGATCCAACACGGACATCATTGCTGCAGAGGGGAAGATCATCACTGCTGGTGGCATCGACACCCATGTTCACTATATCTGTCCGCAGCAGATTGAAGAGTCTATCTCGTCGGGTGTCACAACGATGTTTGGGGGAGGCACTGGCCCGAGGTAAGACAACCGTTATTTTATACTGCGGAGTTTGGATCTGACCTTCTGTTCCAGTACGGCCTCCGTTGCCGCCAATTGCACCCCGAGCAAGACCTATATTCGACAGATGATGCAGACGTTAGACAAGCTGCCAGTCAATTTTGGTGTCATTGGCAAGGGCAGTGATACTGGAAAGCCAGGTCTTCGTGATCAGTGTAATGCAGGTGTCGCTGGTCTCAAACTGCATGAAGACTGGGGATGCACTCCCTCGGCAATCGACACTTGTCTGAGGTAATGGGATCTTACTTGCTCGATCGTTGCGGATACTGATAGCTGTTATAGTGTCTGCGAAGAACACGACATCCAGTGCCAAATCCACAGCGACTCTTTGAACGAGTCCGGTTTCGTTGAGCGAACGGCAGCTGCATTCAAGGGAAGGACAGTACACGCATACCATATCGAAGGAGCTGGTGGCGGACATGCACCAGATATGATTTCTCTCGTGCAACACGCCAACGTCCTTCCCAGTAGTACTAATCCAACCAAACCATACACCTGCAACACAGTCGACGAGCACCTCGATATGGTCATGTCTTGTCACCATCTATCGAAGAACATCCCCGAAGATATCTCCTTCGCGGACAGCCGCATTCGGGCAGAAACAATTGCCGCAGAAGATGTCCTCCACGATACCGGCGCCATCAGTATGATGTCATCTGATTCCCAGGCAATGGGACGATGTGGAGAGGTTGTTGTGCGCACTTGGAATCTGGCTCACAAAAACAAGGTAGAGCGTGGCCCGCTGCCCGAGGATGAGGATACTGGAGCCGACAACCACCGAGTGAAGCGGTATGTCAGCAAATACACCATCAATCCAGCCCTGGCGCAGGGTATCAGCCATGTAGTGGGCAGCGTTGAGGTTGGCAAATTGGCCGATCTGGTGATCTGGGAACCTGCAAGCTTTGGTACCAAGCCATTCCAAGTTCTCAAGAAGGGCTTTATTGCTTCGGCTCAAATGGTATGTCCTCCTATCTTAAATGGATGTAAGTTGAGTGCTAATCATTGTCTTAGGGTGATCCAAACGCATCGTAAGAACCACTCTGCATCAATACTCTTCTCCTCTGGTCTTTCTTCATGGGTACTAACTGCGTCGTAGGATCTCAACCGTTCAGCCGATCATTGCGCGGCCGATGTTTGCGGTAAGCTGAAGCCAGTCCTCGCCTTAGTCACGAAATCCTCTGAGCTGACCATACTCTAGCCCCTTCTACCGTCAAGTAGTGTGATGTTCGTTTCTAAGGCCGGCATGGAGAGCGGTTCCGTCAACTCCTACGGACTGAAAAAGCAGATCGAAATCGTGAGGAATACTCGCACGGTCACCAAGCTTGACATGAAATTCAACAATGCAACGCCGAAGATGGAGGTTGATCCCGAAGCGTTTGTGAGTCTGAACTCCGTGTTTGAAACTCTGGAATACGACACTGATTTTTCAATTACAGACGGTTATGGCCGATGGGGCACACTGTAGAGCAGAGGCGGCTACGTCGCTACCGCTTACCCATCAATATTTCATATACTAGCCGGCAGTTTGTAAAGGCTAACTCTTGAGTTTGTTCTTATATACCAGGACAAGCGGCTAAAATATGCAAGTTCAACCTATGAGCTAGTGTTCGATTGGTGACCATAAGACCAGTGAAAATTGATATTCCCAAGATAACTATGGAAAGAGAAAGAGGACTCAAACTGATAGCTAAACATAAACATAACCGAACATTGAACCGAAAAGCCACAGCGGGTATAGAAAGCACTTTCATTGATCTCATTGCCTCACAAGACAGGGATCTCACTACCACCCCTCTGCAGGCGGAGGCACACCCTCCCATTCACTGCCCTGCATCGCAGGAACACTAACCTCCTCCTCGCAAGTCCCACCAAGCATCTCATCAGCACCCCAGCCCACAGACTCGAGTTCTCGAACAAAGAAATCACGCTCTTCCTCCATCATAGAAGCACCCTCATCACCACCCATGACATCCTTGTACTGACGCAGATGCCACCAGTGCGTAAGACCACGAAGCGCCTGTTCCAACGGCAAAGCCTCTTCAACCTCAGCATCGACATCAGAGCCAGCGAGCCAGTCGTCGCGCAGCTCGGGACGGCAGTACAGGTAGATAGCGGTGATGACGCGCATGTTACTCTGGCGCCATTTGCGGCCGCAGTAGGGGACCTGGGATTTGAAGAGTTTGAGGGTGTAGAAGCGGAGGTGTGGGTCTGGGATCTTGAGACCTTTGCGGAGGATGTTGCTTGATTTGTACTGCACTAGTAGGAGGCAGCGGTGGGCTTTGTTGCGTGTGATCTTTTGCATGACGTGTAGGTAGTTGATGGCGGAAAAGAAGTTGCGGAAGGAGAATACTTTGATTGGTTCTTTGGGGAGGGGTGCGGTCGGGTAGCCTAGTTCGTCGACTTCGGGGCGTGCCGGTCCGTTGATAATATCCGTTAGGGATTCCTCTTCGGAGAGACCTGGCATACTGCCGTTTGCTGTTGGATCCGAGCGGTGGCGGGCGATTGGGGGTGGCATGGCTTCGTCTTCGCTTTCAGTGTCGCCGCAAGAGTTTTCTTCGGTTTCCAGGGGGAAGTCCGTGTTGCTTTGACAGAAGTGGAAGAAGCTGGTTTTTGTGTTAGCGGGTGACCTAGCCTAGCGAGTAAAGTCGATTAACATACGATAAGTCTTCGCGGTCATTTTTATGTGCCACCGTTTGGTCAACGTCTTGATGTGCGAACATTTTGAGAATCAAGGGGATGTAGTTGGAGTCAAGTAATAGCTGCGTCATGTATTCAAATTTCAAGATATCTTGGTGGGTTAGCGACACGTTCAAGAAAAAAAAAAAATTCAAAGTGTAGACTCACGAGATCGCTTGAACCACTTAAGGAGAAGCAACAGAGTTCCAGACACGGCTTTCCCGGTGATCTCGCGGAGTCGAATGTTGTCCAGCTCATCGATGGATGCATCGGAAAGGAGATTGTGAGAGGAGCCGTTCATGGAATGACTGTTACGGAAACCTGGGTTAGAACGCATTTGTTTTATTTGAAGTGTCTGAGCTCACCTCATGCCCTGCGTCGTCTGGCTGGTAGCCTGGCTGACCACTGCGCTGACATTTGTCAGGATGATTTTTAAGAATACGATAGTGATGGACTGTAGGTGAGATAGAGTATGGGTCTGGTAAACAGTAAGCGAAAGTCCGAATTGGGTCTTGGAAGTGTGCACCCACATAAAACGAGTCAACCGCATCCAAGCGGCGCTGGACATCGGGATCATCTGTCTCCTTCTCTACTCGCTTGGGTTTAGGCTCGGCCTTCTCCTCGTCGCCCGATAAGTCTAGATGTTCAAAATCGTCTGGTAGATCATCCGAGATGTTGTCAGGGAAGTGAGCAGCGTCCTCGGAGTTCCAGCCGCGGTCGTACTGCATAAAGTGCTCGCGCTCCTGCCAAAGCTGTCGCATCGCACGGGTCATTTTCACATGGGTCGAAAAAAGCTTCCCGGCTTCAATAATTGACGCAGGGACATCACTGCCTTCCCATTTCTTTCCAACCAAGGCATCCTGGCGTTGCGTTGTGCCCTTTCCGCCGATGCGGTTGCTGGAATCATCTAGGGGAGGGTACATGAAGGGGAAGTTCTGATTGGTCTGGTAGTTCTGTTTCTTCCCAGCTTTCCCTCCTGGGCCGGCGGGGATGGAGGTGGGGATGGCGCCGGGGTTGCAATATGAACGGCCTGTTGAAGGATAGAGCCATTTCCACCGGAGACCGAGGGGGCGACACCAGAAAAGATACCACTGGACGAGTTCATCTTGGCTGCATTGTGTGGAAGAGGGGGTAGAATGGAATTGTTTTCCATTTCCAGTGGAACGACGAGTGGCGGAGGGTTGTAAGCAGGGTACTTCGAAGTGATTTCCTGGCGGAAGAGATGGTAGTCCAGAGGGGAGGCGTGTAGAAATGGTGTCCTGCGTTTGGGATCATCCTCAGAGGAAATAGCAGGTTCTAGTACCTCTTTTGCGCGCTTTAAATCATCGGTCCCGCCAAAGACGAGAAGCAGCGACTTCCATAACAACAGAAGGATCCTGGTCAGCGGGATATTGGCAGATTCGTCCCAGCGTAGTCGGGCGATGATTTCAACAATGGAGACCAACAGACTGGGATTTGAGCTGTCCAGTGCATCACGGATTGAGCTGCACTGAGGGTCGCGCGCCTGTTGTCTGCGACCCACTTCCACGGCAAAGTATAAACTTGTAAGGACCAAGTTTGCCTCGCGCTCCGGCGGCGCAATATCGCCAGGGCTAATCCGCTCGTAATCAACGTCACTGGAGTCCGATCCGAGTGCTGAGCGGGTCTTATCAAAAAGGCGGCACATGTACTGTATCAAGGCGGTAACGCCCGAGCATTCCTGGAGAAGGGAAACATTCTGCTCGATGCACTGAATCTGCATTGACTTGAGCATTGGAGTTTCGGCTGCCGAGTCGGGATTCCCATCTGAAGAATAGTCGGGCGCCACTCTTCCACCACTAAGTCCCCATACACCAGTGACGAGATAGCAAATTGATTCAAGGGCTTCCAATCGCGCGGGGACTTCAGCAAGCTGTAGATCCTCAAGCATCTGAGCAATAAATGAACGACGTAAATCCTTGGATGCGTCGAGCCAAGACAGCCCGGGCGTGTCTGGCTGGCGTTGCTGGTAGAAGGTAGGCCATTTCCTGTTAAAGGTTGCTTTCATGCCCATCAGCATGACGCGGTCAAAGGCGTTATACTGGAACCACTCGTCGAGCTCATCGGGAAATGATTGGGCATCGGCATATTCAAAAGCATAGGCTGGTTGCTCGATTTTGGGCATTTCACCCACAAGCTTCCGCAACTCCGATAAGCTCAGGGAGCTCGCACCCCGGTCCGCATTTCTCCTGGGCAGGGGCTGGAGGGGGAGGCTGCATCGGAGGAGGTGGAGCAGAGCTTTCCCGACGAAGTTCGGGTCGTTTCATGGATTTGTCGGGCGCAGAGGGCGCCATCTCAGGAGCTGGTGCGGCCTGCGAGGCCTGTTCCTGGCGGAGCCCCTCAGCCACCTCTTCCAGGAGTTGGTCGTCTGAAACTGGCGAGATATCGGTCCCAGTTTGGTCGACCTCATCTGCCTTAACAATATGATGTTCCTGCATAGTGGCTTCGGGAGGATCTGAAGCTGTGTCCATCATTGAGGACTTGTTGAGTTGTTGTGTTCCTGGCAGAAAGTTGTTCGGTGGATCACCAAGGTATCAACGCTCCATACATTAGGCAAAAAGAGTGAAAAGAAAGGATCACAAAATTAAACCAAACTCATGCAAATGAACCACTACGCATATTGTTAGTATTCGTAGTGCACGAAGGGTGGTTGCTGCAGTGTTGATGCGGGAGACAAGCTGACACGTGACCAGACTACAAAGCCATTGTGGCGTGCGTGTTATTTTGAATTACGATGAATGAGTAGAAAGAGGTGGAAAAAAATTGATTTCAGTTAAATCAACAGGCAGGTGTTCGCTCGCTACTCTGTACTATGGTGGGTATACGCTAAAAGGGGGGGAATCCCTTACTCCGACTTCTTCTCACTAAGGCCGCGACGCTTCAATCTCTGAGACTCCCAACGTTGCCAGCCAGCCTCAGCCAGGTCTTCACTTACAACAAGATCGCGGATTCTGACCAACCGGGAAATAGTAGTCTCCATGGCCCATTCAATCAAACCAGAACTTCGGAGCAGGCTGGTGACCGTGAACCAGCCACAAGCACACACGAATCCAGCGGCACAGCCGGCAAGGACTTGTCTTGGGGTGTGGTAGTTGAGGTAGACCCGGCTGGCAGCGACAGCACCAGCTCCAATGCAAAGGGCCAGCATGACCAGGACTCGTAGGAGGACGGCGACATTGGGGTAGGAGCTAGCGGAAGCTTGGCTGTGACGGAAAAGAAGGAAGAAGGTGAGGTAGACAGAGAAGAAGGTCATGAATTGGGCGTGTGAAGATGGCATCCCATACCCCTTGCCGAACATTTCTGTTTACACGTGTTAGATTAGGAAGGTACCCACGAGACCATCAATATTGACAACTCACCCTTCGGTCGCTCTTCCTTGATGAAACGTTTGAGGACAAAGTTCAAGGCTTCACAGCCCATCTGTCCTGCAAACATCAAGATGACTTCCACCTCCCTTGTTGACCAGATCAGGGTTGCATAGGAAACACATAGTGCCTGTGGTACCAGGGCGAGCCATGCTGAGGCAAAGGACAGTTGATCCTCGGGGTTCTTGGAAACTAGTCAGTGACAAAGTCAAACGGGTGAAATAATGATGTAACTGACATAGTGGACATGAGTTAGAGACAGCGACGCCAGCGGAGTGTCTCCCATGGTGAGTGAAAAAGATGAGGGAATAAGGGAAGTTCAAAAGTTCAAAAGTCCAAAATCCCCCTAAATCCCCTAAATCGCTAAATTTGGAGATTTCCCTTTTCAGGGATATCAGGCTCAATGCCAAGGAATGCCAAGACACTTTCCCTTATCAGTCCCCCGATAAGGAGATTGGGCAGCGGGGGACCATTTTGGAATTATTTCTCTCCTCCATTTTTAGGCATCCGAAGGGATTTGCCATTTCTCTTTTTTTTTGGAGAATATTTGGCTCTTTCTGGTTTCTTCCTTCCCTCTATCGTCTTCATCTTTACTTCACTTTCAAACAATGACGCCGTTGTTCTCTCTCCAAACCCCAGACTCTCTATTGCATCATCTTTTAGACCCCTCCCGACTTTCTGCCGAACATTGGCCCATAGAAGGAATACTCGGGACATCTTCATCTTTGGTTGGTCTGAAATTTTCTTAGGGTCTCAGTCGCAACGCTGATTCGAAGTGATCTTCCTGCAGGATAGAAACCCCCCTTTTCTGCCCGATCGTCCTTAGTGACAGTTCACTTGGATCGGTCATCATTACCTTCCAACCGTTTTCTTTTTACGACAGTCATGAGTCAGTGTTTCTAGAATTTCTTGCAGGAGACACCGTTGTCTCCAAGTTGCGATTCACTAGCATCACATCGGAGGCAAATATACAACCAACCCCCCACCTGAAGAAATCTTCACAAGTGATCATACTCGGTTTCATCCCGCTATGACCGAACTCGACTTCCCGGAGGATGATCGCTCGGTCGAGCTTTCCTCGATTGCCGCCATCTTTCCGGAAATCCAAATCGATCCTTCCTCTCCGTTCAAAGCCGTTCTCGATCTTCCAGTCGCTCCTTCCACCCCAACCTCAATATGTTTTCAGCAACCGCTCGATACTGCAGCCGCCATCACCCCTCCGACCTCATTAGACGAGTCCAAGGGAGAACTGGACCAGCCGCCCGTTAAAGACGTTCATCTCCTCTCGCATTTGCCTCCGCTTAACCTCGAGGTTGAATTACCAGAGGGATACCCAACCGAAAAGTCGCCTGTCATTCACCTGAGAACGATCCCCTCATGGTTACCTCCTCCAGTTATCGATCGATTGTCTAGCGATTGCCACCGTCTCTGGGAAGAATGTGGAAAGGATCTGGTTGTCTTCACCTACATCGATCACCTCCAGCAGCTCGCAGAAACAATCTTCAATATCCAAGATTCGTCTGGGGAAGTATGTTTACCGCGCGACCTGAAGATCGGACTACTGGACTACAACAAAAAAGCCGAGCGGGAAAAGTTTGAGCAGGGGACTTTTGAGTGTGGTGTATGCCTTGAACCGAAGAAAGGCACCGTTTGCTATCGATTACTTCGCTGCTCCCACGTATTCTGCATTCAATGCTTGCAAAATTTCTACAACTCCTGCATCACCGAAGGTGATGTTGACAGCGTGAAATGCATGGCGCCGGATTGCGAATATAACAAGAGACCCGCAGCTGTACCAGGCGACGGCCAGACCCCCCGCAAGAAGCGTGATCGTACCCTGGGACCAAGCGAGCTACTTCAGATTCCTCTGGCAACTGAAACGGTTCAACGATATGCATTCCTTAAGAGGAAGAAAAAGATCGAAGCCGATAAAACAACAGTCTACTGTCCACGCCAATGGTGCCAGGGAGCTGCAAGATCCAAGCGACACCCAAAGCCCGAAGATCCCATGTCAGATGATTTGAATAGTTCCGACGAAGAAGATGGATCAGAGCCCTGCAGCGAAGTCAGAGATGGAGAGCTTCCTCCTATGGCGGAGCGTGTGTCTATTTGCGAAGACTGCAACTACGCCTTTTGCTGCGTCTGCAAGAAGGGCTGGCACGGCGAGTTGGTACGCTGCTACCCACGCCGCGACGGTGAGCCCACGGAAGAAGAAAAGGCAACCGAAGAGTACCTGCGTCTGTACACTACCCCTTGCCCGACTTGCAATGTGCCCTGCCAAAAGCAAATGGGATGCAATCATATGCGATGTTTCCAGTGCGACACACACTTCTGCTACCTTTGCTCGGCCTGGCTGTGTGCAGACAACCCATACAGACATTTCAATGACGAGAAAGGCCAATGCTTCAATCGTCTTTGGGACTTGGAAGGTGGTGATGGTATCAACCCCGACGGAGCCGAAGCACTCCATCGCATCCCAGACGCACTCCTAAACTTCGACGATGATCCACATGTGGTAGCGATTCATGACGCAACCGACGAAAGCGATGATGACCACCCTGCATTTGAATTTGATAACGATGAAGACGATCTCCACCGACACCCTCCTCCTCCCGCCCCAGTCCCTCCCCAAGTCAACCGCGGTGCCGGCAGGCCTGGCCAGCGTGACCACGCAGCTGCCCGTGCTGCTGCAGCTGAACGTCAAGCCCAAGCTCGCGCCATGGCCGAGGTACGAAACCGGAATGCGAGACGCCAAGCCAGACCGCCTGTCCGATGGGCGGATGCTCCTCCTCAACATCTTCCTCCACAGGCAGGTGATCCTAGACGTCCTGTACGGTGGGCAGAGGTTCCTGCAGAACCATTGGCAGATGAAGATGGCCCCATTCGATGGGAGGCTATTGCAATCCGACCAGGTAGAGCACAGGCACACCCTGGTCTCCAGCGATTTTTGCATCTAGTACAAAATGACCGTGAAGACGAATGGGATAGTGATGAGATGGACGATGACTTCTAAATCAAGGTTCGATGTGCACGACTCAACATTCAACGTGCCATGAATTTTGGTCCTTTTGTTCCCGTTCAAAAAGCGTCCTAATGACATCGATGCAGACAACGAATTCATGCGTTTTCTTTATTTTTGTTCGCATTTTCCCTTTTTTTTCTGATTTATGTCTTTCATCAATTCCCCCTTCGTCTTCTGTCACACTCCGTTTCGTTTCGCTCTTGCATTTGTTCATCCTTTTTTGTTCATCCTTTTTTGTTTCTTGCTTTCATTTCAATTTGCTTCTGATTTTCATATCCTAGGTCTTTATTCACCAGCCAAGCGCAGGCAATGTTCATACACGTACATACTTCCCCACACATATAACATGTGTCGTTAGCGCCTCACCTATTTGATATTCTGCTTTTTTGATACTTGCATTGCTCAGTCATGATTGAAAGTTTGGCTGTAAGACAAGACCAGGGGGATGTAATGTCCTCTATGGTCACTTAACTTGATCAGATGTATACAACTTTGCATCGCGCATGGCTATAAAATACTATTTTCTATGACTTATCTTTCCCTGATAACCGAAATATTTAGGCTTTCAAGGTTAGAGACCAACGCATATTCCTCAGGCAAGCGGCCTTGGGTCTTGCCCTCCCTACACACACTTGCGCGCACAAGTGTGCCCTCCAAAATGGAATCCTCCCCGCTTCCTTTCTCAAACCCCGTTCCCGACATTCCGTCCATGATTGTATCACTTGCTGAAATCTCGGCTCTCCTGGGACTTGTTAGGATCTTGTTCCATATCCACTAGAAAGGCTGTGGTCCGCCTCCAAGACATCTTAACTGTCCTCAAGTTTGCTGTCGCCGGTTATTTGGTGCCACCTCGAACGTCGTTGATGAGCTCTATTAGCTTGGGACCGATCTGCCCTGCGATGAACTCATCACCCTGGCTGTTAGGATGGACACCGTCATCCAGCATAGCGTTGGTGAACCCGGCAGCTCTTGAGCAGTCAGCAATGACAACGGGCGACTCCGCTGTTGTTTGCTGCTGCACCCAGCCTGGAATGGCGTTGTTGAGGGCCTCAATAGTCGGGTCGTTCCAGCTTGTCGGGAGCACCTTATCGACCTAGGAAGATGTGTGTCGGCGTTTGACCAGGGAGATGAGGAAGAATCATACTGATAAGCGAGGCATAACTTACGATTACCTTGACCCTGGGGTTCGCGGCACGCATGGCATCGAGCATCATTGTGTACGAGCCGATGATGCTCTCGACGTCCCGCTTGCCGAGGTTGACATCGTTGGTGCCGAGCATGAATTGAATGATATCGGGCTTGGCGCTCTGAACCCAGCCCGCGATGTTGTTCCTGGCAATATCGTACGCCTGCCAGCCCGAGTGGCCCTCATGGTTCGGATCGAAACCTTGTGGTCTCGAGCACTTTGATTGGAGGGCGTCCATGGTGCCGACGAGGTCGACACTGTCTGCTAACCCGGCTGATGTGATTTGGTCCCACACTAGGGTTCTCCAGCAGGTGATCTCAGTAATGGAGTCACCGAGCAACACTATTCAAATTCCCACTCTCCAAGTCAACCTACTGCCTCGAACATCAGATCCTGCCTGGAGGTGGTTACTCACTGACTTTGACCTGTTGTGCAGCTGTACTAGCTACAAGGCCAGCGAGGAAGGCAAAAGTAGGGAGTTTCATTATGGCGATGAGCTTGGATTTTGGATTCGGGTCCACGCGATAGGAGTCATTCAGGCTACACTACAGTCCTTTTAAGTATTTTCCCACAAGTTCCCCCATCGGAGACCAGGGTTGTTGGGGAAAGGCCTATCATCTATGGCTCAACCTTACAGACGCACCATTCGGAGCGTATAAGGGGCCACACTGACTAACGCTACATATTTCCATACCCAGAGCGAGCCTAACTAGCGGACCGACGAACTTAACCTCCATTTACCCACTGCATTTAGGCTAGAAAAAAGATGGCCAAGTGTGGTGCGGGGTTTAAGAACACTATCGGGATAAAGTTGGATGCAACCTTTCTAGACTCGCTAGGCGTTAGTTTATGATCGTGCGTGACCAGCGCGGGCAATACACTCGTGGCAAACCTCTATTAGAGATCTCGGATACTACTCCTTGTCTAATCTGTGACAGAGTGCGGGGAGAAAGCTAGCCACCATAGTTTTAGGAAAGTTCGGAGGCACGTCCATTTCTCTACCAATACCGAAGTGTGTTCATCATTCAGCGTCGATAAGACGGGGAAATCCAAGGCTCCTGTGTTTTACTGATGGGACCTGGGTCACATATCTGAATGCATACCCACTATATCATGCCTAAAAAGGATGATATGGCTATTGTGTGTTGAGCTGGTTGGGGAATGTTTGAGTGGGACATCACCCTTCCCTTCTGCCGGGGCACGCACTTCACCGGCGATCACATTATTCTAGGCGGCACATATCGGATTTCATGCCGTTTGCATTTCTTGGGTGTGCATAAAGTAAAAACATGCTTGATAGTAACCCCCGCAGAAGCAGTACCCAATAGCCTCGAGCCTGGGAAGCATGGAGTAAAACCCGCCGGAGGAGAGTTACGGTCGTACCCGGGGAAGATAGCCTCCCGCCGGCCTCGCATTACCCCTAAGAGACCCTGAAGAAACCCTAAAGAGACTAAGAATGGCGAGAACAATGAGCCTAAATGCGGAGGCCACATTCAGACTGTACGTCACTAGTTGGGGTGTATGGCAAACGAATCATGGATTGTGCGGGAGAAGAGAAACAAGTTAAAGCAGCTAAGGCTATCTACCTTGTCCCTAAAATCCGCACCGGGCCGTGACTTCATAATGGGGTTAGCCACATATGAAACTAGAACTGTATTAAGAACATACCGGTCTCTCGAGAGACGTCTCCCAGGTCCGTTGCGTTTATCTCAACTGAAACACTGGTGAAATTTCTTCTGAGGGCTTCTTTCGACGAAGAAAAAAGCATCTTCTTGTTTATATTCGCTGCTTCTGGCGACCTGGGCACGGTATAATCACTTAATCTCCGGGATCTTTATATTGAACAGGTTGGCGGGAACAAGAGAACCTACCAAGAGATAAATACAATTTTGTTCCTGTTAACACCGGCTCTCTCATCTTGGAAGTCGTAAACCACCCATCGGCATTCCGTCGAAGGTAAATCGTGGACAAAGTCCTCGTAGTTCCGGTTCTCTGAGGTTTTGTCCACGACAATCTCGGAATTGTCCTCACCCAGAGTGTACATGATGTATGAGAACTTCTTGTTGAGATTGAGCTCCTGATATCTTGCGATGCATTCATCGTTCACTTTAATGACCTGTTATAAAATTGTTAACAAGATGTATTTTTAGTTAGTGAGACACGTGCCATTTTGAGATAGTGGTAGTGAAATAAGAAGGAATGCTAGGTGAAATATATCAGTGAATCTGAGAAGCAAGTAAGTATATATAGTATTGGATGGCAAAGATGGAAAAGGAGCCCTAGATAATATACAGGAGTACAGGTCTTCATCGGTCAAGGGTTCCGTGGCGGGCAAGAAATGAAGTCATATTCCGCTTTACGCGTCGAGCCTTGGAACAGGTCCAGATGGGGTAGAACTGCCTCTCTGTTTATGTTTATGTATATAATGCATATAATAGATATTATTGAGAGTAAACCTTTATATCATATCCAGCCATCAAGAGATTAGGCTTTACAATTATCTCTATAGGTATATCCCTTGTATACTTCGCGTTATTTTAGTGTGGACATTGGCAGCACAGTTGCGCTCCATTGCCAGCAAAATCCTTGTAAGGTATCCTTTAATAGTGAATCACCTCTATCTCAGTAATGACCATATATAAAAACGGTCTTCATACAAAACTCCAGTCCCCATGCTAATAATGCATGCTCTAATTCCACCACGCCCCTCCCTCATTATAAGTTTCCATCTTCAACTCCCCCACAGTCAATCCCAACTCGAAATAAGTCTCACAAATCTCCTCCCAAGCAATCTCATCGCTACTCTTCACCCAACCAGGATCATCCGGCCCCTCTGGATCAACACACGTACTCACAGAGCTCGTCATAAGCACAAGATCAAAGTCCGCAGCCATACCCCTCCAATCCCCATTAATCCCATCCGTAAAGACCGACGTGCACGGACGCATAATCTCAAGTGGCATATTAACAGGCTCAGCTCCGCCCAGACAAATCGCAATCGTCGCGGAATTCCACTCATGACGTCCCAAACGAACAAGCCACTCAAATAAAGCCCCCATACGCAATCCCTCATCTTGCCGTGTTGCCTTCTCTTGGTGCCAAGAAAGACCCATTGGCCCTGCACCCATGCTAAACAGCCCGACCGTGAAGACCGGCGGTTGTTGCGTCAGCATACGCCGCCAGCTCGCTTCGGGCTGGAGATACATCTCTCTCTTAGCCGGGCTTTTTGTGAGATCGAAATCACTGAGGCTAACGTCCTCTATTCTGTCACTTGCATTGCTGGCATCTCGCAGGTCTTCTGATGGAAATGCAGAGGGGAATGCTCGTGCTAGCATGGGGTTGTAGACTCGTGCGTCTGCCCCGCTTTTCTCGCTGGCTGGGATGAAGAATAGGGCTTTTTGTAGTGAGCGTGATCTGCGGATTTGGTCTGCCCAGGCGTGACAGACACGTTGGGCGGCCATTAGGGTTTGCATGTCCATTTGGTGGAGGATTGATATTACGATCTCGGGGATCGAGAGAGCCCTGGTCTGGGCTGGGAGTTGGATGTGCATCTCTGTAGTCTGTGATGCTTTTTATAAAATTGGAGCTTCTATTTCCTGTCGTAGAATGAGTTGCACTGGTGGAGAGACTGGGGCATTTATTTGTTGAGATTTCTCACCTGACTTAGGTTGGAAAGGGCTTGACTACATTGGGACCCCGCCATTTGCGCCTTCAGAACGAGTACAGAGTGCGGCTCATCTATTTCTTTAGTACCCAACAAGCTGTAGGTTATTATCAGGAGTAACCAAAGATATAAGAAGCTGTGTAAAATTGATTATCACCAAACTAGAGGAACCAAGAGGCACATGAAGTGGGAAAGAAGCGAAAGAATGGAAAAAAGGATAAAACGATTGGAATGTTGAGAATGATCCAAAGAAAATCACACTGAACACCGAATGGGGCTCTCTCCACCAAAAGCATCCTCATCCCCAGCTTAACCCACATTCAGCATGTTCATATTGGGCAAGGAGTTCAATGATCGAAGATCAGTGCGGCTTACACGCGCCTCTAACCACGTATGGGTTAGTGACCATGTCAGTGAGGTTATCGTCTTGCTTGCAACACATGGGGTTGCCATCTGCATCCGGGAACGGTTTGGATTCGCCATCGTACATGCCGTCCGCTCCATAACACATATCGCCCCACCATTTCGGCCAGGAGAAAGTAATCTTGCACTTCGCCTTGACGGTAGCTTCAGAGGTGTTTTCTCCATCGAATCGTCCATAGAGGGTTGCCGAGAGCGTGTCACCATATCCTGGGTCATCAACCGCTACGGATCACATAGTAAGCCTCCTGGTCGGAACTAAGGAAGGAAGGGGAAACCACTTACTGAACGTGTCACAGACAGGTGTCTTGCCATTGGCGGTAATCCATCTGTTGTTCACATGCTACACCGATAATTAGCAACTGGTACCATGTTCGAGAAGTCAAGGATAGGTTGGATGTACAATGGTAGTCCCCTTTGACGTTCAAGCCCTCAGGCGCATCGCAAGGCCAGAATGGGGAGGTTGCGTGGTGATTGGCCATGATTTCTCCTTTTGTTCTCGCCAGCCCCTCACACACAGGAATGTCAGAGATGTTGAAGAAACTAGGGTAGCGCACTCGCTTGCCATATTTATCGGCATTGCTGTCCTTCTCAATCTCATACATGCCCGGCGACTTGTAGCCATTCTTATAGCCAGCGTCCTCATATCCGGTCATTGCACTTGCAACAATGTCGTTAATTGTGATACCTCCCTCCCCACTTACCCCCGGAGAGGTTGTTACTATCCGCGCCCGGGATTGCGGTGAAGTGAAATTGATTGAAAAAGTCCCACTCATTAGCATTCACAAGGAAAACCAGCTTGTCCCTCCAGCACGCGCGTGTGCTGGCAGAGTCCGCATCTGTCATGATTTGATAGTCGTGGATCTCGGGGATGCTAGCGGCCTTGTCGTTACAGCTAATATCCGTCTTCCTGTGGTAGATATTCTGATTAGTACCATCTTTTCAAAAAAATCCAGTTGGGCTCATCGTCGAAAGTTGATATCCAAGTGCGGACCTTGGACAAATCGCTGGAGAAAGTTTGTTTCAGGTGACTAAACATCGCATTTAAGCTTATTTTGTGGGGAGCCAATCAGGCTCACCACGGTTAGAGCCTCAAGTCACTGCTGTGCGAATGAATCACGTTGGACGATGACATCCATGGATATTCCTTCATACTATTCCTCGAATACGTTTATTGAATTTAATATGGAATATTTGTATAACACTTTCGATTGGCCAATTAAGTAGATTTGACATGCACTTGTACAATTAGATACTAACACGGATAGATCTGTTGGCTTGGTTGAATATGCCTGTTGCACCCATGATCCAAGAACCGTAACCTGATTTGGTGATTGTGATCAACCTCTCCAGTCGTGCCAGAACTCATAACTCATGACCGTGAGATCACAGAATAGCAAAAGCAGCCTGTAATGCCGAGAAGGGTGGTAGCCATGCCAAGTCTCATGAGGTTGGTAGATGTCCGAGGCATAGGCGTGGGTTTCCGGAATGGTGAGGTTTGGGTAATCAGATCCAGGGCTAACATCTGGGTCAGAGGGACTGGAAGCCCGGCATTCAGGCGGGGTTGCGGCAGAAGGCTCATCTTTGTCTGGGTTGAGCAGACGGTGGTTGAACCGCAACCGATCTTTGGGATTGACATCCCGAGGAATGCAAGGGACATCCGGCGGCATCTCAAATCCAGGCATGGGGCTTGCAGCAATACCCATAAGAGGTGGCGTTGGACATTCGTCGTCCCTCTCCTGGGTGGGGAAAGGGAGAAGCCAGTCTAGGCGAAAGGTGTGGCCAATTTCCTCCTGCCATGTAAGAGTGATGATGGCAACCCCACCGGCCTGGGAGGCGGCAACAACAATCCCAAGTTCAGGGAGATACTGGACCAAGTTTAAGCGATCACAGGAAGTGAACATAGAATTTTCCAACAGGGATTCAAGCGGGGACCGAGAGAGTGTCCGTAGTTCATCGTCCAATGGATAAGGATCCAAAGTGATGTTGTTTCCAGAAAAGTGGAGAATAGGGAAAAACCGAGGATTGCGCGCTGAGCAACAAGTTAGCATTTTAGTCCAATACACCGAAGTATCGCTCACGTACGATGGAGAACAAAGTCTCTTAAAGGAACAAAGTCTCTGAAACGAACAAAGTTTCTTAAGCGATCCGCATCGACAGCACGATCCAAGCCCCATTGCTCATTTTCTTCTTCAATCAAATTGGTAATGCCACGTCTCACGCGAATCGATTGACGAGATGGAGCCATATCATAGTAGGATACGTCAGTGCTGATACGGATGGGGTTACTGGCGGCGGGATGAGAAGCAGTTTGGGAGGCTTCTGAAGTAGTATGACCATGCTCTGAGCTCGATGGTTGCGATTGGGATCCAGTATGAACAGAACCGTCAAGGGGAAGATATCGTCTGGTAGAGTAAAGCTCGAAATTGTTACATATTCCTCAGCAGTGACTTGCTGAGAAACGAGGTCGGATCTAGCTTCGACATGATCAGCCGCTTCCGTCACATCAAAGACCATCCGACCATTTATCATCTTTGGTTTTGGTTCGCATCCACAGGCATCAGATTTGAAGTGGTGCTGCTGAACCCTGCGAGGGTGTAGAGGCAAGACAAACCAGCCCCTTTGCTCTCGGCCACCCCTTGCACAATCATAACTAGTCGATTTGACCGGAGTTAAGCTGTCCCAGACTCTCCATACAAAGACTCGGTTGAGGATATCGGTGCTGACCATCCACAGAGCATTGGGGTCCAGCTCAAAGTTGGCAAATGACACGCATGGGATGTTGTCAAAATGACCCTTATAGGTGAGCCGCAGATTGCGTTTTCGATGATTGGGTATGTCCTTTTTCAGCTCCTCCATTGACAGTGCACTGTCGATTGATACCCATGTGTTTTCCAATACATCACAGCCTCCCATGCTTGAGGTATCAGGGGAACCGGGACTGCTACCGTCATGCTCCGACACAGAATCCACCAATGCGAAGGCAAAGACTGTGATGACACCCGTGTTCGCACTCACAGCAATCAACCGAGCAAATTTGTGGGTGGCCAAGCCCCAGGCACTCAAGTGAACATTCTCAGCGAAGAAAGGTTTTACTTCATGTGCATCAAATGGTCGCGCGCCTCCATATTGCGCGCTCCTATTAATTGCCGAGAAAATAGCCTCAACATTGTAGCCGGTGACGTTGCCAGAGTCTGTCGCTAACAGCAAAACCTCATCGACTCCCAAATCATCCACAAGGATATGGTTGATTGTATGGGGCCTAGAAGGATCGATGTATCCAGGCGCATTTGGTTGCTTCATCACAGGGTGAATGATCATCTCAGGTCGGGAGCCAAGGAGCTGGTGAGGTCCGCGGGGGATCCATACGTAAATGTCTTCGACGTGAGCCGTAAAAAGTAAATTTCGACGTTGCGAGAGGGCCGCCTTTCAAAATCAAGGTCAGAACTGAGGAGAAAGCCTACAGCCGGAAAAGCGACTAGATCAACAGGTACTCACCAAGTTACACCTCCAAGCAGATACAGTTGGCCTAGAAACATCACTATAGCTTAATGATAATCAGCCACAGTGCATTCAGGCGAGACAAGTGTAAATACCCACCTAGGATACTAGCACAAGTCAGTTCACAGTTCTCACGTGAGGTAATTTGAAGACAACCATACCCGTTCCTCTTCTGTTTCGACATTCAAGATTTGTACCTGGGGCCGATATCGTTGAGTTTCCCTTTCAGGGTCTATAGTGACAGTCTCAATGGGAGGAAAAGACATTGCCATTGCCATAGGCTAAGGGAGCTTGTTTCCAATGGCGGAGCGCAGAGAACAATACTTTCTTGGGTCTGAGCAGAGAAAGTGGTGAATGGTAAAAGAAGAAGCTTGTTTTGTCATTGCCAAGAGTGGAAATTCCGAGGCAGAAGAGACAATAGGGTAAGGAATTAGTAAACAGATCATGATCAAGCTGGTCGAAAACACCTCCATGTCTGCGGGGAGGTGCAATGATCCGATGATGGAATGACTGACCGCCTGCGCACGGACCGCCCTTGAGTACGTACAGACTGGGAGCTTCGAGGGCTTAGGCTGTCTCGTTCCTACAACATAGGTTTCTTCAATACGATTATCTTGCATGATGGATTTGGTTGCTGGTGTACGAAAAGAAGGCAGCCGGTAAGTTAACCAACTAGTTACCCTCATTCTCGATATGTTGCAAGGTCGCTAATTTTGTCCCAGCGGCGGCCGCAATGAGTTCAAATGGTCCGACGTCCAGACTTCCGTCCACCGCGAGAACTACCTAGGGCACTCGGTGATGGCTCCAGTTGGAAGATGGCAGCAAAATCGTGACCTCAACTGGTATGCCAAGGGAGATGCAGACGAAGAAGAACGAACCCGCAAAGAGCGAGAGGAACTTCAACGTGTCAAGGAGGCAGAGGAGGAAGCAATGGCTATCGCTCTGGGCCTCCCGGTGCCCCCTAAAGCATCAGAAAACGCCAACATGGTTCCTTTAGGAGGTCCCGGTAATACCGATACTATGACAAAAGAAGAAGAGATGCCAGATGCTACAACAAGGGAAAGAGACCACCACCGCTCGAGTCACCGCCACAGACGCGAGCGAACCCGAAGCCCGCGACGGGAAAGGCGACATGACCGAGGCGACGATCCTGCACGTGACAAGGACCGGAGGCACCGCAGGCATCATGACGATCGAGACCGCCATCATCGCAGCCATCGTCACAGATCCCGCTCACGATCTCGCGGTCGTGATCACCACAGACGGCGTTCAGATTCTCGCTCTAGGAGTCGACCCAGTCGTAAAGATGAGGAACACCAGAAACGACGACGGATGGAGCGCAGCTACTCTCCGGCTGAGCGTCGGCGACACCCCGAACGCAGACGAGACCAAGATGACTATGATCGCCGCCACTGAGCTACAAACTAGGGATATGGATTAATACATTAGCTTGGCGTTGGAGGAATCGATTCAAATGTCGGATAAATGATTGCGTACCATTATCAGAATAACCACTATCTAATCTACGTGACGAACTACGAACTTTTTCACATCGAGGTTCAATAGCTTACAACTCGTCATGAGTGGTCTTTCCGGGACCGGCCAATTCAGGCATGGACATCATGTTCACCACCATACTGGTCCAGCCGGTAAAGTGCTGTGTCCGCTGGCCATTGCCCGAGTCAGGGTTGTACTGTTCCCAAGCGAATCCAGTCCTCTTCCACTCGCGGAAGACATTCTCGACCAAATTCTTCCGCAAATCGGAGTACATCTCCCGCGCCTGTTCCTGGTGGGGACCAGAAACCGTTGCAGTGTCCTGTGGGGATTCTGTCAGATTCTGCGGGCAAATAAATCAAAAGATGGGAAAGCACTTACATAGAGATTCTTCAACACCAAGTAGTTGATGTTAATCCAGATAGGGCTTCTCCAATAGTTCTCATCGGTGTCGTAGAACTTATCCTTCTTGCTCAAGCTGCGGATACCATAGTCACTCCACAGCTCCTGGGGATCGCGGATCAAATCCAACACAGCCTTGAGACGTGGGCTGTCAGGACCCAGCATACCAGTCAGGAAGGGGAAGATGGAGATGTAACCCTTGTGGCAGACGTGGACACTCTCTTCATATTCATCGATAGTGGCATCGCAGAAGGTTTGCTCCTTCTCGTTCCAATGCAAGTCATCAATGTTACGGGTGATAGCGGTCTCGTAGTAAGCGAATTGCTCTGCATCTTCTTCCTCGCCGAGGTTCTCAGCAATGCGACGCATAGCGCGAGTCATCATTCCCATCCAACTGATCAGATCGACATGGAGCTCACCAGGGTGCGGCGGCTGAGCTCTAGGGTAGTCGTCAATGCCAGAGGTGAGGATGTGCTGCACGGAACGTCCACGCCAGCGGTAACCTTCCTTGGTCGAGAATGCTTCGCGGTCATACGACTTGATGTCACCGCGCTGAGTGTTCCTGTACCAGTTGTAGTGCTTCTTCAGGAGCGGGTAGAATGAGCGAAGGTATGCTTCAGATAGTTCCGGGTGACGGACAGTGGCAGAGCGCAGGCTCGCGGTCGCATCTTGGTTGTCCAGGGATCCGGACTCGGTGCTCTTGTTGCTGTTGGCCTTGACCTTGTCCATGAATGCTTCCAAGGCCATGAACAGAGTAGGCGGGTTTGCGTAATGAGGATATTGGACCGTAAACTCTGGCGGAACCTTGCTGCGTGCTTCTTGGCCGAGAATTTGTTCACGGGCAATCCACCCATCCTCGTCCATCAAGTGGAACCAGCTCTTGATAATCTCGAGCCTGTAAAAGTCAGTATATCAGCCAAAACCGGTAAATGAAACGAAACTAGGTGAAAACGTACGCAAGATCGGTATCGTATTCGATCACGGGCATCAAATGGAAACCTTCATCCCAGAGGAATCCTCTAGGGAAGAACGGCCGGGAGGGGACACAAGTAAAAAGCTCCTTCGGGCCTTCGATGGCAGGCTGAGCGGCAGCCCTGGCCTCGGCGGTCTCTTCCCAGAAGCCTTCATTCTCCTCTTCATATGCAGGGTTCGCGGATCGATCCACGAGGTCATCACCGTGGAAGAATCCAATGCCGCCAATGAGGTTAGACAACATTGCCTTGGAGAAGCTCGAGTACTTCGGCGAATCAAATGGCGCCTGTGGCGGGAGAAGCTGCTCAAAAGTTTCAGAGAATAAAGCCGAAGCATCATCAATTTCCTTAGTGAGGGTTTCCGAGGTCAACGGTTCGGGGGCGGAGCCGGAGGAGAACAGGACATCGAACTCGAATGCACCGCTGAAGACCTTCTGAACAAGATGAGCATTGCCTTGGCCAGGTTTGTGCTTGATAGTAAACAGCTGGGCCGGGGGCGGAATGTTCTCTTTTCCATACTCTTCAAGGGCTTCATCAACCTCCGCCTTCAATTGAGTGAAGAAGATTCCCTTCGCTTGCCAAAGTTGCTCCTCTGGGAAGGCCACGCTAGCTACAAGGCTGCGGTCCAATGGCTTGTCTGTGGAACTAGGATGATCATATCGGGGGTGCGAGTTGGTTTCCGGTCCAGTGGTGACATCGATAGCAAAATCACCAAGTTCTGTGGAGTATCCTTCGAGCTTGACATTGCCTTCCACGCCAGTGGATTCAGCGGATGAAGAATCGGCTCCCAAGTGGCCTAAGCCCTCGAGAGTAGAATAAAAGATCATCGTAATGGGCTGATCGGGATCAGCGCCCTCTCTAGGCGTGCCTTTGACTCGGAATCCCCAGCTACCTCCGTGCTGGCCACCGGGAACTTTGATGAAGTCGATTGTCAGGTCCAAACTGTTCCCAGCGTCATGAATGGTTTCGCGTCCACCCTTTCGGATATCGTACTCGTCCCAGCCATAGCCAGCCATTCCTTCATTTTGTTCGCAGGTGTGTCTGAAGTCTTGGTGGATGTTAGCTTCATAGTTCATCAATGCAACCAGGCTTCAAGGATCACATACTTTGTTGAGCACCGGCATAATCGTCAACCTTCCCCCAGATCAATCCAGCCGTGAGACTCTTGGGAATGCGAGGACGCACCCCAAAATAGAGATTCGACTTGTAGGGACCCCATAGCAGTGACTCGTTGCTAGCGCGTCCGGCCTCTCTAGCTAAAACGGACACATCATTGGAGTCTTCGCTTGCGACAATTCCAGTTGCACAAAGCAGCGATGTCAATAACACTGAAATCCTGAGATGACGCATTATGTAGCCTCAGTCAATTGACTGCTGTCCTCTCCGCGGCATTAAGCTATAGGTGTATGTACCTCAACTCACCGCCTACCTAATTGAGACTAGTTTAATATGCGTACCAGACAATGTCCCCGAACGTCACCCGCCTTTCCTTTTCCGCTTTAGTGCGCACCTTGTCCACAAGAAGGTTCCAAGTAACTATATGTACTATGCCTCGTCATCTATAGAAGGGAGGTGTTCTATATTTCTTGTTATAGACACTGTGGTATAAAGTGCGTATTCACATGAACTCGCGTGGATCCAACGATCCGATTTTCGCGCTCTTCGCCTTGCCGTCAAATACAAACTCACTCATGAGCTTCCCTGTGCCTGGCGCATTCTGGATACCCCAGCATGTGTGGCCAGCTGCGATATACAGTCCCTTCACATCAGTCAGGCCAACTAATGGCCCAGCTCCAGAATCACAGTTTGGAAGATAGCAAGCCTGCCGAGTGCGAACCTCCCCGTCCCGCAGCTCGTCAGAAATACTACCCACATGGTCGATGATTTCCTGGCAGCGAGTCTGGTCAACCTCGACATCTGCAGAAAGCTTTGGTAGCGGGACTGTTCTATCTCCATCGCCACATGCATAGACAGTGTCATCAGGACGCGCGTAGATCTCTGGCGCAGCCACAGTTGGGCGCGACTTCTTTTCGGGGTTGAAGTCGGCCGGGATTTCTATGTTTGTAAACAGGCAGTATGCACTAACTGGTCTCTTTGGCTGGATCACCACGCTGTGGGCCCGCATGGCTGAGATCGGGACCTCCGGGAGGATACTCTTAGTCCAGGGACCAGCAGCAACGAGCACATCGGTAGCGGCGATGGTTTGTGTTTCACCCGATGTATTGTCGATATATGTCACTGATTCAACGGAGCTCTTGGACCGAGCGATGTCTGTAACCTGCCCAAGGATGATATTTACGCCCTTCTCCTGGGCGAGCTTTGCAATGGATGTAGTAAAGAGGTATGGGTGCACTTGAGCGGTTTCGCCCGGTCCACTCATACTTTCATAGGCGCGCAGAAGGTCTGGCTCAATCCAATCCAAGTCATTGGGGATTTTGGCAGACCTCAGCTTAGACAGAGCCGCTGCACTGCGTTTCTGGAGGGATTCCGTATCTCCGCCCCCGGATTTCCCTGCAGTATTCTCAGCGAGAGCACGACCTCTCACGACGAGTTGACCACAATTGACCTCTCTGTATCCCCATCGGTTGATACCATCGTGTTCCTTTGCAAGTTCGGCATGCAGCTTGTAGCTGAGACCGACCAGATTGCTGGGGAAAGCCCATTGCGCCAGCATACCCCCAGCTTTTCCCGATGCCCCGCCGGCGATTTCAGAGGCCTCAATGAGTGTAATTTTGTGGCGGGCAGGGTCGTACGATGGGTGTCTAGTAAGGTAGTATGCAGAGCAGCATCCAATGATGCCACCACCTGTGAGTATTATGGTGAGCGAGTTGCAAATATAGCGCGCGGGGTATGAAACTCGCAAAGAATATATTCTTACCAACAATAACAATCTCACGCCGATCTCCGGTCACCGGCATCTTGAATTTTGGCGTTAACTTGGGCGCTAATGATCGTAACGAAGCCACTGTGTAGGGAGTTGTAACTGACAAGTTTGAACCGTTGACCGCGGGTGTGCTTATACATATACCGAGATGCCTACGTCACTGGAGATCTAATATGTCCAGTCATATGTCGCATCCGCAATCAAGTCCACCTTGACCGGTTTTTCTACGCGTTTGACTATGAATAGTTCCGAAATTTTTTAGTTCACTAATATTTGAACTAATGCAATTGATAGTAAATCCACAAAGGCTTGGGCCATTGAATGGGAAGGTAAAACACCAAGCCAACAAAACAATACTCCGCAAATGCATATCGTGTCGAAAAAGGCAGAAAAATGTCCAGTGTTTTTGAATACAAAGAAAGTATGAGACTGTAGATAGCCAGGATGTAAGCATTCACCGCGAGGGACTGAGAGGCCGGTTGAAACCGCCCTGGCGGTTCATGTACTGTCGGTACTCGATCTTCTTCTCCTTCCGCACGCCATAGATGTCGTTTCCGGGAATTTTGGTGTTCTTTGTACTCCGGAACCTGCTGAAACCCATGGCCTTTCGCATTTGTGCTTCCATTTCGTCCTCGTCCGCATCTTCGTTGAAGTCCACATCCATCTCATCCTCGTGGCGATCTGGTCCTGGTTGTGCGCCAGTTGCCTTCCGCCCAGCATCTCGCGATCGAGGATCTTTGCGGTCGTCATAGCGGTCACTCTTCGGGCCTCGAGGGGGTGACCGAGCCTTTGTGCCATTGCGATGCGGAGATCGGGAGCGGGAACGTTCGCGGAACTTGACGTTTTTGGGTGCATTGCCTGAGACTCATATGTTAGCATGACCAAATACTACAATATGTTATATATTTCCACCAACCTCGTCTATCCTGGTTGCGCTCCCGACTGATGCTCCTCTTTCGGTCTTGAACCCCACGCGCATCTCTGTCTCCGTCTCGTCGGTCCCGGTCGCGGCGATCTCGAGACCAGCTCCTTTCTCGCCGTCCATCCTTGCGTTCTCGTGAGCGAGAGCGATACCGGCCGTCGCGCCGATCATCGCGTGGAGCTGGTGAACGTCTGCGGTCGCGGTCTGAGTCTTGTTCTGGTGCATAAGGTCGTTTATCGTTCGAATCCCACATGGTTGCACTGTCGACTCGGCGAGCACGTTTTGCAGGTGGCTCCGCCATTGTGAAAAAGGTCTCGTCTGGGCCGTACGGCGGTGGTGTTTGTTGCGGCTGGGGGCAGATAAAGATGGCCTTGCTCAAATTTCAAGAGCTTGAGCAATTAGAATAGGACTAAGGAGTCAGAAAGAGAACGCTCATAGGGATAGCAATGTAGAGGGTATCAAGTTGTCGCAATGGGTGTTGGCCTGAATCTCCGAGGACCAAAGAGAAGTTTATTCCGGCTGCGGGAAGCGACCAGTCGCGCATTTTGTGACATGGCAGATGACCGATCACCTCCAGCCCTAACAACATGGACTTGTACAACTACTATGTACATTTTTCATACCTGCTTTGATAAGTGTCAGTAATAAATTGATGCAATATGCAAGAAAAAACAGACAAATGAACATTGTAATATTCAATAGACACAGTGAAATCTTTTTCCAAAACATGTATACTTACATATTGTATATACGCACCTTGTTTGCGCGCCTATACTTACTGGACTTCCCTAGGCCGTCCAATACTTCAGTAGACAGATATCATTTACCTGTGTACCTCTACTCGTTCACTTGTTAGACTTTATCATGGAGTATTTCTAGTCGTAATAGTCACTAGCCTATATAATAGCAATATACCAACGTGATAAAAATCATAAACCGTACAGAGGACTTCTCAATATGTACCACTCATATGACTAGAATAATAATTTTGCTAATCAATATTCTACTATTACTGTATACATGCCCAGGATAACGTTCATATGAGCATAAGAGCTAATAATCCGTTCTTGTTGTTACTTATGTATTTTACTAGCTGCAATATTAATGTCTTCGGTACTGGAACCGCCTTTTTTTTCGGAACTTTATAAATTTTTTTTCGCGACTGCATGAAAACCACGCCTCTTTCTTTAAAGAGTATGATGCTTAAATCTTAAGATACCGATTTGATTCCTTTGATCAAATCAAAACGCAGAGGATTGTCACACAGATAGAAATGATCACTTGACTTTGCCATCACTGAAAGAAGAGTCGAGTTCTTAGTTGATCAGCGCTATATAGTTTCAGACGCACCAATGAAACTGTAGGAACAATGCGGATGATGTCCTTATAGCCTAATGTAGCGGCGTATACATGCATGAAATCCCTAGCAGCAGGTCAGGATAATCATCCTTACTGAAAGCTATTTCGAAAATACACGAAATAGAAAAAGTCTGCCGGAAACAGCCACAACGAGCTAAAAGGATACTACTATACAAGAACCTTGGATACTCGGCTGCTTATGCAGCCTCTCCCATTGACCACACATTTTGATAATATGATGCAACTAATTTTGTGTATATAATATGGAAGAATATTCAGCCGCTTACATATCCTGTGTCTAACGACGATCTGATTTAGTTGGTTCGATCCAGTGCGAGATGTAAGATCTTTCGGACTACCGTAAAAGCGCCTGCACCACCTACTATATGGTCAGGGAATTGCTACTTAGACAACGTAAGTCGTATAACATATATAGGAGAGAACAATATGAGAGGATAATAATTGAAGACTTTGAATATCTAAAGGGCGGTGCTGTAGAATGTGCAAAACGAAGTTTCCATGTATAACCAGAGATACCGGGTACACTCTATGAGGGATAACAAGGGGAAAATTAGACCCCCAGTTGGAGAATGAACAACTTGTCATTCTAGAAGTCGTGTTACCCATGTCCGCATATCGAAGCCTTGCCCCAACTTGGTCGAAGATCTTTTCCACACCGCAGAGTATGGTGTGACGAGGAGGCAAATAATAATCACGATCTGAAGGTCTTTAGCTACGTGTTTAAGGTATATAAAGCAAGTAATATCGGCAGGGAAAAGAGCCAAAATCCAGTAAATCGCACAGAATCACCGGATTCCCAATTCCATTTCATCTTTATATCAATTTATCGATTTCAGACCTCAACCATGACAATCACCGAGCATCGCTGTGCGGCAGATGATGAGAATCCAAACATATTCTCTGCATGTAATCCAGCCACACTTTGCGGAAGCAACGGTGGCTTAGAGGAACAAAAGTCTTCCCTGCTAGCTGCTTGGGTGGTACTATTGCGAGACTACTATGCACCGAATCTGCCCACCTTTATGCACCTCCGGTTTCAGGATGATGACTTCTCGAACGAGCATGCAAAGATATCTCCTGATGCTCTTCATGGTCAACGATTGTCAGTCCAAACCGATACCGGTGCCACTAATGAGCAGCTGAAGAACGTAGTAACTCAGGCTGTGAAGACCACTGATTGGGTTGGGCTCACTACCATGAAAGAGAAAACAGCTGTTTTGGTATCATTAAAAGAGCAGATTAATGGGCTGCCGCAATTGCTCGAATTGCTTGAGGTACAAGGCCCTCCTTATTCCATTTTGATAAGAGCAGAACTGACTGAAGCATTTTATCTCCAGGTCGAGATCCTTTTAGTGATAACAGAATCGGATAACTCTTTCATGTTAAAAGCATACACCAGCGGATCCAAGCGACCAGAGTTTAAACCGTGTGGTATATTGAACAACTTCAAAAACATTCACGGCGCCCTCGTTTGCCAATCAGACATGAAGATCAATAAGATAAGCACTATGGCTTCACTGGACGTCGAGAGACTCCGCCAAATCAATCGAAACAAGTCGCAAGCTAGAAGACCCCGGGAGTGCCTGCATGTCCTCATCGGCAAGAACTATTCTCGGCATCCTGAGAAAATTGCACTAGCATCGTCCTCGAAAAGCATCACGTACGCAGAACTGGCCAAAAGCTCAGCCACCGTATCTCATTTCCTGATGAGCAAGGGTATCCGGGCTGGAGACACAGTGGGTCTCTGCATGGACAGATCTGTCCAGACGATCATTACTATGGTTGGGATTTTGAGAGCTGGAGCTGCATATGCCCCAATGGATTCGTCCTCTCCACTAGGAAGAATCACACAGATCGTGGAAAAAGCCGACATAAAACATGTGATCACAGAAGACAAACTACGTGACAAATTCAAGGACCTCAAAGCGACCTTGATCACGCCGAACCAGCTTGAACATGTTCAGTCCCCCAGAGACTGGCTTGAAGAAGCCAACACCGACACATCAAAGCCTGTGTATTTGATGTTTACATCTGGCAGTACGGGCCTTCCGAAGTGTGTTGTCCACGGCCACGGAGCAGTGTCTCTCAGCCTTCTCGAGTGTATCGAAGAGCTTTCAATCAATGCTTCTACCCGATTCATGCAATTGGCAAGCTTGGCCTTTGACGCTAGCATACTAGAAGTCTTCGCACCACTCGCTGCTGGCGGATGTCTCTGCGTGGTATCACAAGAAGAGCGAGATGGCGATCTGGAGTCGGTTATGGAGAGCTTGAAAATATCACACGCATGGCTCACCCCATCAATGGCCCCACAAATTCAACCAGAGAACCTACCAAGTCTTCGCAGCCTCAGCGTTGGAGGGGAGCCTGCTTCTGCAGAGCTCGTGTCGACATGGGCGAGCGCGTCCAGCTGAACAACCTATATGGCACAACTGAGACGGGTGTGTGGGACACGGTGAAAATAGGAATGAGACCAGGCGGCCATCCCAAGAACATCGGCCGTGGCATTGGTGGTGTCACATGTTGGATCACAGACCCATCCAATGTGCATAGGTTGATGCCCTTTGGCGCCGAAGGGGAGCTACTTATCCAGAGTCCCTACGTCGCACTCGGGTACTTGCAGGACCCGGACCGTGAAGCGCAAACCATGCTCGATCCTCAGTTCCTAGAATGGAGACCTCTCATGCCCCAGGTTGAAGGAACCCGAGTATACCGTACAGGTGATCTTGCCAAGTACAATGAGAATGGCGACTTGATCTTTTTAGGTCGCCAAACCGGATACGTCAAGATCCGTGGACTACGCGTGGATCTGGGAGAGGTTGAAAATGCGATTATATCATGCCTCAAATCCGGTCGCTCGGCAGTCATCTTGTCCGAACACGAAGGTCAGGATGTTGAGATTGTTGCTTTTGTCGAGACAACTGATTACCAAGATGATCAACTGGCCGAAAATATGCATGACCAGCTGTCCAACTTCCTTCCCGAATATATGATTCCGACCGCGTTTGTGCTAATAGAGTCCATGCCACTCACGATGTCAAAGAAAATTGACCGACAGCAGCTTCGAGCCAGATTATCAGATATGAGCCAAAAAGACCTTCAAGCATACCGCAAGGGGGGCTTTTCAGTCAATGACTGCTGTGAGATACCAAACACCAGAACACTGGCGGTCGAAATCAGCAACATTATTGCAGACATGTTCGAGAGCAAGGACAATGACTTCGCAGCATTTCTCCGAGGAAAGAATTTCCCCCTTGCCAGTGTCGGCCTCACTTCTATGCACCGGGCATCGTTGGTGAACTTGATCAGGAAGAAATACCAGAAGAAACTCAAGATCGAAGATTTGCACAAAAATGATTTGACGGTTTGCGATATCGAAGACTGTCTTCTCGGAACAAAGGAACCCACGAAGAAAACGAACCAAGCCAGAAATCTGATGGCCGATCTCGCGAATCTGAAGCCAAAGCTCGATTTCTTTCAAAGTCGACAAGCAACTGTCTTTCTAACGTCGATCACTGGATTTCTCGGAAGCCAGGTATTGAGGTGTCTATTGGAACATCCGGAGATCAAGTGTGTCATCGGCCTTGTTCGGGCGAAAGATGAAGAGCAAGCCCGGCGGAAAGTTCAGCAACACGGCGAACTAGGCCATTGGTGGCAGCCTGGGTATCAAGATCGCATCGAAGTTTGGACTGGAGATTTGAGCAAACCCCGGCTTGGATTGGAACAGTCCAAATGGGAACGCCTGTTTTCAACGGACGAAGCAAAGCGCGTCGATGGCATTATCCACAATGGAGCCCGAGTAAACTGGATGGATAGCTATGAAGATCTTGAGCTTGTGAACATCCACAGTACTATCGACATTCTCTCTGGGCTTTCGAAGATGGAGTCTCCTTGTCGACTGATTTATGTTTCCGGAGGATACATGCCAATGGAGCCCGAGAATCACCTTGAAATTGCCAAGAAGCTCTCGGAAGCATCAGGATACGACCAAACGAAGTTCATGTCCCAATTGCTGTTGAACGAGTACAATAAGCACTTGGGCCGAGCAAACGCCAAGGCTGAAAAGGCGCGGACCGTGATACCAGGGTTTATTGTCGGAACCCGGAAAGAGGGCATCGCACATACGGAAGACTTCCTGTGGCGACTGGCGTTCAGCATTGTTCGACTGAAAGCCGTTAGCCAGGATCTCCAATATCTCACTGTCGCAGGCGTCGATCAAGTTTCCAGTCTAATCACTGATGTGTTCCTGTACCCGGAGCAATATTCATCAGAAGTAATCAACTGCGTGGATGGAGTCACCATTTCCACATTCTGCGACGCTATCAGCAGGCAGATGCAGATGCCAATTCGAAGAATGAGCCACCAAGAATGGATGAAGTTATTGAAGAAAGATATGGAAGAAGCCGATTCCAACCATCCATTCATGCCAGTTTTGGATTGGTTTGAGGATAACACCTGGCAGTTCATGGTTGATCAAGACCATGTCCCGCAGAACTGCTATTTTGACCAAAAAGAAACGATTGTCGCGCTGGAAAGTAGCGTGAGATATATGATGGATATTGGATATCTCCCGCAAGGTGAGGCCCATCAGAGACAGCTGGACAAACCTGCTGTGTTCACTAGGTCCAGCTCTTGACAGATAATTCGCAAAAAAGATAGAAATTACCCTGTTGTTCCAATACTATTTACCATACGTAGCTTTCTTGGCTTGGAATAATGTTGATAAGTGCAGTCCATTTCTCCGGCATTAGGGAAAATAACTGGAGTATTGGAGAAATGCCTCGTCAATCTCAGGTGTTTTCTCACCGATGCGGCTCATTTCCGCATAGTTGAAGTTACCATTCATCCAGTCCTCAGATTCGGAAATCAATTGAGCGGAGGGCTGTTCATTCGAGCTTTCATTTCCGGCAGTGGCGGATATTGATGATTCCTCACTGGTAGACCTCGGAACAAGAGTGCTGGGTTGGAGTTTGAGATGAACGGTAATAGGGTCTACCATGGATGGCAGAGTTTGCCCTATCTTGGTAAGTAGCAGTGGAAGAAACCTTCGACGTCCTCCGGGAAGATCGTGAATGAGAGTAAAGAAATGCTTGAGATAATCCTGTGGGCCAAGCTTGAAGCCTGAAGAACGGAGCCCAGCCGCTGAGAGGCACGCCATAACATCAATCAAAGTGCACGCAACCTCAAATATTTTTTCGATCTACAATCTGTTAGAGTAGCTTAGGATTTTCATAGGGGCAAATCGTAAACCATACAAGACCAATTCCATGGGTTTCCATACTCTGCCTGGATAATTTCCATGTTGCGAAGCAAAGATCTTGAGCAATTAGGAGGGGGTAGCGAAAATCCATGCATTCATGAGTAGGCTTTGTCGAAAAGAAACCCAGCAGTGGTGGAAAGCTGCCATATCATAATACGCAGCCACTGCTGGGACACACGCAAGTCCGCCATAAGTATATCAGGCAGATCAAGGTCCGCCGGAACTGCACTTTGGATGAGCTCCTCAAGACGAACTAGCGACTCAACCGTGCACGTGGCATTCGTTCCATTCCACTGGCCCAGAAAACCTTCATCGAATGGGCGGTAGAGATTTACTAGACACCGAAAGCCAATGGCTGACGCATTTACAAGTGGGTCATCTTCCTGTTGAGTTGGAAGTGGACCATCCTCTAATTGGGGGCTTTCCGGAGTGACCTGCAGCGTAATTGGTCTATGCCGGCGGATCGCATGAGCTCTGTCTCTGTATTAGCAAATTACTAACGTATAGGTGAAGAAAATACCTCTCTGACACCACTAAGAGCCAAAACAACTTTCCTGCCAAGGAAGGGTCATCGTCATCCGTCTGGGCCGATGATGCTTGACTTTCCAGCGCGCTGGCTGTATAAAGCGTCGTGGATTCGCGAAGAAAATAATACGCATGCCGTTGGTTTCCGAGCCCAATATGACATCCATACAGGAGGAAAGCGATGATAATGCTTTGCCGTACAGGATCTGTGAATGGATCGATATGCTTTCGAGCTTCAGTGGCTTCCTCAATCAGGGAATTTCGGAACTCTTCAGTACAAAAGCCCTGAGAGAGTTCTAACGATGAATGCTCCACGGCAAATCCGGTTTGAGTGACCACAAAAGCGCAGAAGGCAGTGACTAAACAATACGCATGGAGGCTTGTATCGGCAAGGTCCACCTGTTTCTGAAAACTGCCAGGTTGCAAAACAGGCACTGTTCCTCTCATTCGCAAGAAGAAATATCCTGAGCAGGAATCGACAAGCTCCCGGCTCAAAAGACCCGGGGTTTTGGAGAACTGACATCTTCCCAAGGCTCGCAGTGACTGGGGCGTGGGTATATTGTCTCCAAGCGTGAGAGCTGCTGATGGCGGGGACATATTTGCATCCCGTACCAGCGCCTGCTCAATTTGGTTTGCTCTAAGTTCATTGAGAATGTTGGCTGTTTGTCCCTGTCGCCCCTTTTTCTGTCGCTGCGAAGTCGTCCGACAGACCAGGCCGGCAACTCGGCACTGCTCACAAGGTTTTGGGAAAATGCATTTGACCTTACGTCGGCGACATGCATCACATGCTTGCTTGACCGGTGGGTCTGGCATCTGGTAAGTCAAGTACAATTATACCGAGAGGAGCTAACAGAACGCAAAAAATCCGGGGTTGCGGGGGGAAGTCGGAGAGAAGCCGGGCGAAGAAATGGATTTTTGTGGCCTTGCTTTTCAGGCCTATACATCCAATGCAGGCCCCAATTTGTCTCCCTAAATCCAGTGTGGTCATTCAATTTGTGGTGGGAATTATATTTTTCTGACTTTGTATTTTCATAAAACGAGAGGAAATTCTAAAGACTTAGCCAAACCCCCTTGGGCGTCCCCTGATGGGCTACAAAATGCTGAGAAGCTACCGACATCAGGGAAGATTATGGCCAGCTATAAGAGGTGCTATGCAGAATAGTGTTCTCGAAAAGTAATATATCCCAAACAATTCGTAGGAATATATATCTCTATGGTATATATCTCACATATAAACACGCCCTTCGAAGGGCTTCAAGGTTTCCAGCGATGAATCCGAGTAGTTGGCCACAAGCAACTTCATGCCCGCAGTTTTGTCGGTTTGTGTAAAAGGCTGAGATTTATTGGTGAAGTTTAGAACGACCAATGCGCGTTTCTCGTCTCTCGACTTCACAAAGCAAAATGTCTCTTGATTCTCGTAGTCGAGCACTTGGAATGCACCGTGGATGAACAACTCCCGGTACTTTTTTCTCAGGCGCAGAACATCTTTCCAGAAAGACAAAACACTTGACGCATCACCCTGCTGCCTCTTTACATTGATCTCACTATAAAGATCATGAGCTCGCATCCATGGCTTCCCGGTAGTAAAACCAGCATGTTCTGAGTCATCCCACTGCATCGGCAGCCTGGAATGATCGCGAGCCAGAATTCGGAGACCATCCATGATGTTCTCTTTGCGAGTAGGATCGCCTCCATTCTCACTGTGTTGCTCTGCTTCTCGGTAATACCCTAATCCTTCAATGTCCTTGTATTCCTCAATAGGCCACTCGCGTGGTGCATTGATCATACCAATCTCCTGTCCCTGATAGATGAACAGAGTCCCAGTCATGGTAACCATCATCAGAGCAAGCATTTTGGCAGAGATTTCCCGGAATTCGGGTATGTCCGATCCAAACCGAGAGACAGAGCGTCCGTTATCATGATTCTCACAGAAAGCGGTGGTCCAGCCATCTGTTCCCTCAATGAAAGACTGCCACTTCTCCACGATGGATTTCATCTTTGTCAACTTCCACGGCGTAAAGATGTACTTCTCCTCCAGGCTGGGCCCCATGCCAATATGGCCAATATCCAAGTGAAAGACCATGCTCAGCTCCTTGGCTGATGCTCCCACGTATTCGAGGACGTTCTTGGGATCGGGCGTGTTAGCCAGTTCGCCTACGGTCATGACATCCCCGTACGGAGCAAATGCCTCGTCGTACATTTCACGTAGGAACTCGTGAATCCTGGGGCCGTTGCACCACATTCCGATGGCGGGCTGGATGTAACTTTTCGGGTCCGTGATGGGGGCGTCCGGGAAGTTTGTGTGTTTGCTGTACTTGTTCACTGTGTCCACTCGGAAACCGTCCACACCTTTGTCAAGCCAGAACCGAACCGCGCTGTTGTAGATAGCCTCACGTGTGGCCTTGTTGTCCCAGTTGAGATCGGGTTGTTCTTTGGCGTAGAGGTGTAGGTAGTACTCTTCCGTTTTCTCGTCCCACGTCCCTGCATAACAGCTTCGTTAGTTCAAAGAGATTGAATATTGTCAAGTATTTCAACGCACATGTGCTTCCTGCAAAATAGCCCCGATAATTACTCGGAGGCATCCGATTCCCTGCCTCATCATACCGAGGAGGGCGCCAGAAGTACCAATCGCGTTTGTCATTGTCCTTGCTACTCCGGCTTTCTTGGAACCAAGCATGCTGATCACTGGAGTGGTTGACAACAAGGTCTAGGATCAATTTCATGCCTCGCGAGTGACAAGCTTCCACAAGATTCTCAACGTCTTGTACGGTTCCATAAGCAGGAAGCACGTTCTCATAGTCGGAGACGTCATAGCCCATATCATGCATGGGTGAGTCGTACATCGGCGACAGCCACACGACATCAACCCCTAGCGACTGGAGGTAATCGACCTTTTTGACAACACCCGGGATATCGCCCCAGCCATCACCGTTAGAGTCATAGAAGGAAGCCGGGTACACCTTTAAACTCGAGCAGAGAAGATTAATTTTAGTCCCCGGAAATGCCTGAATGCTGTGTCAAACGAACCTGGTAGACGGTGGCTTCTTTCCACCAGTTATTGGTCCCCGTAGGAACGGCTGTATCCTGTGTCGCGTGTGGTGACATAGTGGCTTGACACCTCCATTTTCCATCCCGACACCCCTCTTATACCTTTTCATCATAACTCGGCCCCAATTCGGCGTGGGCAAACGCGGGGATAGCTTTAGGAGACCCCTGCATACCCGCCAAGCCTCCGGTGGGATGCTGCGTCTCCGACTAACGACCGACTTGCCGCCGATGGGCTCCTTTCCGCAACGATGATTCGCCACGGTTAGACCTCCACACTCCGGCTTCCCCAGTTTTCTCCAAATCTTCAGAAGCGAGTGACAGCCCATGTGCATTTCCCCCGGATCCGCGATGCGCGTGAACTAAACTATGCGTGTGTTTTTGTTTTGTGATCTTCATATAAATCACGCATCACCCCGTGGTTTATCAGCCTTGATAATGCTCGAAGTATCGGGATATTGTCAGCCTTCTATTCTGATTAGGCCTTGACAAAGAACCTCTTGTTCGAAACTTCTTGCTAAATAACAACGCGACTCTCCAATGGTCTTGATGGACGACGCATCCGCGAGGATGGACGACAAAGTCTCCCCCGTCCTTGCAGAAGGCAGACAAGGTGCCAGGAAGGAGCAGTCCATGACCCTCTGGCAGGCTTTGCGGTTATACCCAAAAGCCGTCGGCTGGTCAGTACTCCTTTCGTCTACTCTGATCATGGAAGGGTATGACCTCGCATTGCTGAGTTCAATGTACGCATCACCTGTGTTCAACCAAAAGTTCGGAGTACAGACTGCCTCGGGGAAATGGGCTGTTCCGGCATCCTGGCAATCCGGTCTCTCCAATGGTGCCCGCTGTGGTGAAGTCATTGGACTTTTGATCAATGGTTTGGTCTCCGAACGCTTGGGATATCGCAAGACCATGATCTATGCCTTAGCCACCATCACAGCAGTCATTTTTCTGTTTTTCTTCGCGGTCAATGTTCAGATGTTACTAGCCGCCGAGATTCTCGCCGGTGTCCCTTGGGGTATCTTCCAGACCTTGCCAGCCTCTTACGCCTCCGAGGTTTGTCCGGTAGTCCTGCGACCTTACCTAACAACTTTCATCAACATGTGCTGGGTATTCGGGCAGTTCGTCGCGATTGGCGTCAACCGCGGCTCCATTTCTCGCGATGATCAATGGGCCTGGCGCATTCCTTTCGGTGTGCAATGGGTCTGGCCAATCCCGATCATGATCGGCTGTCTCTTCGCACCTGAATCCCCTTGGTGGCATGTGCGTCAGGGAAATGTGCAGGGAGCTCGACGAGCATTGCAGCGGTTGACATCGTCTAACGACCCCAACTTTGACCCTGAAGAGACGATTGCTATGATTCAACACACCAACGAGTTGGAGAAATCGCTTTCTAGTGGGACTACATATTGGGATTGCTTCAAAGGAACAAATCTTCGCCGGACTGAGGTAGTTTGTATTGTCTGGTTAGTGCAGACCCTGTGTGGCCAGAACTTGATGGGTTATTTTGCCTACTTCTGTGTCCAAGCGGGCCTGCCCACCGTTGAATCTTTCAATTTGTCCTGGGGCAATACGGTCTTGGTGTTTTGGGTACAACAGGATCGTGGTTCCTGATGTCTTACGCGGGCCGACGAACTATCCATATCTCCGGTCTCGCCAGTCTTTTTGTTCTTCTGGTCATCACAGGCTCTCTATCTTTTGCGCCGGGAGACAATAACGCAGCCAAATGGGCAATCGGCGTGATGCTCATCATTTTCACGTTCTGCTATGACATCAGTGTCGGCCCTGTCACGTACTCTCTCGTCTCGGAACTATCCTCCACTCGTCTCAAAGCAAAGACTATCGTCCTTGCCCGGTGTCTATACAACATCAGCAACATTGTCGTCAACGTCCTAACCAACTACCAGCTCAACTCCACAGCCTGGAACTGGGGTGCTCGGTGTGCCTATTTCTGGGCTGGCACGTGTCTAGCCTCCCTGGTTTGGGCATTCTTCCGGCTTCCTGAGCCGAAGGGCCGCACATATGAGGAATTGGACTTGCTCTTTGAGCGCGGAGTTCCAGCTAGGAAATTCGCGACCACCGTCGTTGATCCGTATGAGGGAGAGGCGGCGGAGGTCCATGAGGCGCGTGTGGATAAGGATTGATATTTCGCCGATATATCCAGTTCCCTTGGTAACACCTTTCAATCCTCATTTCATCCACCTTTCTTCAGAAATATTCGCCTTTGCTCGTCCGTTCTCGGATAGGTATTTCTCAGAGACTAGCAGGCAGTATTCGCTTGTATATATTAGACGAGTAATAGCCGTTTGATCTGATCTTGAGATGCGACCTCAATAATATGGATTTCATCAAAAAGGGGCAAAACAGAGCCACAGAGTCGGAGCAGCGGCTTCCTTTGCTAGCAACAGTTTTCCCCGCAGCTTTCTATATCTAACATTAATAGATCTATCGCCCCAATATGCAACTGAATTGACTCATTATTTGCCAGTATTTATCTGTTGATATATCATAAACATATCATTTCACCCCTTCCGCTTCTATTCGGGGATTTATATAAGAAAAACGCCTAGAGGATCAATAACCAAAGAGAATAAAAATAAAACCAATAGATCTACCGTATTTAATCGCACACAGACAGGCTTAACGACCCGGCAGGGGCCCTCAAGGCAGTGAGGTCAAGAGTTGCGGCGGGCCGAACCGTCGAGCCTCAACTTTAAATCCCACCGCGAAATTTTCGCAACGTAACCCCACTTCCTGTGTGGTCATCAGCCTGCGTCTCCAGAAAGCAAGTGGACGAGAACACTATCTAATATCGAGAAAAAGATGGCGCCTATCAACCTTTCACACAGGCGGACGCACAATTTACTCTTGATCTCGAAACTCTTGAGCTTGCGTGACACTGCGTCGCCCCTCACACTTGTCTTGGATTCTTTGGAGCAACCGGCTACGCCACTCCTGAAAGAATACATAAGGCGTGCAAAGGTATGCGGACTTATAAAGCTGCCATAAGCGACACCTTCGTCGCGAGATACGGGAGTGGACGGCCATGCTAACTAGTTCGACAGCTGTCCAAAGTCCATGTCACGCTCATCGCTTTTGAAACCCTGAAGCAACCCGATGGAGTCGATGCCTTTGTATCAACGCGCCGCAAGAGCCCCGCCGACATAGTTAAAGAAGTGAGCGCGGTTTATCAGCCCGTTGCAGCTTCCAACCCCTCACGCAGTAAGCATTCTGCATTTACCGTGCTAGTGGACTCATACTTACTGCCTGTTAGGGCGTCTTATCCTCATTGATTCAATTAATCCTCTTCTGAACTCAAAAAGAGTTGACACTGGGTTCCACTTACCCTCCTTCCTTGGCTCGTTTATTGCTCCCTACGTCGCCATCGGCCAAGGTTGATGCGTCACTCGTGGTGACATATCATCAAGATATCCCCGAGCTTCCACAGCAAAGTCCCTACTCGCCAACACCTATCTCTGAACTGACATATCTTGCTACGAGCATTATCACACTCCATTCGTTCTCACACGTTCTAGCACAGAAGGCTGCTCGCGACCGCAGCCTGGCTCCTCCAGTCTTCGGGCTTGAGGAAGAGCAAGAAGGCGTTCTCCTTGGCCGATTGGACAGATTGGTCGGTACTGGCAAAGCCGAGGGAATTGTGATTGAGCTGGAGCACCGACGGAAGAGTGGTCGTGGTGTACTGGAATGGTACCTTCTCCCGCCTGCGTGGCGGTATTCGCCACAGCATCCGAAAGAGATTGTGACGTTGCTTGACGATAATGTTCTGTACAATCCTCCCATGGAGCAAGATCCAGGCGCTGGCGATGAGGAGCCGACGTCAACCTTTGAGCTGGGTCTCACCGACCGACAGAGGCGTGAAAGAGAAGGTGTTGTGTTGCCGTACTTCGACGCACAGCACAATGATGGCCCAGGCGAAGGAGGCCGAATTCTTTACGACATGGGAGAAGAAGACGATTTTGACGAAGAAGAGGATGAGATTTAGACATCGTCAAATACGATACATGTTCACATGCAATTCTCCGTATTCTAGAATATCGGCGGATTGTAACCCGCAATCACCGAGGTATTAACTATGCGTACATTCATACAGCGAGGCCTAAGAGCATGGCCACGGAGAGCAAGGAATCAGAAGAATCGCCAGAAAAGAAGGATGCAAATGACAAGCCCGACGCCAGCGAAAGGTCCGTACTGTGAGATGGTTAGCCACTCGCTCAGGGGAAATTTGGCGCAAAGTATGGACCTACCTGCTTCACCAACAATTCCCAGTTGATGCGTACAGCCGCCTTTCTGTACTTCTTGCTGTCCTCGCGCAGTCGCCCTGATAGTTCGCCCATCCGCTCTAAGCTATCGCCGCGATACAAGAGGTCCTCGATGTTCTTCGTCATCACCTTGGTGACATCACGGAGCTCATCGTTCAGCTTGTCGAGGTTTTGAGATGCACGACTGTCTTGGTACAGTTTCTTTGTGCGCTGAATAAATGTATCAAACTCGACAAAAGCATATGGGCGGGAGGTGGGTGAAAGATATTGTGAGGAGGAATAGGTAGTCGTGAATTCGGAGGCCAGATCAGCGAGGTAGGTGAACGCGAGTTTGCGGGGGTAGGACTTGTCGCAAATGCATAGAAAGCATATGTCATCCTTGACTGTGTAGCTGCAAGCCATGTGAGAAATTGTCCATTGATAATGTTTGTTGATGGGTGCGACTCACTGTAGATTGTATTGGCCAGACTCAATGCTGGCCTGGGGTGCGGAGTTGCGATTCAAGCGTCGAAATATCATTTTAGCCTGACCCTTAATCTCAGAGAGCTCCGATTCAGCCTACAAATATCGTAAGCTCACGATCAGTTTAAATAATCGTTATCACGTACCTGCTCGTCGTCGACCGAAGCTGCCAGCATAAGGCCTATTTCACATTGACATCAGCACCCTGCCATTCTCAACCTCCCAGAGAGTTTCTTACCATCGAGCCTTGCAATCTGCGTTGACCTAACCATCCTGAAAAAGTTGCTTTTTCGTTCAGAAGGACAGCACTTTCTCCTTTGTTTTGCCGTCAGAATGCCTCCGAGGAAGAGAGACACGAAGGCGGTGGCAAGGTCCCGTGCGGCAGAACCACGACGTTCGGGGTAAGCTCCGCATTTACTTTTTGCGCTCTTTTTCAACTGACGTTTTATAATAATGCCCTAGTCGTGCTGCTGCCAGTTCTGCCGATGTAGTAGAACAGTCGGGTCTCGCCATGTCGACCCCAAATTCTGAAGCGAGCTCACGAGCTAGGACCCCAAGAAGGCCTGCCGCTAGAGGGAAATGGAGCGAGGAGCAGCTATTGACGAGCGACAAGTCTGTCCTCATTGACCTTGATCTAGTGGTATGACTAAATTCTTCTCAAATGCAATGCCATGTTATCCAAGCTAACGATAGCCTCAAAACGTCTAGAAACTGCTGGCACGACCTGAAGCATGGAATTGCCTTGAGGAAAGCGATAAGCGCGAAATCCTCGCTCTACTTCCCCCAGATGTTCACCCGGAGGCACAAGCTACGTTAGATGACCCAGACGCAAAGATACAACCAATACCCGACTCTTTTATCCGCTATTCAAACAATTGGCGCGACGGCATTCGCCAGTTCCAGATCGACCTCCAAAACGGCCGCTACGATCCCGAATGGCTACGTCAGGCGCAGGAAGCCAGACAGCAGCGGGAAAACGGTGACTTTGACGACTTCAAAGAGCGCGAATATGAACAGTTCTGGGGACAGAAGCAGAAAGTTATCTGGAATGCACCTGCTGGAGAAAGTGCGCGTGTGAAGATGGGAACTCTTATCGATGAAGGTGTCATCCAGCTGGGCGACGTCTGGAAATTTTACTATGTTTACGGTAGAGGCCCCGGAAGGATTGTCATCGAAAAGGAAGTTAGGGTATGTATAGACCCGTCCGATCCGCATACAGCTTTGCCATTTGCTGACTGCTACAGGTCGTTGACCGTGATGGGGTGAAATTGACTTTTGCGATTCCACCTGGTGAACGGGTCTTCCTCCGCAGCAATTTCGACAAATCAGAGCCATTTTCGACACCAGAGAAGGGAAAGGGAGATGTGAAAGCCGACCTCGACACACAACCACAGCCAGTGACATCATCTTGTAATGATAAACAGTTGAAACACGAGGAACCTGAATCACAGGTCACTAACCAAACCTCTAATGGTGAGGAGGTCAGACTTGACACCGACCAAGCACCACACGAGACTCCTGCTTCTTCCAACGGCAAGGAAATCAAGCTCGACAATGGACGGACGCCACATGAGATCCCTGCATCTTCCACTGACGATATGAATATCGACACCGATACCGCCACACAGCCAGTCATTTCACATTCGAATGATGAAGAGAGCCAACAAGAAACCCCATTCAGCGTTGTTATTTTCAGCCCCGGTGGTACACGAAAGCAAAAACCCAAGCGTACAATCCCTGAGCCCGAACCTCAACCCCCAGTGAAACGCAAGCGAGGACGCCCACGTAAAAACCCTCCAAAGCAACCGGAACCGGAGCCGGCCAAGGAACCGGAGGTTCCCCAGGAAATAGAAGTGTCCCAAGGCGAGGAACAGAATACAGATGCTCCTCTTTCTTTCATGGAAATCGTGGCTGCAAAAATTGAAGAAAACGAAAACTGCAGAGCTGCAGCAGAATCCCCTCAACCAAAGTCTTCACAGCCACAATCCCCCTTTGTCGGTGCTTTCTTCTAGCCCTGAGCCCCCAGCTCCAGAGTTATCTACGTCAGTAGAGGGGCCATCCATTGCCGATACCAACGGCAATGATGGCAAAGTGGAATTATTGGAATCATCCATGGCTCAGTCAGATACACCTATGGACAGCAGCGTGGCACCAATCGAGGCTCCCGTTGAAGCCCCCACTGAGGTACCCGCTGAGGCACCCGTCGAGGCTGAGCAAGACGAAATCAATAAACCCCTAAGTACCGAAGAACAGAAAGATCCAATCCCAACTTCATCTCAAACCAATACCAGTGAGCCGGACGAGATTATTGTTCCCAATCTCTCCTCGCCACAAGCACTTGTCATGAAGATTCTACAAATCGATGGCCGCATGCCGAACGGCCGTACAGCAAATGCCTGGAAGGAAATTCGGTGCTACCGAAACAACCAGGACATGGGCAGTCTCTTTGATGTGCGAGAGGCTTGGTTTCTCCAGCATGGACGACAGAAGTAGCTGCCTTCCACTTCTAGCATGGAAAAAGTGAGAAACCAGACCATTTGATTTTTGCCTACACTACCCCTGATATCATCTGAAGATCAGGATAGCAAATGGTCCATACATGACCAAGGTAGCTAGCTTACAATGAACAAATGAATCCAAAGGTCTAGTAGTGACTTACATATAAAGCAAAATGTAGGAGTCTTACATGGGTGTAAAGGAACCCTATATAGGTTGCCCTTGCAAAGGGCTCGGAGTCATCACGTCCATGGTCTCTCTTTTTTTGTGGCAGCCAATCTGTGTATGCTTTGCAGTCCGTACTTTGCAAGGGACTATATCCATACTGGCAAAAGTCCGTGTGATTGTTACTGGGCAAAAGAAGTGCCACCCTTTCTAAAGCATTAATTTTGCGACACATGCCTGCTATATTCGTGGTTTGTCAAATTGCCCAGGCCAGGTAAACTAGATCCTATATGTAGGCTTATATCGAAACACGCATCGATTATTTCTGCGATCCTCAACCAAGATCCTCGTGACAGATTATATCCTGTCCATAATTCATAACATGATGCTTTACAAAATGAAAGGCACCATAACAGCCAGCGCCATCCATGAGTCCCAACTGACCGACAACGACCCAGCCATACCGGGGGCCGGTTCTGGTGTTCCTGCGACGTTAGTCTCGTTGCCTGTGGATGATTCGGTCGCGGATGGAGTGAGAGAGGATTTAGATGGTTCAGATGATTCAGACGCAGTATCTGATGTATCTCCTCCCGGGCTAGACGACGAAGCCACACTGCTGGAGCTCGACGTGGTCGTAGCAGTCGGCTCCGACGTGCTGGAAGGCTCTGAGGCACTGGAAGACTCAGAGATACTTGTAGAGCGAGAAGTACTCGTAGGCTCCGAAGAACCCCCAGTAGTGCGAGATTCGGTAGTCTCAGTTGGAGCCGAATCCAAGGAAGAAGTGATCGCGAAAGTTGCAGTAGGCGCAGAGACGACGAAGTCGGTTGCTTGGCGGCAAAAGCTGCCGCCGATTGTAGGGCAGTCATATCCAATGTCACAGCAGCCTCCATCGAGACAAGTAGGACCGCCATTACAGCCACCTTCGCACCTAGGTTTGCCTGAGATGAATGTGCAAGCCAAGCCAGATGGGCAGCATCCCCCTGACCCATCTCTGCACATTGTTTCTGTTGCTTCGGGGCATGTTTGCTGCTGTCGAGGAATGAGAGCTCCGGTGATGATCGGGGCTGCTTGTATCCTCCACTCGGCGGCACTTGCCAGGTGGCAGCCTAGGGCTACGGCTAAGATAGTCTGCCAGGCGTGCATAGCGGGAGTATGTGGGATTTTGGTTTGCTTGAGATAAAGGAACTGGGCACTATGAGACCAATCCGGGACTTCTGGGCCCAATGAAAGATAATTATGTAGGAAGTAGGAGATTTGATCTGACCTGAATCCCAGGAGATTGATCCCAGTCTTATACATCCAGTCTATTCCGCACCCAAAATGGCCTTGAGACTCTTCTTGCGGCTTCTCCTTTTATGCTTGTACCGAGAAACTCGTATTCAACCCCGCTCTCTCGTTTGCAACCCGATCTCGTATTCATATGTGCCAGTCTAGCCCGTATTTGGCACGATCCTCCGTATCGCATGCGGGGATGAGGCTCAAGCGGTCTGGCCTCCAGACTCAAGCCAAATGCGAGTGGCTGATCCGGGTGTGCCTCTACCCATAGCCGGTAAGAAGTACTAGGTTTGTGGCGGGGGTTATGCAAACTAAGTTAGAATAGGCACCCGGGTGAAGGCTTCGGGCCCGTCAATCACATCCACCTGGGCTCCTTAGAATACCCAGGTAGGAAATTACGTCGCTCATGATGCCGGTTTAGGAAATAGAGATCTAGCTAGACGGCCCAAGTGTATCATCTAGTGACCTGTAGTGACTCTTCCCACTTTGGCGGAAGCCCTCCTCGCTTTCCTTGTGTGTTCTGTGGGATAACATCGTAGGGTTAGTGAGCATTTTAGGCAGAGCATACATAGGAAGGCTTGTTTTTAGCGTAGCATAGGTTGACAGCAATATAAAACGAAAATTACATAGCCTATCAAAATCAGGCCTGTTTTTAATAAAAGGAATATAATTGCAGGCTGACATTATCCACTAAGGCCCGTCGTTCGTTCCAGATATAGTGGGCATAGGATCCGAGTCCGCAGCAACATCAACAGCAAAGCTGGCCTGTATAAAGTCTTCGAGCTCTTCACTCACAGTCTTGAGCTTCTCCTTGACACTCGCAACACCTTCTTGCCCAACGATATGTCGCGAAGGAGGGTTTTCATGGCCACCAATTGATGTAATAGCATAGACTGTTTCAGAGACCAGCACTTCAAGATGTGCGGGGCTTAATGGTGGGTGCATGGAGACAACTTCAGGGGCGGAGAATGGGCCATTTTCAATGGAGCTCACCCGGGCGTTTTCGTCGTTCGCTCGACTGGGTGTGACTGGACTGTCAGATGAGACAGAAGCATCGGGGAGTTGGGGGACAAGATGGTTTAAGATCCCGCGGAAGAGAGGTGCTTGGTTGTTGGCCGGTGAATAGGCCGGGAAGATTGGAGGAACGCTGGTTACTAGGTTGGTGAGGATGCCGATTTCGATGCTGCATTGGAAGATGGTGAGCTTGACATTGAAAGGGGCAATTTCATAAGCCAGACTCTGTAAAGCTGGTTAGTTTCTGCAATGGAGATCATTTATGCAAATGCGCATAGAGAGACTGACATCACAGAATCCTTCAAGCGCCCAGCCTGCTGCGCAGTACATTCCTAGTCCGGGCGTACCAATATGCGCCGCTGTATATCGTCAGACGAACATCCAAGCACTGGTCAGATTTGTATCTTACTGATCCCTGATATTATCATCACATGTCCTGCGCGCTCTTTCCTCATATGGGGGAGCGTGGCCTTGATGATATTGAGGGGGCCGAAATAGTTAACCTCGAATTGATCGCGTACGAGATTCATGGTTTGGGTTGAAGCAGAAAGTTCTTCAACTGTTCCAATAAGGGCTAAGGGGGAGGTCAGTATATTGTGTAAGAGTACCTTCAAGAATGGAGGGTCACCTTGACTTGTGCAGCATAGAAGTATGTCTACTCTTCCAAATGTCGCAACTGCATCTGCCACGACAGCCTGGCACCCTCCCATCATTCTGTGTTAGGAAAAAGTTAGTAATTAATATCAGAATCCATAATTGACCTGGCTCCCTTGATGTAGCGCACCGGATATCTAGCGGAACTGTCTTCATACGCTTTGCCCAGCCATCACCGTGGTGCTCCACCTCAGCAAGAAAAGCATCAAATTCATCACGGCGACGTTCATCGCGTTCCAAAGCTGAATGTGCCAGTCCAAGAAATGCATAATCTCCATGCGCAAGGACCTGCCGCGCGACTGAGAGGCCAATAGGTGAATCCCCCGCGGTGATCAGCCATACTCGAGGCTCATTATGCGACGGGAATTGCGCGCGGGCATCAAAAGAGGGGTGATTGTCCATGAGGGTCAACGCCAACAGCCAAACGCGTTATCCATCACGCGATTGCAATTTCAAAGCTGCTTAATAGCAAACAAGTATAAGGATGGAAGATGTCCGGAGGGTCGGAAGACAAATGCCAAGACCGCGCAAGTTCCCGGGCCTCGATCTAATCTGCTAATCGCCCATAGCTGGCCTTTTGGCTTCTCTTCTTTTCCTCATCCATCATGTCGGAACAGAGGCCACGCAGACAGGAGGAGTCGTCCAACGTATGTGTCGCAGACTCAATGTTGTTGTGGTTGAATTTACTGACCACCTTTAGTCGGGCTTCAAGGGTGCCCTTCAGGGTCTTGGAATCTTCTTGTTGGCCCAATTTGCCATCAACCAGTACATGGGAAATAAGGACAAGGCAGACTCCCCCGGCGTGAATTCTGCTGGAATCCCCGCTTTCGCCGATCGCCCCGATCCTAGCGAAGTCGCCGAACGCAGTGCTCTCCCCGAGGTCATCGCCCCAATCTGGCCCTCCGACAGCGCTATCGATCTTAACGTTTATGTATCTCCGTCTATCATTGTGCCCGACTTCAAGTCGCCGGACAGTGTTCTTGTGGTGGACGAGAAGAATTTCACAATTGGAAACTACAGTGACACTCGCGAAATTGACACCACCATCAAGGTCCCAAAGCAGGTCCAACAGAATGGAACTCTCTGGGCTCACTTCTTTTTGGCTCGCACAGGATACCAGTTAGACCCCACCGCTAAAGACTACAACACCGCTGATGCAGTCCACTTCCTCCGACCTCTGAACCAGTACCTTCCCAAGAAGAAGGTCAAGAAGCTGAAGAATCTCCTGTCGGACGCTGAGGATGAACATGACCAGGAGGAAGATAACACCCCGGATGTCACAACTATGTCATACTACCACCCCAACTTCACCCTGTCCCTGATCCCAGACTCTGGAATTCAGAAATTGGCTCAGATGAACCCCGCGGTCCGCCAGTATGTGCAGCTGGAGCGGACTGGTGCCCGCGATGCCAGTGGAAAGAATGGATGGTACTACCCGATCGCTTTCGTCAACACTTTTTGGCAACTGAAGTCCCACATGACTGAGTTGAACTCTACCGTCGAGACCGTGCCGTTGCATATTACTCTCAACAACATGGCGAACTGGAAGTTCAACATCCTTAGCAGCGTTGACGAAGGTTCCAAGCAAAGTGCGCGCCAGGCCGCTTATGGCCAGCCTGTCCCCGGAGGTGGAGATGGAACCGAGTGGGAGATGGTGAAGGAGATTCTCTTGGATACTAACATCTGGCTCCTCGGTACCACAGGTGTGGTCACTATCTTGCATATGTTGTTTGAGACTTTGGCCTTCAAGAACGATATTGTAAGTGATACATCACTATTAAAAGGTGTTGTGTCTAACATCGCTAACATTTCCACTTTTAGGCCCACTGGCGTAAGAAGAAGGACGTTGTTGGTACTTCAGTTCGGACAATCCTGGCAAACGTCTTCATGCAGGCTGTTATCTTCCTCTACCTCATGGACAACAGCGACAACACCTCTTGGATGATCCTGGCCAGTCAAGGATTCGGTATCCTTCTCGAATTCTGGAAGATCACCAAGACTGTCGACGTTCGCTTGCGGCCGCCACCAGCCAGCTCTTGGTTGTTTTTCTTGCCCTATGTGATTGTCTTCGAGGACAAGCACAAGCTTAGCGAGACCGAGGAAAAGACCAAGGAGTATGATGAAATTGCCTTCCGCTATTTGTACATCTTGGCTGTTCCCCTTCTGCTTGCATACGCCGCGTACAGCCTGGTCTACAACACCCACAAGTCGTGGTACTCTTACATTATCCAGACCCTGGTGGGCAGTGTCTACGCGTACGGCTTCCTCATGATGGTCCCCAGTCTCTACATCAACTACCGGTTGAAGTCCGTTGCCCACATGCCTGGCAAGGCGTTGACCTACAAGTTCTTGAACACCTTCATCGACGATCTCTTCGCGTTCACCGTCAAGATGCCCTGGCTCCACCGCCTGGCAACTCTTCGTGACGACGTCATCTTCTTCGTGTGGCTCTACCAGGGCTGGAAGTACAAGGTTGATTACACGCGCGTCAACGAGTTCGGTCAGGGAGGTGACAGTGATGAGGAGGAGGAGCCTACTCCTGCTGTCGAGGGCGAGAAGAAGGACGTGGCTACCCAATCCTCTTCCAAGGCTACTTCGAAGTCATCTACTCGCAAGAGGAAATGAACTACGGTTTAGGTGCAGGTGCTGTTGGCCAATGAGCTGATGGGACCTGAAATAAACGCCTTTGCATACGCAGTGAATCTGTCGATTCGACTAATATTGGCATGATGCTGTTGAGCATCGGAACATAATTATTACAATGTTGTAGCGAGCAATGTTTAATTCCGATTCTGTTAATTAGGATTCCTTAAGAAGATTACCTTAGAGTTCTTAGCTTCACTTATCCAGCATCATGAAAGTAGATGAGGCAAGTAATTAGTAGACCAATACTAACTGTAGATGTTCTGTATGTAGAAGCCGTTGTTGATGGTTACCCGATTAGGTTTAACGCCATTTTCGCATCTTCGCGCCACTCGTTCTTCTATGCAACTGTTGTTGGCTCTGCACCAAACAACATTCATTCCTTTGGTTCCTTTAGTTTTAGAATTATTGCAAGAACTTACATTTGACGGGAACTTCTTCGTTGCTTTTTCGACGCGCCAATTGAAGACGAAGCGCGGCATTGCGCAACCACGCGCCAATACCACCATCCCAAAGCAAACTACATTCTATCATTCTCGACAACATACCAATTGTGGGAAATTTTGTAACAAGATTTGTGGAGATGGATACTGAGAGTACTGAGACAGGTAAGTTGTTTTTATATTCTTCCAATTGAGTAATGCTAACAATTCTTCAGGTACCAACCAACCAAGCGGCCTGCTTGATGCAGTTGAGCACTTGGAAGCCGGTATGGCCAAAAAGCTTTTTGACACAGCAAAACATGTTACTAATGCGATCGAGTAGTTGCATTTGTCCCTCCCAAGCAGAGATACACAGATGCCAGTCTACTAGCTAAAACAATCGCTTCAAACGCGTACGAGAGCGGCATTCCGCAACCCGTGCTGGCCCGTCTCCTGAAGATTCTGACCACGAAAAATAACCTGGATCAGGGTACAGTTACAACGCTGATTAAAAACCTGTACCCGCAGGAGAGAATTGCGTCCAAGAATGTCACTCAAGTGGTGTGCTGTCTTGGGCCCAGCAAGAACAAACCGAGCCCCGCCACACAGGCTCTGTTATTGCGCTGGTTGATCCTTGCGTATGATATTTTCGAAGATAGGACGCATCTCGCCAAACTTTATGCTGTTCTTTTCAACTATTTAGACATGATCAGTCTGCGGAAACCACTATGTCACCTTCTCTCGCTTATCACAAGACGAAAACACGTCAAGCCATTCCGCATTCAAGCCTTGATGGAGTTGATCCAGACTGCCAGTGGCGAAGACAAAGAGCTTATAAGCCTTCTAAGGGTCTTCAAGAATTATTACCCCGAGATCATTCTCGGTGAGTTTGGAGGATCTAGAAGGAATGCTCTCTTCTTCAAACATCCAGACCCCGAGTGGTCAAGCCATGTGAAGGTGCTTCAAGATCAGAATATGGAAAGAGTACAGGCTGGCCAAGGATCGAGTTTCCAAGTCGTCCATTGGGGGACTGTGAAAAGAAGTAGGATTGAAGTGGTTATTCCAACTCTACAAACTTCACGGGTATCTCATAAGCACACATCGCTAGAGGAGCTTCGTGACATGGGTCATTTTGTCGACAAGCTTGACAAAATTGAGTTACCAAACCAGATTATCTCAACTTTGGGCGATGCAATGGCTCAGAAGTATCTTCATCTGGTCCAATCTGAACTTGCCAATCATCGTCTAAATGAATGGCTAAGAAGCTTCCTGGAGGATAAGTTGGATACGCTACGTGAGGATGAAGATGATGATCCAGACACATTATCCTATGTGTTGGAATTTGTTGTGGGATATGCGTCCTATACCAAAGTGGGTTCTTTGGATAAACCACTATCGACTCAGACACTAACAAATCATTAGGACCTCCCATCCTCGATACGTTCCTTTTTGAAGTCTTATATGAAAAAGTGGAATGGAAAGGACAACCTTGACCACGTCTTCCGACTCCTCCAGTACATCCCAATCGAATCTTTCGAGTCTCTCCGGAGCGAATTATTGTCACCATTAGAGTCAGCAGTGTTAGACGAGAGTCTTCGTTCCAGAACAGCATTGCTGGGCTTTTACTCGGCGTTAATCAGCCAATGGGGTGTCAAACTTCGATCACAGTCAGATACAACAGAAGAGTCAGTCCATCTGAGTCAAGCCATCGTGCATGCCGAGCTCCTAGCATTTTCTATACTGGAGTTCTCGGTAGAGGACGAGGATAAGAAGTCCAAGCCAGCTACAACCTCTGTGCTCGACTTCTACAGAACCCTTTCGGAACTCTTTTCCCACGCACCCCAAGACGCCCGATTCCGCCTCACACTCCCGCACGCACAGACCGTATACACACTCGCCTTCACACCCAGTGTCGCTGTGATCTCGAGCCTCAACTCCATCTTGGCCGTCTACAAATCTGCATTCGAGGCCTCTCTGAATTCGCAAGTTCTCCAAGCACAAAACACCCCGGCTTATGGAACAGACCTCGTTGGTCGCTTCAACGGGTATGTCATGGACATGTGTAATGTGCTATGGCGGAATCGTGCACTCAACACTGAAGATCCAAATGCGCTAGGCTGTCTTGTCCCAGTACCGACCGCCACGGCTCTGGCGAACTATATCAAGGACTTGTCCCAAGCAGCCAGACATTACGACCGGGAAAGCGCATTCCATATTACTCTTACCTCGATATTCTCTCTGAGCCACCACGCTGCATTCTGCAACCTGTCTGCAGCTTGCTTTGCGGACCTGGAAGAGGACCAGCAGATTGCGGATCACCGCCCGAAATTGAGAAAGCCGGTCACTCAGAAAGTGCTACAGGCACTGGAGAAGGATGGCGGTGCTAAGATTACATGGCAGGAGTACCGTGTACATATGCTGGACTGGTTGGATGCGATTGGGTGCCGGGGTACTGGCATTCTGATGAGAAGCACAATGAAGGCTTTGCGCAAAGAGTAATACTAATAGGGTGAGACTTTTTACCAGTTTCAGAAATGAAAGTTTCCATAACGCCATTCAAATGCTTGGTATCGGTATAATACATATTGTACATGCACGGCCCTGGATATGAGACAGTATCGGGTTCAGAGCATAGCGTCGAAGATATCAGAACTTCTCTGTCGAGTTCAGATATATATCTTGAACACTGGGATCTTCTCGCAGAGCACTCAAGAGGTCCTCAAGATCCTTCGCCTGTTCGTCGTCCTTAACCTCGACCATGCTATCCCTGTTGGGATCCCAGAAAATCTCCAATTCATGAATGCTGAGACCTGACAATTTGGCGAATGTCTCGCCCACAGTTTTTGTCTCCGACGGATCGGTCAAGATCACGAGGCGACCTTTGTCATCGGTGGTGATATCCGCTGCTCCTGCTTCGATAGCCTGGTCCAAATAGTCGTCTACATTCGCACCGTCTTTCTTCTCCATAACGACCCTCCCCTTTCTCTCAAAGAGGAATGTAGTCGGGGTGACGATTCCTCCGTTATCTTTAATCATATAGCGAACGTCTTGTAGCACGCGCGCCTTCTGATCCGTTTGACACTCCACAACGGCAGCCACCGAACCAGGCAGCATGGCCTCAATTGTGACAGATTCTAGTGCTTGACCCGACACACTAAGTCCTTGTCCACGAGCAATTGCTGCTTCAATGATGATTTTCGGGACGGAGGCTCGTTTCGCATTGGACAGCGCAAGGGCTAGACGAGGATTGTACTTCGTGTCGGGACCCCACACTAGAATAGAGTATTAGGACCTGAGATATGCCCAATTGAACGACCATACATACTCTGTGTAGCACTGGCAATTTCCTTTCCCACTATTTGACGTTCCCTGCTCTTGGCCTTGTCGTTTCTGGCCTTGTCATGCTTAATCGTAGACCATTTGTTGTGACCTGAGAGAATAGCCGACGAAGTGCTGAAGTAGCGACACTCATGGCAGGCAGAATCAGTCCACCGGGGCTGCCGCAGCAGCCTGCTAAGCCTGAGGGCCATAATGTTTTTCTTTCTCTGTATATTGTAGACGAAGATCCGATCTCCATTGAGATACCCTCGGGCGGCTGTTTATCCGATCTCCGCGGACAGTGAGGCCACACGATAAGGAGAGACCTGAACATGGGGTTGACGCAACTACTATGAACTAAATATTTCCTTTTCTTTTTTCCTTTTTCTTTCTTGCTTATGGGGCTATGCTTGCCCTGAAACTATTTCATGTCTTCCTCCGATACAGTCCCAGCACCCTCCTCCCCACGAAATGGGGTCCCTGAGCTCGACATCCCTAAACTACACGCTCTCTCCCTCCGAACAACAGGAACTGTACATGCTCACGTTCACCTCCGACCTCGTACAATACATATCTGGATTGGAAGCTGCGGAGGTTACATCGCAACAAAAGGATCTCAAAAAGGAATTGTTCAAGATATTGAACCTCCCTTCACCGACCATCACTAGAGTCCTCCGCAACAATCTAGGGCGATGTTTTGGCGCAATACTCAGCAAAGGGGATCGCGGGATCCTCTTCGAAACGATCACCGACCTGCTCGCAATTTTGAATGCTGGCAAGAGTGAAGCCGAATTGAAGACCAAATTCGCTGCGGTGCATTGTCTTGGGGAGGTCTTTGCGACAGCCGGCGACAGTGCGTTCATGCAGTCCAATGTTGCGACTTTGGGCGCACTCAAACTGCTGAAATCAGCAAGCAACCATACCGGTCTTAGGGGAGTTATCTTTGCAGTGATGCGCAAGATTGTTGTTGGTATTGGGGTCCCGATCGATGAAGGAACCGCCCGCGACATCTGGAAGCAGGCCCGAACCGCTGCTCTCAGCGACAAGTCCACTTTCGTCCAAGTCAATGCATGCCGCTGCCTGGAGCAGTTGGTTGCCACTACACCATTCTTCGATAACACACATGACTTCGAACAGCTCAAAACCCTGGTATGGAAGGTTATCGACAGCCCCGCTGCGCCGGTGCGGCACGCCGTAGCTGCGGTTCTCGGTCGGGCACTCATAAATCTACATGCTACGAAT